TCTTGTCACGAGCGTGGGACAAAGAAAAAATTTTTTTGAGTCAAGTGATTCTGATGATGACTTCCGCTCAGGTTGTCGAAACGTCAGTCACCACTACGGACAACAGTCCTTCTCAGGGCTACACTTACCCGGTCGATCAAACTACACTATTACATGTAACTAAAATGTAGTACAACAGCTTGGCCGTGAAAGATCTGGGTACGAGACTAGTCCCTTAGGCTCTCCTACACTATAAAGGATCTCTGGGTGTATACTGCCTTAACCGTCCTGAAAGGTTGCGTGTCTCGACAAAGTTCCTCATTTGCATTCGTTTGGATTCTTCTCCATCCTTAGCCATCGAGAGGATGAGTTGTCTCTCGTAGCCTTGATTTTTTTTATACCCTCTTTCGTTGGGATTTTCTTTCCACTGATGTGCCATTTTGTCTGGGTTCCTTAGCTTCCAGTTCTGCAAGAAGAGCTACGCCTCATTGTCTCGTTTTTTTTTTCTCTCTCAACGCCTTGCAGGGATCGACCTTAAAGGACTCAAGACCGGCATGGTTACCATCGCTGACATGCTCTCCATTGCCAACAACTTTGGAAAAGAGTGGATGTGGGTCGGCCGACTTCTCGGGCTTGAAGACTCCTTGTTAGACGGCATCAAAGAGGATCTCTCACAAACTTACGAATGTACCTACAAAATGCTCGAGTGGTGGTGTAAGAAAAAAGATTCTGACGCAACTTACGAGTGCCTTGCACGGGCGTTGTTACACAGAACAGTTGGCATGCGGGAAGTTGCTGAAAAATTCTGCGTGGACCACCGAGAAAAAAAGATCGGTATGTTCCAGTTGCTGAATGACATAACAACCCTCAGTCTCAGAGAATATCAGAAAACAAGACAAAAATATTGCTAGAGCCGGTTTAGTTGAGCATATCCACAAGGCGCTAAGGAAAAGTAGAACCTTTGCCTTTATACCCAGTGTTAACATCTGTAATGTTTTTTTCTTTAATTTCATGTCAGCCACGTTAAGAAAACGCTAGCTGGAGAAAAAGAAGCTGATCCCTGATCACTTGAGTTTCAAACAGTTCGTTAGCGATTGCAACCACATTTAACTAAGTGGTGATATAGGTTGTTTTTGCGAGTGATCATCGGCTAGAGACTATAAACCGGTCAATATTGTCTTGCAAGAGATTATATTCTCTTGCGTCTTGTTATTGTGTTATTGATCGTGTCACTACTTAAAACATTCGGGATTTCCGGGTGTACTTTTACATGAACCCTAATACGAAACTATTCCTCGCAAGAGAGCCCCTGATAAAGTCTTAATTGCATGTAGTAGCTTACGTTTTTTCATTACTTAAATCAGCCTCTGCTGCACCTTCTGGAGAAGGAAACACACCAATAGATAAGAAATTGAAGAATTTGACCCTGAATGGTTCTACGGCATGTGAATTCGCGGGAAGCTATACCGAGGCGCCAGGCGCAACAGGAAACAAAAGCTTTCAAGGTAAGCTCAGTCTGAACTCGTGGCTCGGTACATCTCTTTACTTTAGTCACTATTGTTAAAGAAGGCAGTGCAAAGAAGGTTTAAACTGCTGGTGATAGTACAGTGAAGTGGTTAAAAGTTCACTTAGCAGATGAATGATTGAAAAATGGTCTGTTATTGAAACCCAGGACCCAGGTTTGCAGTGGGAGGGAGGGTAGAGTAAGGTAAGCGGAGTTGCTGTTGTTGTTGATGTTTCTCCTCCCCGTATATTTGCTGTCCGCAAAGCAAAGATTTCCTTCACCTAAAATTTGTTTAGCGATTAATTAGTACCTATCTAAAGTAAGCTGGAAATCTTCGCGGACAATTGTGGAGATGAGAGTAAGAAAATCTCACCCTCAGAGTCAAACGGACAGATAGGAAACACACCCGTCCGCGTGACAGGTGCGTAATGTTCTGAACTACAAAACGAGCGGGTCGGGTTTGACTACTTGATTTGGCTTTTCAAACTTCTTTCTCCCTCTGTGGTAAAGCATTTTATTCTTTCTTGGTCGGCAACTACCACGACGTAGGGTCGAAATGAAAAGGAAAGAGAAAATGTCTTCCCATGGAACAACATTCAGCATGATTCATTTGACCCTCACTGTTAAGTTAGCAAAAGCAAGGAGAAGGAAAACGAGGTTTAGAAATAACTATCAATTGAAAGTATTATACGTTTAACTTATGACCAGGTACCACGCCACCCAGAGTTCCTGAGCCGGCTGATGATTGCATAACTAAGAACGTCATCACCATTCTGCCATACAAAGTGTGGAAAGAATTGGCCATTAAACTAGATCCCGAGCGTCCATTAGGTGGAGATTACAAAGATCTCGCTTGTGAGATGGGATATACTGTGGAGAAGATCTTGTATTTCCAGTCGAGGAATGGTCCTACGGAAGCCCTACTCACTGACTGCGCAAACTCAGTCTCAATTGACGAACTTTGTAACAAGTTGGAGGCGATTGGAAGATCTGATGCAAAGATAGTGGTTGATGAATGGATCAAGAAAAAGACTACAAATGTGTAGCTTGCAATATTTAAACCGACCACCGGGTTGAATCCTTGAAAGAAGGGAAGATTTCGCAAAAAGTGTTTAACGGACAGCGAGCAGTCCGGAAATAGTATTACGCATTGATTTTCAAAGCTAGGAAGACATCGTTTGAAAAGAAGACTCAATGACTTTTCATTTAGTAGTCTGTCTCATAGTACGGTATTAATTCCGAAATTTGCAATCATTATGAGAAAGTTACCCCTCTTTCTAGAGTATCTCCTCAAGAGGACAAGCATCCCACAAACCTAAATTAAGACTGAGCTTTTTAAAAAAGGACAGTTTTGTGTTTGTTTTTTTTTATTTTGCTTTTGTTGTATTTTTCTAATTCTTCCCAAATAAAATTGTTGCGGAAATCTGCTTGCCAATCATTCTTTGGAAATATCAACATCTTTAGTCGAATTCTTAGCATATTAAAGGACAATCTCCGAGCGGTTGGGATACTCTTTTGACTTTAGATCATGGCTACCGTTATGATTTCATACACCGACTATTTAATGGCAGAAATAATGGAAGATGATGTTGTTTTTAGAGCGTACTTTTCCCTCAAGCAAGAGAACTTCTTCAAGCACTACTTTTACATTTGAGACTTATGAAAACTTATGACTTTATATTTGGAACTTATTATGACAGAAAGGCCCTTTCTGTCATAATCCCCTTCTACTTGTTCCGTTTTTAATTTCTTTAGTCAAACTATTAGCTCTGGAGTGAGTGAAAAACAAACAAAATTGGTTTTCAACAGAGACTGCTTGGATATACACGAATCGGCCGTGGCAGAGAATTTTAGTTTTTAGAGAAGACAAAGGTGGATGAATCATTTGCTAAAAAAAATTGAACGTGTTAGTGTTATAACTATATTAAAGTTTGATAGTTTATCTCACGATATAGAGCCAGGATGTCGATTGCATTGATCGTCATACCTAGTGCAACCTAAAGATCCCTTTTTCACAAGATCCCTTGTAAATGTGGCAAACCATATATCGGCGAAACGGCGACAGCGATGATCGAAAGAATGAACGAGCATAAAAGAGACATAGAGCTTGCTTAAACATACTGAGGGGTTTCAAAACACGCTAATGAAACAGGACATGTTCCTATTTGGAACCAAGTTAAGTTTATTGGCATGATGCGCCCCACTGGTATACCCGTAGGGTTAAATAAGCCATCCACATAAGATATCATCCTAAGTAACGTCTTTAGAGACAACGGCATCGAAATTCCGAGCCTGCGAGCAGACCCTTATAATTAGCGCTGCAAGACGCGCATTTTTCCGTTCTCGGGAAGATTTGAGAGGTCTAGGGGAGAGGTTAGCCGGGGGTCTGGTGCTAATAATATCAGTGCTAGACCCATTGCAGAATTGTTGCTAACTCGCAATGCTCGAGGCCTCATCCTGCGGGCGAAGAAACCCTCGCGCCCAAGCGCTTATGTTAGGGACCTTTAACAAAACCACGACGGCGGCGGCAACGAGGACGTAGCAAAACGAAAGATCTAGTAAGCAGAATAATAGTTCATCACGTGCGTTTAAAAACTGTGTACATTTCCTTGCCGTCCTGTGCAAAACGACAACGTGAAATCACCAAAATTTGCGTGGTCTGAGCAAGGAAACGGATCGATAAGGGAACATAATTCACGAGTCGGGATAATAACAAGGATCAACAAGGAGGATTCAAATGCAATGAATGCGCGTCAAACACACAAATAACAGCAAACCAAGGGGCTTTGTACAATAAAACGTACGCATTTGTCTTGGTCGCCTGAGAAGCCTGGCAGTATAGCTGTCGGATCATCGCGATCAATATAGTACTACTTTTACATTAGGAGAGCGAGATTGAACTTTGAACCAAACACGCGTGTTTTTCTGTCATCTCGAATTATCACTATAAAGTTGTGGTAAATAAACCAGCTAAAAGGTTCAACGTTTAATTTACTGTTTATCGTATTGAAGTCGCCCGTGAAACCGTCCGTAACTTCAACTGAATCGATAATGTAGACTGGCCACCGTAAAGAGTTCTATAGCTGACTTTTCGAACGTTAGTCCTTCATCAGAGCGAATGACAAAGGGCTAACCCTCGAAGCATTACAAATATTGATCTAAAGGGTGGGAAAACTGCCGAACAGGTCTCGTAAACCCAGCTAACAACTTCTTTACTCTCTCAGCAGGAAAAATCACAATATCATATTATATAGTGCTTATGTAGCAATCAAGGTTGCCCAAGTTATTTTTGTGTGACTCATGTTTTTATTTCAGTATTTTCTCGAAAACATTACCAAAGTTGCTCCGCTGAATTAAGCGGAATAGGAAATATACTCTCCTCTGGTACGGAATATATTTTCCCCACAAAAATTCCTGTATAACTCGATAGTCTTTCTACGAGACCCTGTGGAATATGATTGTATTTTATGGCTTTTACGGTAGTGATTTGGATGCGGCTTGTTAAAAACAACATCGACCGCCATCTCTGTTTCGTTTAAGAACTGCTGACCTACACCACAGTCGGCTCTCCTAAACCGGAACTATCAAAATTTCTCGAACTCGCCAACTTCCGTGAATTTGAGACGAGCTTTCTGTGATATTTTGGTTTGTTTAAGCCCTCAAAAGCCGCTTAATGGAGTCGATTACCACGACTTGTCTTATCGATCTTGCCTTTGACTTATCAGACGATTGGAAAAAGCTTGCACATGTTCTTGGTCTTTCTGGAGAAGTATCAAGAATATGTGATGACTACAGACGGAATGTCTTCGAACAAGCTTACCGAATGCTGCAAACTTGGAAAGGGAAAAAGGGATCTCAGGCTACTTATCAAGTCTTGCGTGAGGCCCTTGCACACGAAGCCGTATTGCGTAATGATTTGGTTCAAGAATACTGTGAGGGAAGAGACAGGAGCTCTTTGGACGAAGGTAAGAGATTGAAATCTTTTCGAAGCTTATTGTACAGCACCTCAAACAACAAGAGCGGCGACATTTACAGAGAACTTAGATTTCTTAGGAGGGATTTCATTTACTCAAGTAGCTAGTTCACTGATTCTTGATTCTGGCATCTGGAAGAATATATAGTACATGTTACCTCCTTGTGGATTGACTTAGACAGTTTTTACACTGATTCATTCAAGTGTGACTGTTAACAGCGTTAGATCTTTCGGTAAACAATGAGATGAAGTTGAGACATAAGTATTAGGATGTTTAACTAGCAAACAACCGAAACGAAACCAAAGCACGTCACAGTTGAGTTGTTAGCAGTCAAAATGGTACATACTTTTAAGTGAGTGATATCAGAGTAAAATGCAATATTTAATCGTTTCGAGGGGGGTGGACAGAAATCCTTGAGGGACGGGGTAAGGGAGGATATGGTCGTGTTTCTGAGCTATCGCCAAGATTTTGATGATATAACGCGATGCAAAACGATAGTAAACCAAAACAGGGACTAAACCACGAATGCAACACCAATGAAAGGGTAGCGAAAAAAAAAGAGTTAATAAACGTGCGTCTCAAAACTTTGCACATTTCCGGGCCGTTCCTTACAAAAAACAACGTAAAATCACTTAATTTTCCAGGCTGGTCGTTTGCAATCCGTTGAATCTCCTCCACCTTCAACTACCCTTGCGCCTTCTCGATTTATCATGGCCTTTCTTTCTACAGAGCTAACATTTTGTTTGGGCTCCCTCGGATTTAAGGTAGTTTTGTAACAATAGCCACTCACCCAGCTGTCTCGTTTGTTGTCTCAATACCTTACAGAGATCGACCTTGAAGGACTCAAGCCTGGGGTAGTTTCCAGCAGTGACTTACTCTCCATCGCCAAAGACTTAGGATTAAAGTGGGTCTGGATTGGTCGACTTCTCGGGTTGGAAGACTCCTTGTTAGATGGCATCAGAGAAGATCACATACAAGTCTCTGATTGTCAATACAAAATGCTCGAGTTATGGAGGAGGGAAAAGACTACTGGGGCAACCTACCAGTGCCTTGCAAGAGCGTTGCTGCACAGAACAGTTTGCATGCGAGATGTTGCTGAGAAATTCTGCGTGGAGAATTAAGAAAAACGGATGGGTATGTTTCAGTCGTTGAATAATGAGATGAAATTAACTCTCGTATAAATTATTAAAAAACAAGAAAAAAAATTATAGAACTGCATGTTTCATATCTATAGGGAGAGAAGAAAAAGAAGAACCTTTGCTGTGATAATCGAACCTAAAATTTGTACTGTTCTTTCCTCGTAAGCCTCTTAAAAAGTCACTGGACTAAATAATGTGAGAGATAGAGACTACATGTTTATATGTATATACGTAAATATGTTTTGACTCCCATTTCGCCGCGAGAATTTGCCCATAAGTTCTGATTCTGAAAACAAGATACATGATAGATTTGTGGTGAAAGAATTGGAAGAGAAAAATAGTTTCTCATGAAACAACATCAGGCATGATTCACAATTTTCTAAACAAAAGAAGCCAGAAATTGAGACAAAAAACCTGAGACACTAATAGAGGTTTAATCAATTAATCTTATTTTACGTTTGACGCATGACCAGGTTCAACGCGAAGAAACTGATGGATGAATTGATCAAGTCACAAGATTGCCAATTGGCAGCCTGCAATATTTCGATCTACCGCTTTCTTTTGTGGTATGGGGATACAGAAAATCCCAGAAAGAAAAGAACAATTCTCAAAAATATGTCCCAGGGATAGCGAGCAAGCCAGAAATATATTTAATCATTGATTTTCTTGACGAAGAAAAAAGTGTTTGAGCAGTAGATTTCACTAAAAAGAGTTTAGAAAACGAAACGTTGTTAATAGATAATCGATATATCCACCTGTGTTCCTTTTTTTCGAAAGACTAATGTATGTCACAATCATGAATACTAATTTATAATTGTATTCGAGTAAAGGAATTTTTGTCACTCTGTACGCCGTGAATTTGAAGAATAGAAGCTTGTACGTTGCTTGAGTTTGGTCAGCTTGTTATTACGGTGTTCTAATAACTGATCAGGCAGCCTACGCGAATGTACTTATAAAATGCTCGAGTTGTCGTGCAAGTAAGAGGAATGCTGACGCAACATACAAGAGCCCTGTACAGACGTTATTAAACAGACCAATTTGCATGCGAGAAGTTGCTGAGAAATTCTGCGTGGACCACGGTGGAAAAGAGATTGGTATATACTATATATTATAGTATAGTTGTTGAATGAAATAATGACCCTCAGTCTCAGAGAATATCAGAAAACACTCAAGACAAAGGATTGCAAGAGCCGGTTCAGTTGCGCATATCTACAAGGCGCTAAGGAAAAGTAGATCGTCTGCCTTTATAACCAGCGTTAACATCTGTGATGTTTTTTCTTGAAATTTTACGCCAGCCACGTTGAGAAAACGCTAGTTGGAGAAAAAGAAACTGATCCTTGATCAGTTAAGTTAGTGATTGAAAACACATTTAACGAAGTGGTGATATAGATCGTTTTTGCGATGAGTCATCGGCCAGAGACTATAAACCGGCCAACGTTGTCTTGCAAGAGATTATAATCTCTTGTGTTTTGATATTGCAAATCAATTGAGTGACTGCAGCCTTTCGAATAAAGTTACGATAAAGATTAATTTTGTGTGGCTATTAGCCAGAGTTTGGGAACTAAACAATATTGTTCAGAAAACCCAAATACTTGGCAAACAGGCGTCTTTTGGCTTTCTAAATCCGGTTTGCAAGACGTTGATACTAACAGGTTTTGACATTTTGCCGCTAGAATTTGCATATAAATTTAAATTCTGGAAAACAAGATACATAATAAGTTTGTGGTGACTCCCAAATGTATTCCAGTCGTATTTAGGCGTTGCACATATATGTGCCGTACTGATTCGATTTAGCGCCCGGGACGTTTATTTCACTGCTTTCACCTCAAGGGAGTGTGCTTATTCGAAACAGGGCGTTTATGTGGAGCCGGGCGTTAATTTTTTTTTTAGAAATAGCAGAATGTGAAACAAACTTTTGATGTTTATTTGAAAGGATAAAAAAGACTGGGAAACAGACTTTTTTTCCCTGAATACTTCCTTCCTAGAATGACTATCCAAGCGATCGTCGCAAAATTTTAAGACAGGATCTTCCGTTTGAAGGAACTGCGATTTCACAGCAACATAAAAATCGAGAGAGACAAATATCTCCTCTTTTGTCGTGAGGCTTTAAGTGAGTAATTAAAGGAAGATGGACCACGGTTAATCTCAATGTTCACGTACTCTAACAGTCCTATTACTGAAACAGAATAGGGACGTTTATTGGAAAAGAGGTGCGTATTGGAATGAGGTGCTCATTCATTAGGGGCGCTTATTAACAAAAACCAAATTCGAGGGGGGCGTTTATTGGAGAGGGGGCGCTTTATGGAAGGAGGGCGCTAAATTGAAGAGTTACGTTATGTTTGTTTGTTTCGTCGTCACCGTTGTTGATTTAATTGTTGCACGTTTATTTTTTGCTTGTTTTTTCAATTGACTAACAATATATGCTTAGACTAATTTCCAGCGCGAACCTTACGTCATGTACAAGAACGGTTCATTCGTTCGATTGATACTGGCATGCATGACCATCACTCCGAAGTAATGAGGATCGAATGCAATCATTGGTACAAGTAAGGTAACATTATGAAAAGTTCTTTACAAAGCAATTTAACGATTATAGAAAAATAACTACAGCCCTTGTCTCTTGCACAAAGCTTACAGCTAAAAGTATGGCAGAACGGTTCGAAGAAGTAATGACTTTCTTGTTGGTGGCTGTGGAGCTTCTTTTTCACATTAAAGCCACCGTTTCTTCTCCGTTTTCAGGATCAACCCCGTTTCTGTTTCCATCTGCTCCTTTCATAGGCTCACTCTGATCGGAATACAAACTCTCCATGGTTGGTTGATTGAGAGTTTCCGGTAAAGTCATACATCCAATAGCAGCTGCGATCGCCAGACCAGCCATTATCCCATAGGGAAGGAAACGATGAATGATCAACTATTGAAGATAGATCAGGGTATATATTTAATTAAGGTTGTTACAGTCGAACCTTTCCAGGGAAAGGAGCTTTTAGTAATAAGTGACCGTCCAGGGGAAGGTGAGGATAATTACAAATATTTTATTTAAGTGGTTTGTAACATTTCAGGTGGTTAGAACAATTCTTGGCAAAATGTGTGCTTAAATTTACTTAGATTTAATGCTGTAAATTACGGCAAACATTCTGTCGTTAATACGTGCCCGCAATTTAAACGAGGAGGTCAAGAAATCACATGGTCCTCAGTCTTTCGAGTTTCCTATCAGAAAATTATATATTTCAGGTGTATAAATGATAACTGTGACTCTTGTGAAATATCCCGCCCATGAGTGCTGCGTAACTGTTGCGTCGTGAGATCTGAGAATAGTGCATTTTGGTGTCTGCTCTCTTTTTCAATTTGGCTGTGCATGTCTGTCTGTCTTTCTGTATGCCTTTCTCTCTCAATGTCTGTCTTAGCTTGTTATCTATTCATTCATTTATTCATTTCTTTGTTGTTGTTGATGTTGTTGTCGTTGAATACCGTCTTAGACCTGAAGGAAACAACAAGTTTGTCTGTACATGCGTCATTTGCCACTCTGTCAGTCCGTTGGTCCGTCTGTCTGAACGATCGTAGTTTGTCAATCTGTCTGTTTACAATTTCTTGTCACTACGTCTGAGCGTCGGTCTCCTTGTGTGTTTATTTCATTTGCAAAATTTGCTAGTTCCAAGCTTGGGGTGATCATTTGTTTTCTTTAGCGAAAAACCTAAAGCAAACCACTAAAACCTGCGATAGGAATAGGATATAGAAATATAAATTGATTGTTTACCAAGAGCGGAGCATAAGCTGAGGCAAAAGCGCTTACGCGGGCGGAAGCTGTAGATGTACCCATTCCAACATTCCTAAAAGAAGGACAAAACAAATCTCATTATGCTGGTAAACTGTATAACTGAACGTGTTAATCTGATTTTATGACAAGAGTCATTCATTCTTGATCAATTGAAAAAACTCACAGTAGGTCCAAGGCTAAAGTTGATAACTATTCATTATTACTATAGCAGGCCTATGCTCCTTAACCTCGATCACGCGTTCGCTTTATATCCAACTCCTTATCTAAAGGATCGTCTGGATGAAATAAATTCTTATGATAGTTCAAAACAATTTTTTCAAACGTTCATCCAGAACGCAGCCACATACTCCAGACAGATTTTGGCCTCATTCACACAGCTTCGCTTGGAAATACTTTTAAGGTAAAAACTGGCCTTCAAAATGATTCCAAAATTAAAGCCTTTTGAATATGTGTCGTTTTCGAAACGTTCCGTCTCTAATGTGGGGAGGTGCGAACGGAGGCTTACGAAAACGGTGACGTAACGTAAAAAGCGTCATATCAGCGTTTTTTGTCGGCTGTAATGTGGAGGACTGGGCATTTGAAAGACAAGGCATTAGAAAGTCTGTTTTTTTTTTCAGATGAAAACGCATTAGCATGGGCAGCTGAAACAAACCGAGTATGCTTATAGTTGAGACGGACGATTACTTTTAAAATCGCATTAAAATGACGGACGCCCTTAAAAATATATCGAGAGATTCCATCTTTTACAGTATAGATATTTCAGTCTAGTCTACCTTATGGTTGTTGGAAACAACTCAGCAGAGTAAATGTAAACCAATGAAAAGGCTATTTCACTGTTAAACCTTGCAACGACCATGGACATGAAGATTTTCCCAGCCATGTAACCTGGGTAAGGAAAAAATTTTAAATGATTAGCAATAACAAACAGAACTCTTTATAAGTTTACGCTCAGATAAAAGCTTAGGAGGCCCATTCGAGGTTTTTCAAGAGTCAAAAAATTGTTTTCTATGTTCCAGGGTTCATGGCCGTACAATTCAGCCAATAGTCTAACTACTTACGAATTTTCCATCCGAAACGATGTGCACATCTCAGTGCAGTGTTATGAACATTCGACTGGTCAGCTAAATGGCTAGTTAGTTTGGAGGGTTTAGAGACAGTTCTAACTGCTAATTATTTACAAAATAGGTCCTATATGTAAATCAATTTGTGAATGCTTCACCTTTATCGTTTTCAGCTTTGTCTGACAGTAGAAGTGTCCCGATTGCTCCGACAGCAGCTAATAGAAACGATACTCCTAGAATCTTTCTGCGACCGAACCTGTTGAAATAATCGTATCAAGAAAAGCGGATCAACTTAAAGGTAAGCAGGCTTTGTTTAAAGATTAAAAATGACCGTATATGGCTACTTTGGAACAATGGCGGAAACAGCTTTAAAATACACGCGGGATTTAATGGCAGGAAAATTAGTAACATAATCGACAACTGAACAAGGATGTCGATGGTTAAACTGAATTTGATATCTCTAAGCTGCTTCACTTAACCGCAATTTTGATTGAATGATCCTTTTCTAAAACTGGCAGCAGACTTAAATTGTTCTTGACTTGGATTAACATATTTTGTTATCTAAAAATATATCGGTAGCATGTAAACTAACCATTTTTGTAACAATTATTGATATCTTGAAAATCAAAAACTTTTAAAAACATGAAAGAGACAGATAAGACGAAACAGATCTATAAAGTCTCTTGGCCCCAATGGCAATACTTACTTCATCGTCAAAGCAGCACTTATTGGGTATGCTGGCAATGCAGCTATACTAGATATAAGGACATTGATGTAGATATTTCCCCCAACAAAAGGAGCACTGAAAGCTATGCCCCAGCTGATAAAAGATGCAGAGAACCTGTTCATGACGAGAGAAAAGATAAAAGGGAAAGAGAAATTAGGAAATTGGAGATAAACTAAAAACAATTACTGAAAAGGTATATTTCTGGAGGTAATCATGAAAACTGTTTTCAGGTATAATTTGAATTGAAAAACTCATAGATTACTTAGATTAGAAACCTTTGGTTTAATTGGGATATTCATGGTTCCCATAATTCACAAAAAAACACAACATTCCATTAAATAAAAAGGTTTAAGAACTATAACCACGGATTATGAATAATTAGCAAGGAGACAGGTTTGCCTTCCGGCTTTGATGCTGTCCTTTTTCAATTATTTTGCTCATTTTTGTCTATGTTTAATTTCTAACTTGTTTGTTTGTTTGTTTGTTCATCTTGTTGTACGTAGCGTCTTACGTTGCTTCTCAGAGGACATTCCATCAGTTCCTATAAGCTTTAGGAGATCTCCCAATACTATGAATATGTGTCATCTTCGGAACAAACTGAGAATAAAAACATGGCGGATGCCATTACCTTGCCTCCCCCTCCCTCTTGCGTGACAGTTATCATTATTTCGCAATTTAGAAGCACAGCATAAGCAAAATTTCAGTTGATCGTCTCGTGTAAACTACTTGGTTCAACCAAATGAAAATACAACTAAACTTTGTCTCTTTGGGTTGAGCACCAAAGCGAGTCTCGTAAGATCACAAAAGGGAGCGGCCACTTCACTACTTACCACATTAACCAAGAGCATAACGTCTTGTGTATCATTTTTCGTGACACAAACAAATCTCGGAAGTCACCAAGCCTCTCATTCTGCTCTTCTTGTGATAATTCCAGTGATTCAGTAGGCATTTCTTTTCCATTCAGCTCAGCTACTTTACGTAGGATTACCCTGGCCTGATCCTCTCGACCTTTTTTTAGCAACCAGCGGACAGACTCTGGGATGAAACTAACGGGCAATAATGTTAACCCAAAAATCAATGAAGATGAGTCCTATTGATGATTTGAGATAACAACTTTAGCTAGACAATTTGGGCAATAATGTTAACCCAAAAATCAATGAAGATGAGTCCTATTGATGATTTGAGATAACAACTTTAGCTAGATAATTTGGTTTTATCAGCTGAGTTGATAATGTGGATTGACTTCCGTAGAGAGATTCTAAAGCCGACGATTCGAGCGTTAGCCCTTCATCAGAGCAAATCGTCAGCATCAGAACCAGACAACTATACGATGGCCAATTCAGATTGTTAACTCAGTCGTCCAAATTACCTTTTGATACCCTCCACCGACGCAGCATTGTACTTTTTTGTTTTGTTGTTGTTGTTGTTGTTTTTTTTTTTTTTTTTCGTAGCAAACTTGGAATCTACGGCTATATCCATTAAATCACACGACTTGCAAACACAAGCTCAGGGGAGTGGACTATGTTCTTCACCCAAAAAATTGCTTAGTATTTATCATTAAGTGCCATGGAAGAATCTGTTTACTCACAAGTATCCAGCCGTAAAGAATATGCCAGGAACTCCAGTAAATATAGTGAGTTCACGCCATTCTCTAATAGCGTATGCTACCCCTGCTAAGATCATGGTGAACAGAAAGAATCCAGTCCACACCAGGCCTCCTGCTACACCTCTGTGGCGAATTCCGGAAAACTCCGAAGTCAACACGAACAATGGAATGCTGTAAGCACCTGCATAGACGAAAACCAGCTTGTTGATGCCAGAGCAATTTTCAAAAGAGTGTCGCAAGTAATCTTTACTTCGCTCTGTGATAGGTCCATGATAGGTTCATGAGATTCAATCAAAAATTGCTCTAAAATACCTAAGTTTATTAACTGTAGAAGTATGAGCCTTTCCATTGCTCTTCTGACTTGGAATCTTTCCAGAATTTGACTTCTTCTTGTAATACAACTTCCCAGCCATTGTTATAAAAAATATACAGACAGCGCCTCTACGAGAAAACTTCAGCGTAACCACACTGGTCCTCTCCACAAAAAAATTAGAATTTTTGTTTGTTTTATTACCACAAAATTTCATTATGGTTCCTGTTTCACTTGTTTCATTACGAAGAGATGATCCTCTCTTGTCTGAACTTACCAATCATGAATCCAACAACGCAACGACAAAGTGCAAAAAACCAGAATGTAGGAGAGAAGGCTGAGATGAGATGAACCACGCAGCAAATAAAACCGCAGAGGAAAAGTGGGCGTTTCCTGCCAAATCTGTCAGAAAAGGTGCTCACAAGGATACTTCCGATGAAAAATCCGGCAAAGATCATAGAGGTGGAAACAAACCCCAAAGACCCGCGTTCACAAACCAGGTCGAACTGTTAAGATTAAAAAGACCTACTCATATCAGAAGAAATTCACTGTCGGATAGAACTAGGACTCCAAATCAAATTAGCAAGTTTCTTAGGGTGATAAATTCAATTTCTCGTGTTTACCTCGGTGACTATAGAAGTGAAATCGTTTGCAAATTTCCAATCTTCCCTTGGAATATTACATCGGTACTTGTACCTCGAGTCTCCAAGACTTATGGTGTCCGTATAGGGGCAAGTCGATGTATTTTTGCACTGCCAGCCGGGCTCCGATGCGATAAAGACAGAAATCATTACAGGAACGGCCCACCATAATGCATAGGCAAGATTGAAAAATATGTTGAGGACAATTTGGTAGCGACCGAAGCTGCCAATCTGTTCCAAGACCTCGTCAGTGGTTATCGTCATTTCTAAAAGGTAAAAATTAATATGCATTCATATTGAGTGCCCTCAAACATATTTTTTTAGTTTTCTAACATTTAGCCAAAGATCGAGGTCGATTATCAGAAGGATTGAATATTGTCGATGATATCTAAGTGTGGGAAGCAGAGCAAATTACATTTGTTCCTTCTATGGTCTTGCAATTCCCAGAAACAACCATACAATTCTTATAAAGTTAGTTCAGAGAATTTAGTATTATCCCTAAATTGATATTTTTCTTTATTCTCATTACTTATCTGATTGGTATTTTATTGATATTGTAAGGAGAGTAAAAGGGTTAACGAAAATTATGGCCGCCATCCTTGACTTTAATTGCAAAGAAATGCGAGCGAGAGAAATTAAAGAAATAAAACATGGCCGGTCGGATAAACGATCGCTAGCTTATAACGTCAGCTCGCCATAACAAGACGCCTGCACTGCAGGCGGAGTAACCGCAGAATACCCTGCCACTTTGGTTCATCTCATTTACATGTGACGTGAAGCTTTCAAGGACGAGACATAACACAATAGACGCTATTCCTATTCAATGACACGTAAATGAGTGGCAGAGTATTCTGCAGTTTAGCCCTGCAGGCTACTAAATGAGTGGTATGAGTCACTGAAGCCGTTTGGTTGTCATTTCGCTGCCCTTCTAGATCAGTGGAATACCTGAGGGCCGAGGGCTGCATACCTTGGCAAACAATAAAATTACAGCTCCAGTAAAAGTAGCCTGTGTTCTCTAAAATGAGTTTGCCAGCATATATAACAATATGCACTCGCTCCATTTACAAAAGAAAAATCGGAAATAACAATTTTGTGGTTCTTGTCGAGAACGATTTCTTTATGATTAATGATTAATGTTATAAATTGTCACACAATGTAACGAAATACTAGACTGATTGTAACGCGAATAGGAAGATTTCGCGACATGATATTTCACAACGTTGTGAACAAAGTTCAACACTGATTTGCATGCGTACAGTGAACTAAATAAGGGAAAGAAACGTGTAATTGTGAAATTGCAACTAAAATAGAGTATATTACAGTACTTGGGATTGGGAATTTACTGAACTCGTGATTGTAGGAAAATTACTTTATTTCGCAACTAGAACTGTAAAACGAAGTAGCACTGAATTGTAAGGGCAGATTGGTTTTAGATCGTTAGAGTGTTAGTATGTTCAGATTGTCAGGAGTGATGGAAGAAAATAAACGCGTTTAGAAAACAAAGAAGTATACAGTCCTCTTGATTCCGCGACAGTTCTGATCACTAAAAGCATACGTGTAATCTTGGTGTGCATCTCTTAAGTTAGCTCTAGGAAGAAGGGTTAAACATTTCCATTTTTAATCCTGCTCGACTACTTCGTTTTCGTCTCAGAGCCAACAGGGTTATGTTTCGATCTTACGGCAGATATGAGACTGCACGACGACAAGTAACCTTGAGTAAGAAGTGTTCAGTTTATTGTGCTCACCTCATTTATAAAGATTCTTCCGCCTGTGTGATAATTCTGGTCCGCGTTGTGGATGATTACAGCTTTGATGGCACAGGTTGATTCAAGATTTGTTTGAAGATAATTATTCCGTGAGCGTCAACAGTCATATACCGCTTATTGACACAAAAGCCGCGAGGTCAATCAACCCTTTAGAAAGAATTCATGTTATTACGACGAGAAATTGACAGGCGTCTAACGAGCCTTGTGTTATTATTCAAATATGTCCTTCTGGCTTATTGTTTACGAAAACAAGATTACAACTAACTTGTTGGCACTTCACAGCGAAGGAAGAGGACACAGGACTTGAAAAAAGTAAATGTTGAAACCGTGTTGATAGACTCAGTCGTTGAACTGGTTCCGAAAGAAAACACCAAAAACACATACAAAAAAAAAACACATACAAAAAAAACACATACAAAAATCACATACAATCACGTACGACATGAAATGCCACGGCTGAGTGACGACGAAAATAATGAGTCAACCAGCCGCGCAACATCTTTAGGGTGGAGGATACGTAACGAGGCGTTTGGGATCAGGGAACATGTCCAAAAAGGACCTCAAATTCTGAAACAACGTAAACGGTATAGGTTGACTTTTCAGCTGGCCGTGTCGCATAATGCAGCTCTAAGGAAATTAACGACCGCAAGCAAACAATAGTGCTAACATGTCACGCCAAATATCTATCTAGCGTGACATGTCCACCAATCGTCCGATTGTGTATGACACATATGAGGTTTCTCAGGTGTCATCGCATCTATCATCGGTTGAAGTCGCTGGTGATTTCGGTTTACGCCCATGTCGTGCAATCTTTTAAGTCTTTTACCCTCGTCGTCCTTCCTCTCTTTTCGCATTGTGGTATTGCTTCTGTCTATGGGGAAACTTGGAAAAAGAAACGAAATAACAGTGATGGCCAGTACGTGAAGTCCCTTTTGACCATCATTGAGTTAACTTGTGTCAATTGCTGCTTTGCTGGACAATCACCTAACATGACTTGTCAATGCGATGTTGTTTAACCTTAAAATCCTGACTTTCTTCGTCAACAGGTAACGTCCCCACTCTCAATCGTCCGAGTCACGCGGTCAGTCCCAGAAACACAGAGAAAAGCGTAGGTCAGTATGAATTCACTTACCGCGTACAATGGCCAGAATTGTGCATATTAATACGAGGTTGTTACAAATTGAGAGTCGGCGAGGCATGCGATACATGCGAGCCATCGCAAAATGCCTTTTCATATAATTTCTTTTTAGATTAAGATATTTTAAGAATGCTATGGCTTAGTATTGTTTTGCTACTGGAAAAAGCCTACAGAATAACCTTCGTCATGCGACGTTGAAATCGCAGCCGCCAATATTTGGTGGAAGCAAAAGAGCGTAGGTCGAACAATCAAATTCTTACTTTCTCTCCCCTCCTTGAATGAATTTTCTCTCTCGCTTCGACTCCGTGAATCACTCGACGTGTTCTTGGCTGGTGTGTCTTTTTTTAGACTCGATCCTTTTACAGTCTTTGTTGTGGGAATCAAACATCCTTATCGCTTGCTCTTTTTGGGGCTTTTGTCTTCTGTAAATCGGCCTAAGAGGATTTTGCAGCATTGTGCAACATTGATGAGGCATATACGTTCATTTTTCATAACTTAGTAGTTAATATTACATTGGCATTGAGACAGATTTGTAGAATAGCTGTAATCCAGATGGGTTAGCAAAATATGATAAAATAGCCATGTTCTTTTAGTTACAAAGAAACCCCTAGTAGTTTTTAATGGTAATATTAAGGACGTGTTTTTGCGTTGTTATTACATTCGTTGCAGTTGGCCCGTGGTAGGAACTATGTTACGGTGTCGTGTAAGTCTGTAAACCTTCCTTAAACACCTCACGGTTTTCAAAATGGCGCACTATCGTGAGGCACTCGTAACGACTCTTGTGATCTGGGCCAGCTCCAACTCTGGCCATCATTGAACGAATCTGATTGGGTTTCTTTGGATTCATTTTTGGTTTTGTCGGGTTTACTTCGATGTTTGTTCAGGGTCTCACCTCTGAATTTCGACTTGTTATCGATTTGAACGTGACCGCTTCGTCGTCAAACTGTTCTCACATGTGCATTTTACTATGAACACGTCTAACATATCCTTGAAGAAGAATGTCGATTAAAAAAAAAGAAAGAAATAAGGAAAAGACATACAAAAATAAGTTAACGTGGCCAAGGCTCAAACCTTATACCTTCGCATACGAGAAGAGAAGGTACGAACATTGCGCTAGGTACGCAGAGCGTACGAAGCTGTGAAGTTTTGTATAAAAATTCATTTAATGCGCATCAAGAAACTGTAAAATTCTCAGTTTATAATCTCTTGTGCACAGTTAATACATGTACCTACTTTATTAATTTCCTGTCCCATACCCGGCGGGTCAGTCGATTAGTGTACAAACTCTGTCATAAGCAAGTCCTCTTTTGGTCGCAATTTTAGCAACGACAAGAGGTGTTCATTCTGACCCGTCTGCATTTTACACCAGTGTTTTTTTCTGCAATACTCTACAACTATTCAAAAGTAGGCACATGCAGTCAGAGACTGCCTTTTATCTGAATAAATTTTTTTCTATAGTTTGCCTCTATGTTTCGTATGCCTCGTACGCCTCGCCGCACCATGAGTCGTATGTCTGGAATGCGTAATGAAAACACTCATTAATGAGATGCTGTGGCGAGCAATTCAAGCTTGAGAGCTTAGTGAAACCGCCACAATTAGAGAAAAAAGGGCAGAACTCGGCGAATTTGGCTGACTAAAACATTAATTTCGCAGTACTCGAAGTAAGCTTTGCTAAAATAGTAAAACAGATTTTCCTTTATTATCATACTTTAGGAAGATTGAAGAATAAGAAGCAGTAGACTTTCCAAAATTAACCTTTTTGGATCTTTTAGTACGAGATGAGACATTCATTAGGATTCGGTCTTACTTTTCTTCAAAAATGAGCAGCAATCACTGCACTCATTACTGAAGCAGCTTATTTAAGATACACGTCTTCTCTATATATGGGCGTTTTTGTGTCCCTATTGTAAACTTGAAGGATTGAAATCCTAACGATGGTTGCCATGATTGAAAAATGCAGTCACCTGCAGCTGTAACGAACGGTCTATAATCTGGCATCTAATCGAACACCCGTAAATTCGAAAGAGAACTTGTAAATTGCGCTTGAAAAGAAAGAAGCATGAATCCAAATGCGAAAATGGCGGAGGGAAATGTTCAAATGTTTTGACCAGGAGCTCCCTTCAGAGCTCAAAGAGCTCCTGCTCAAAACTTTACTCCTTCAAATGGTTGATGGTGACGATCATACCTTTTCAACGGGATCTTTCATGAGAATGGAGGAAGATGGAGAGGAGTTTGTAAGAACTGAGTCGGCTATAGTTCATCGAGCGATCGTTTTGAAGAATCTGTTTTCGCTTGTGTCGCAACGATCAAGTGATCGTTTTGAAGAATCTGTCTTCGTTTGGGCGTGTCGCAAAGAAACTGATCAATAAGACTGGGATGTTGTGGAAGCGAATAAAAGGAGAACGAAACGGCAAAAAAAGAACCAAGAACAAAGCGATACTTCAGGGCGTCACATAAAACTATCTGACATTGGCACACAAATGAAAGAAACCCATAAAAATTTGGAGCAACCTAGAAAAAAAAGATCCTGAAACTTTAACTGTACTCCACAGTGGAAGTACAAAAACAGTGAACTGGTAACCCAAGCAGCAGATAGAGAAGCAAACAGAACTGGGAAAAAGACCAGAGGGAGAAACATGGCATTTCCCGCAACCTGACCGATCAACTTTCGAACATGCAGTAAGTGCGTTACGAAGTTGTTTTATATGCTTTATTTGGCTGAGCGATTAATACATACGTTTTAAAACATTTATTTTGTTTTAAAACATATTCTCACATCAGACATGACCCATTTGACCATATGTTTCCCTCACAGTTCAGTCAGCAATAACAAGCTAGAACTCGATATGAGGGAAAAAAAACACGAGACGGCGAACGAGGTTTAGAAATAGCTATCAATGAATCGTAATTTATGTTTCACTTATGACCAGGTACTACGCCACCCAGAGTTCCTGAGCCGACTGATTGCATAACTGAGAACGTTATCACCGTTCTGCCCTACAAAGTGTGGAGAGAATTGATCATTAAATTAGATCCCTTGCGTCAATTAGGAGGAGATTACAAAGATCTCGCCAGTGAAATCGGATATGACATGGAGAAAATCTTGTATTTCCAGTCGGGAAAGATCTAACAGAGGCTCAACTCAATGACTGCGCAAACTCAGTCTCAATTGACAAACTTTGTGACAAGCTGAAGGCGATTGGAAGATCTGATGCAAGGAAAGTGCTTGATGAATGGATCAAGTGACGAAACTGCAAATGTGTCACCTGCAACAGCTAGAGCTACTATACGCACGCCAACAAGTTTTTATTTTAGGAGGGAGGGGGTGGGGGCTGGGAATGTTTAAAAAGAGAAAAATTCCAGCGAGCAACTCGGAGTAGAGCTTTTAATTAAACAAACAAAAAGTTGTTTGGGCTGAAGATTTTTATTACTCGTCACCAATTTTTGTGAAAATTATTTCAGAAAATTTAACTTTTCACTTATATCTTTAAGTAAGCGGTTTCGTTATTTCATTCTAATGATTCATGGTGACCATGACCCGAGTGCACCTCTTTAGTATACTTAACATTGTGACAGATAGGTTTTTGAAACCTGCATGAAACTTGTTTGCACTGTTACCACTCAGTAGAGACCCGAGTTAAAAACCGGATTCTTACAGGTTTTGGGATCTTGTACAGTTCGACAATCTGATGAGGCACCAAAGAAAAGACACAAGCTTTTACATCACCTTGCAGAGTTAAATGACACAAAAGTGAATAAGCACGTAACCGAAGAATACTTCACAATGCAATTATGTTTTAGCCCAAGCTGAAACACCTTAGTATTAGGTTCGCACTCAAGAAATGTCGAATGCACCAAAAAAAGAGTAGAAAAATTTGTTTTTAGAACTTTTCACTACGAGAAACCCAAACATTTTGCAAGACATTGATACTAGCAGGTTTTGAATCACAGTTCGCCGCGAGAACTTGGCTATAAGCTCTGATTCTGAAAACAAGATACATGATAGATTTGTGGTGAAAGAATAGGAAGAGAAAAATATTTTCTCATGAAACAACATCAGGCATGACTCACTGTTTTGTCACATGTTTCTTCTACAGTAAACAAAAGAAGCCAGAAATTGAGACAAAAAAGCCGAGACACTAATGGAGGATTAAAAATTACCATCAATTAATCTTATTTTACGTTTGACGCATGACCAGGTTCAACGCAAAGAAACTGATGGATGAATGGATCAAGTCACAAGATTGCCAGTGTGCAGCCTGCAATATTTCGATCTACCGCTTTTTTTGTTGTATGGGGATACAGAAAATCCCAGAAAGAAAAGAACAATTCTCAAAAATATATCCCATGGATAGCGAGTACACCAGAAATATATTTAATCATTGATTTTTTCAACAAAGAAAAAAGTGTTTGAGCAGTATATTTGACTAATAAGAGTTAAGAAAATGAAGCGTTGTTAATAGATAATCGATATATCCACCTTTTTCCCTTTTTTTCGAAAGACTAATGTATGTCACAATCATGAATATTAATCTATAATTGTAGTCGAGCAGAGGAATTGTTTTCATTCTGTTCGCCGTGGATTTGAAGAATAGAAGCTTGTACGTTGCTGGAGTTTGGTCAGCTTGCTATTACAGTGCTCTAATAACTGATCAAGCACCCAAGAAATACTTTTAAAATGCATCGTTACAGCTTATCAATTTTCGGCTCCCGGTTGCCCAGGCCTTACATTGGCTCCCCACAGAAGAATTGTTCTGAGTGTCGAATGTATAGTGTGGCCACTAAAACAGAGCCATAGCCTAATGAAGGTCATTTTTATGGTGCTGGGCTTAGGGAACAAATAAACCATTATATAACAGAGCGTTCCTTAAATCAACAACCTAGCCTACGCGAATGTACTTATAAAATGCTCGAGTTGTTGTGCAAGAAAGAGGAATGCCAACGCAACTTACAAGAGCCTTGCACAGACGTTATAACACAGAGCAGTTTGCATGCGCGAAGTTGCTGAGAAATTCTGCGTGGACCACTGAGAGAAAGAGATCGATATGTTCCAGTTGTTGAATGAAACAATGACCCTCAGTCTCTGAGAATATCAGAAAACACTCAAGACAAAAGGATTGCTAGAGCCGGTACAGTTGAGCATTTGCGCATATCCACAAGGCGCTAAGGAAAAGTAGAGCGTTTGCCTTTATAACCAGCGTTAACATCTGTGCTGTTTTTTCTTGAATTTTACGCCAGCCACGTTGAGAAAACGCTATTTGCAGAAAAAGAAACTGATCCTTGATCAGTTGAGTTTCGAACGGTTCGTTAGCGATTGCAAACACATTTAACGAAGTGGTGATATAGATCGTTTTTGCGATGAATCATCGGCTAGAGACTATATACCGGCCAACATTATCTTGCAAGAGATTATATTCTCTTGTGTCTTGATATTGCAAATCAATTGAGCGACTGCCGCCTTTCGAATAAAGTTACGATAAGGATTGATTTTGTGTGGCTATTAGCCAGAGTTTGTTCAGAAAACCCAAATGCTTGATAAATAGGCCGTTTTTTGGCTTTCTAAATCCATTTTGCAAGACGTTGATACTAGCCGGTTTTGACTCACATTTCGCCGCTAGAATTTGCATATAAATTTAATTCTGAAAACAAGATACATAATAAGTTTGTGGTGACTCCCAAATGTATTCCAGTCGTATTTAGGCGTTGCACATATATGTGCCGTACTGATCCGATTTAGCGCCCGGGACGCTTATTTCACTGCTGTTACCTCAGGGGAGGGGGCTTATTCGAAACAGGGCGTTTATGAGGGACAGGGCGCTTATTTCTCCTTTGAAAAACAGCAGAATGTGAAACAAACTTTTGATGTTTATCCAAAAGGAAAGAAAAGACTGGGAGACAGACTTGCTGTACCGGGATACTTCCTTGCTAGGATGTCTATCCAAGCAACCGTCGCAAAATTTTAAGACTGACGGGATCTTCAATTGGAAGGAACTATGCCCTCGCGGCGACATAATAATTGAGAGACAGACGAAGTTCTTTTTTTTGTCGTGAGGTTTTAAGTGAGCGAATTAAAGGAAGATGGACCACGGTTAATCTCAATGTTCATGTACCCTACTAGTCTTATTACTGAAACAGAATAGGGGCGTTTATTGGAAAAGAGGTGCGTATTGGAATGAGGTGCTCACTCGTTAGGGGGCGCTTATAAGAGTAGGTCGAATAGGGGCGGTTATTGACAAAAACCAAATTCAAGGGGGGCGTTTATTAGCGAGGGGGCACTTTATGGAAGGAGGGCGCTAAATTGAAGAGTTACGTTATATTTGTTTGTTTTGTGGTCACCGTTGTTGTTTTAATTGTTGCACGTTTTTTTGTTTGTTTTTTCAATTGACTAACAATATTTGTTGAGACCAATCTCCAGCGAGAAGCTCATGTCATGTACAAGAACGGTCCATTCGTTCGATTGATACTGGCATGCATGACTGCGCTGTCTCCGAAGTAATGAGGATCGAATGCAATGATTGGTAAAAGTAAGGTAACATTATGAAAAGTTCTTTACGTAGCAATTTAACAATTATAGAAAAATAACTACAGCCCTTGTCTCTTGCACACAGCTTACAGCTAGAAGTAAGGCACAACGGTTCGAAGAAGCATTAACTTTCTTTTTGGTGCCTGTGGAGCTGCTTTTTCACATTGAAGCCACCGTTTCACCTCCGTTTTCAGGAACAACCTCGTTTCTGTTTTCATCTGCTCCCTTCTTAGGCTCACTCTGAACGGAATACAAACTCTCCATGGTTGGTTGATTGAGAGTTTCCGGTAAAGTCATACATCCAATAGCAGCTGCTATTGCCAGACCAGCCATTATCCCATAGGGAAGAAAACGATCAACGATCAACTGTTGAAAGAAGATAGATCAGGGTATATATTAAATTAAGGCTGTTACAGTCGAATCTCTCCACGGTGGACACCTAAGGGACAGAGGGAAAGCTTTCAGTGATGGGTGACTGCCCAGGGGAAAGTGGGGATAATTACAAATATTTTATTTCATTTCTTTGTTGTTGTTGTTTAATACCGTCTTAGACCTGAAGGAAACAACAAGTTTGTCAGCACACGCGTCATTTGCCATTCTGTTAGTCTGTTGGTCCATCTGTCTGAACGATCGTAGTTTGTCAATCTGTCTGTGTACAATTTCTTGCCCCTTTGTATGAGCGTCTGTCTCCTTGTGTGTTTATTTCATTTGCAAAATTTGCTTGTTCCAAGTTTGGGGAGATTATTTGTTTTCTTTAACGAAAAAGCTGAAGCAAACCACCCAAACTTATGATAGTAATAGGATGTAGGAAATATAAATTGATTATTTACCAAGAGCGGAGCATAAGCTGAGGCAAAAGCGCTTACGCGGGCGGAAGCTGTAGATGTACCCATTCCAACATTCCTAAAAGAAGGACAAAACAAATCTCATTATGCTGGTAAACTGTATAACTGAACGTGCTAATCTGATTTTATGAAAAGAGTCATTCATTCTTGATCAATTGAAAAGACTTACAGTAGGTCCAAGGCTAAAGTTAATAACTTTTCACTATTACCAATAGCAGGCCTATGCTCCTTGACTTCACGCGTTCGCAACTCCTTATCTAAAGGATCGTCTGGATGAATTCAATTCTTATGATAGCTCAAAAATATTATTTTAAGCGTTCATCCAGAACGCAGCCACATAATCCAGACAGATTTTTGCCTCATTCACACAACTTCGCTTGGATATACTTTTAAGGTAAAAACTGACCTACAAAATGATTCCAAAATTAAAGCCTTTTGAAAATGTGTCGTTTTCGAAACTTTCCGTCTCTGATGTGGAAAGGTGCGAACGGAGGCTTACGAAAATGGTGACGTAACGTAAAAAGCGTCATATCAGCGTTTTTTTGTCGGCTGTAATGTGGAGGACTGGGCACTTGAAAGACAAGGCATTAGAAAGTCTGTTTTTTTTTCAGATGAAAGCCCACTAGCATGGGCAGCTGAAACAAACCGAGTATTCTTATAGTTGAGACGGACGATTACTTTTAAAATCGCATTAAAATGACGGACGCCCTTAAAAATATATCGAGAGATCCCATCTTTTACAGTATAGATATTTAAGTCTAGTCTACCTTATGGTTGTTGGAAACAACTCAGCAGAGTAAATGTAAATCAATGAAAAGGCTATTTCATTGCTAAACCTTGCAACGAACATGGACATGAAGATTTTCCCAGCCATGTAACCTAGGTAAGGAAAAAATTTTAAATGATTAGCAATAACAAACATAACTCTTTATAAGTTTACGCTTAGATAAAAGCTTAGGAAGCCCATTCGAGGTTTTTTCAAGAGTCAAAAAAAAATGTTTTCTATGGTTAGGGTTCATGGCCGTACAATTCAGCCAATAGTCTATCTACTTACGAATTTTCCATCCGAAACGATGTGCATCTCAGTGCAGTGTCATGAACCTTCGACTGGTCAGCTAAATGGCTAGTTAGTTTGGAGGGTTTAGAGATATTTCTAATTGCTAATTATTTACAAAATAGGTCCTATACGTAAATCAATTTGTGAGTGCTTCACCTTTATCGTTTTCAGCTTTGTCTGACAGTAGAAGTGTCCCGATTGCTCCGACAGCAGCTAATAAAAACGTTACTCCTATAGTCTTTCTGCGACCGAACCTGTTGAAATAACAGCAGGAAATTAGTAACAATCGACAACTCAACAAGGATGTCGATGGTTAAACTGAATTTGATATCTATAAGCTGCTTCACTTAACCGCAATTTTGATTGAATCATCCTTTTCTAAAACTGGCAGCAGACTTAAATTTTTCTTGACTTATTAACATATTTTGCATGTAAACTAACCATTTTTGTAACAATTATTGATATCTTGAAAATCAAAAACTTTTAAAAACATGAAAGAGACAGATAAGACGAAACAGATCTATAAAGTCTCTTGGCCCCAATGGCAATACTTACTTCATCGTCAAAGCAGCACTTATTGGGTATGCTGGCAATGCAGCTATACTAGATATAAGGACATTGATGTAGATATTTCCCCCAACAAAAGGAGCACTGAAAGCTATGCCCCAGCTGATAAAAGATGCAGAGAACCTGTTCACGACGAGAGAAAAGATAAAAGGGAAAGAGAAATTAGGAAATTGGAGATAAATCCAAAACGATTACTGAAAGGGTATATTTCTGGAGGTAATCATGAAAAATGTTTTCAGGTATAATTTGAATTGAAAAACTCATAGATTACTTAGATTAGAAACCTTTGGTTTAATTGGGATATTCATGGTACCCATAATTCACAAGAAAACACAACATTCCATTAAATAAAAAGGTTTAAGAACTATAACAACGGATTATGAATAATTCGCAAGGAGACAGGTTTGCCTTCCGGCTTTGATGCTTTCCTTTTTCAATTATTTTGCTCATTTTCGTCTTTGTCTAATTGCTAACTTGTTTGTTTGTTTGTTTGTTCATCTTGTTGTATGAAGCGTCTTACGTTGCTTCTCAGAGGACATTCCATCAGTTCCTATAAGCTTTAGGGGATCTCCCAGTACTATGAATATGTGTCATCTTCGGAACAAACTGAGAATAAAAGAGACCCCCCCCCCTCCCTCTTGCGTGACAATTATCATTACTTCGCAATTTAGAAGCACAGCATAAGCAAAATTTCTGTTGATTATCTCGTGTAAACAACTTGGTTCAACCAAATCAAAAGACAACTAAACTTTGTCTCTTTGGGTTGGGCACCAAAGCGAGTCTCGTAAGATCACAAAAGGGAGCGGCCGCTTCACTACTTACCACATTAACCAAGAGCATAACGTCTTGTGTATCATTTTTCGTGACACAAACAAATCTCGGAAGTCACCAAGCCTCTCATTCTGCTCTTCTTGTGATAATTCCAATGACTCAGTAGGCATTTCTTTTCCATTCACCTCAGCTACGTTACATAGGATTACCCTGGCCTGATCCTCTCGACCTTTTTTTAGCAACCAGCGGACAGACTCTGGGATGAAACTGACGGGCAATAATGTTAACCCAAAAATCAATGAAGATGAGTCCTATTGATGATTTGAGATAAAAACTTTAGCTGATAATTTGGTTTTATCAGCTGAGTTGATAATGTGGATTGACCACCGAAGAGAGATTCTAAAGCCGACGATTCGAGCGTTAGCCCTTCATCGGAGCAAATCGTCAGCATTAGAACCAGACAACTATACGATGGCCAATTCAGATTATCAACTCAGTTGTCCAAATTATCTTTTGATACCCTCCACCGACGCAACATTGTAGTTTTTTTTTTTATCTTACCCCCATTAAAAGTAATTAGCAGTTCGTTTCTCTTCAAGAGATGGTGCGTGTGGGACGATAGCCTTTAAGGCTGAAGGTTAACATTTTGGTCATTTTACGGCTAACTGTTGAGGTGATTCCTTAGTATCGCACTGCGCATCCTGTACTACGCATAAAAATCAAGTAATCAGGCGAATAAGCGCGTGCATTCCGAGCAAACGACATTGTTTTTCAATCAATGGACCAGGTAAAGAGGTGCTATGGGCAATGGCTCTTGAACGAGTACGGTGATGTTATCATACATCGGCAGAGTACTAAGGAAATGACAAGGATCGATTTTCCTTGGATATTTATCGTTTTCCCGAGTATTCTGATTTTACAGACTGAAAAACGTTACTCTCTCTTTTTCGCAGCAATCTTTGAATCTACGGCTATATCCATTAAATCACGCGACTTGCAAACACAAGCTCAGGGGAGTGGACTGTAATTTCACCCAAAAAATTGCTTAGTATTTATCATTAAGTGCCATGGAAGGTTCTGTTTACTCACAAGTATCCAGCCGTAAGTAATATGCCAGGAACTCCAGTACATATAATGAGCTGACGCCAGTCTCTAATAGCATATGCTACCCCTGCTAAGATCATGGAGAACAGAAGGAATCCAATCCACACCAGGCCTCCTGCTACACCTCTGTGGCGAATTCCGGAAAACTCCGAAGTCAACACGAACAATGGAATGCTGTAAGCACCTGCATAAACGAAAACCAGCTTGTTGATGCCAGAGCAATTTTCAAAAGAGTGTCGCAAGTAATCCAAGATCGAACTGATTTTTATTTACTTTGCTCTGTGATAGGTCCGGAAAGAAAACTCGCGCCACTTTTTCAACCAATTAGAGGCAAGAATAAAACTTATCACGACTTGGTCGCACGCGTTTTCCCGCGCTTTAAGCAGTTTGGTTGTTTTGAGTTTGAATTCTCATTGGGTGTTATAGGTATTTTCCCTTCTTCTGATTGGCTGTTGTGGTTACTTTGGTTTTATGAGATTCAATCAAAAATTGCTCTAAAATACCTAAGTTTATTAACTGTAGAAGTATGAGCCTTTCCACTGCTCTTCTGACTTGGAATCTTTCCAGAATTTGACTTCTTCTTGTAATACAACTTCCCAGCCATTGTTATAAAAAATATACAGACAGTCCCTCTACGAGAAAACTTCAGCGTAACCACACTGGTCCTCTCCACAAAAAAATTAGAATTTTTGTTTGTTTTATTACCACAAAATTTCATTATGGTTCCTGTTTCATTTGTTTCATTACGTAGAGATGATCCTCTCTTGTCTGAACTTACCAATCATGAATCCAACAATGCTACGACAAAGTGCAAAAAACCAGAATGCAGGAGAGAAGGCTGAGATGAGATGAACCACGCAGCAAATAAAACCGCAGAGGAAAAGTGGGCGTTTCCTGCCAAATCTGTCAGAAAAGGTGCTCACAAGGATACTTCCAATGAAAAATCCGGCAAAGATCGTAGAGGTGGAAACAAACCCCAAAGACCCGCGTTCACAAACCAGGTCGAACTGTTAAGTTTAAAAAGACCTACTCATATTAGAAGAAATTCACTGTTGATGGATGTTACCAAATACTCATCGACAGATACAATTTTTTTCTTAGTTCTTTCAGGCTTTCCTTTGATGTAAAGTTGCCTTTACAACAAAATGAGTTTTAAATTTCGTTTGGCAATCAACATCGGATAGAACTAGGACTCCAAATCAAATTAGCAAGTTTCTTAGGGTGATAAAATTCAATTTCTCGTGTTTACCTCAGTGACAATAGAAGTGAAATCGTTCGCAAATTTCCAATCTTCCCTTGGAATATTACATCGGTACTTGTACCTCGAGTCTCCAAGACTTATGGTGTCCGTATAGGGGCAAGTCGATATATTTTTGCACTGCCAGCCGGGCTCCGATGCGATAAAGACAGAAGTCATTACAGGAATGGCCCACCATAATGCATAGGCAAGATTGAAAAATATGCTGAGGAAAATTTGGTAGCGACCGAAGCTACCAATCTTTTCCAAGACCTCGTCAGTGGTTATCGTCATTTCTAAAAGGTAAAAATTAGTATGCATTTACATCGAGTGCACTTCAAACATATTTTCTAGTTTTCTAAGATTTAGCCAAAGATCGAGGTCGATTATCAGTAGGATTGAACATTGTCGATGATATCTAACCTACGTGTGGGAAGCAGAGCAAATTACATTTGTTCATGGCCGGTCGGATAAACAATCGCTTGCCTATAACGTCAGCTCGCCATAATAAGACGCCTGCACTGCAGGCGGAGTAACTGCAGAATACCCTGCCACTTTGGTTCATCTCATTTACATGTGACGTGAGGCTTTCAAGGACGAGACATAACACAATAGACGCTATTCCTATTCAATGACATGTAAAGGAGTGGCAGGGTATTCCGCAGTTTAGCCCTGCAGGCTACTAAATGAGTGGTATGAGTGACTGAAACCATTTGGTTATCATTTCGCTGCCCTTCTAGATCGGTGGAATAACTGAGGGTCAAGGGCTGCATACTTTGGCAAACAATAAAATTACAGCTCCAGTAAAAGTAGCCTGTGTTCTCTAAAATGAGTTTGCCAGCGCATATAACAATATGCACTAGCTCCATTTACAAAAGAAAAATCAGAAATAACATTTTTGTGGCTCTGATCACTAAAAGCATACGTGTAATCTCGGTGTGCATCTCTTAAGTTAGCTCAAGGAAGAAAGGTTAAACATTTCCATTTTAATCTTGCTCGACCACTTCGTTTTCGCTCAGAGCCAACAGGGTTATGTTTCGATCTTGCGGCAAGTATGATATGAGACTGCACAACGACAAGTGCCCTTGAGCAAGAAGTGTTCAGTTTATTGTGCTCACCTCATCTATAAAGATTCTTCCGCCTGTGTGATAATCCTGGTCCGCGTTGTAGATGATTACAGCTTTGATGGCTCAGGTTGATCTAAGATTTCCTAGTTTTGAAGATAATTATGCCGTGAGCGTCAAAAGTCAGATACTGCTTATTGACACAAAGCCGCGAGGTCAATCAACTCTTCAAAAAGAATTCATTGACAGGCTTCTAACAAGCCTTGTATTATTATTCAAATGTGTCCCTCTGGCTTATTGTTTACGAAAACAATATTACAACTAAATTGTTAGCACTTCACAGCGAAGGAAGAGGACACAGGACTTGAAAAAAGTAAATGTTGAAACCGTGTTGATAGACTCAGTCCCTGTACTGGTTCCGAAAGAAAACACCAATAGCCAAAAACACATACAATCACAACGACATGAAATTCCAAATACCTTAAGTCGCCTTAAGTCGCCTTAAGTCGCCTTACGTCGCCTAAAGTCACCTTAAGTCTCCTTAAGTTTCCGTAGGTTGCTATTGGTTATGCAATGTCATAAGGGTTCCACCCTTCCCAATTGAACCTATCCACTCCACTCCAATCGGCGACTTAAGGTCCCAGGGTAGGCCTAAAGAGCGTAGTTTGGACAAACAAATTTTTACTTTCTCTCCCCTCCTTAAATGAATTTTCTCTCCCGCTTCGACTCCGTGAATCACTCGACGTGTTCTTGGCTGGTGTGTCTTTTTTTAAGACTCGATCCTTTTACAGTCTTTGTTGTGGGAATCAAACATCCTTATCGCTTGCTCTTTTTGGGGCTTTTGTCTTTTGTAAATCGGCTTAAGAGGATTTTGCAGCATTGTGCAACATTGATGAGGCATATACGTTCATTTTTCATAATTTAGTAGTTAATATTACATTGGCATTGAGACAGATTTGTAGAATAGCTGTAATCCAGATGGGTTAGCAAAATATGATAAAATAGCCATGTTCTTTTAGTTACAAAGAAATACCAAGTAGGTTTTTAATGGTAATATTATTAAAAGGAGGTGTTTTTGCGTTGTTATTACATTCGTTGCAGTTGGCCTGTGGTAGGAACTATGTTAGCTGTTCATTCTGACCCGTCTGCATTTTACACCAGAGTGTTTTTACTGCAATACTCTACAACTATTCAACAGAAGGCACATGCAGTCAGAGACTGCCTTTGACTGAGTACAATTTTTTTATAGTTTGTCTCTGTTTCGCATGCCTCGCACGCCTCGCCGCACCATGAGTCGCCTGCCTGGCATGTGTAATGGCAAGACTCATTAATGAGATCCTGTGGCGAGCAATTCAAGCTTGAAAGCTTAGTGAAACCGTCACAATTAGAGAAAAAAGGGCAGAGCTCGGCGAATTTGGCTGACTAAAATAGTAATTTCGTAGTACTTGAAGTAAACTTTGCTAAAATAGTGAAACAGATTTTCCTTTATCATCATACTTTAGGAATATTGAAGAGGAAGCAGCAGTAGACTTTCCAAAATTAGCCTTTTTGGGAACTTTTAGTATGAGAGGAGACATTTATTAGGATTCGGTCTCACTTTTCTTCAAAAACGAGCAGCAATCATTGCACTCATTACTGAAGCAGCTTATTAAAGATACACGTCTTCTCTGTGTATGGGCGTTTTTGTGTCCTTATTGAAGGACAAAAAGTTGTAAACTTGAAGGATTGAAATCTTAACAATGGTTGCCATGATCGAAAAATGCAGTCACCTGCAGCTGTAACTAATAGTCTATAATCTGACATGTAATTGAACACGCGTAAATCTAAAAGAGAACTTGTAAATTGCGCTTGAAAAGAAAGAAGCATGAATCCAAATGCGAAAATAGCGGAGGGAAATGTTCAAATGTTTGGACCAGTAGCTCTCTTCAGAGCTCAAAGAACTCCTGGTCAAAACTTTACTCCTTCAAATGGTTGATGGTGACGATCATACCTTTTCAACGGGATCTTTCATGAGAATGGAGGAAGACAGAGAGGAGTTATAAGAACTGAGTCGGCTATAGTTCAAGCTAACGATCGAGCGATCGTTTTGAAGAATCTGTTTTCGTTTGTGTCGCAAAGAAACTGATCTATAAGACTGGGATATTCTGGAAGCAAATAAAAGGAGAACGAAACGGCAAAAGAAGAACCAAGAACAAAGCCGATACTTGGACAATGCTTTTGCTGTATTCCCAAGAAATTGATCACAAAAAAAACTATCTGACATTGACACGCAAATAAAAGAAACCCATAAGCAACCTCGAAACCAGATCCTGAAAATTCCGGCCACAGTGGAAGTGCAAGCAGTGAACTGGTATAAGCAGTAGATAGAGAAGCAGAGGGAGAAACACTAAGGCATGCATTTCCGCAACCTGACCGATCAACTTTCGAACATGCAGTAAGTGCGTTACGAAGTTGTTTTATATGCTTTATTTGGCTGAGCGATTAATATATATGTTTATTTTGTATATATATGTTTATTTTGTTTATTCTTTTTGTGTCGTCCAATTCTGTCTGTAGTCATGCTCATGATTGTCAAGTCAGACTTCCGCTTCGCGGTCGTCCGATTTTGCTAATCACTCGTATGATTACAGACCTAATTGGACTAAATTATACAATAAAACTGTCAGGTAGAGAAACAAAAATGGATTAGTTAGAATGCCAGAACCAGTTTCTCTATTTTTTAAATTTTAATTGTTTTAAATTATGCCTTCGGGCCCGTTAAGTTACCAGAAATTTCTAGAAACGGGTCCCTGGTTTGACTGCTTATTTGGTTTTTCGAGCTTCTTCCTCCCTCCATCGTAAAGCATCTTATTCTTTCCTGGTCGGCAACTATGACATGTGGTCGGAAGAAAAAAAAGAAAGGAAAATACTTACCCATGAAACAATATCAGGCATGATCCATTTGACCATATGTTTCCCTCAGAGTTCAGTCAGCAATAACAAGCTAGAAGTCGATATGAGGAAAAAAACACGAGACGGCGAACGAGGTTTAGAAATAGCTATCAATGAATCGCAATTTATGTTTGACTTATAACCAGGTACTACGCCACCCAGAGTTCCTTAGCCGGCTGATGATTGCATAACTAAGAACGTCGTCACCATTCTGCCGTACAAAGTGTGGAGAGAATTGATCATTAAATTAGATCCCTTGCGCCAATTAGGAGGAGATTACAAAGATCTCGCCAGTGAAATGGGATATGACGTGGAGAAAAACTCATTGACTGCGCAAACTCAGTCTCAATTGACAACCTTTGTGACAAGCTGAAGGCGATTGGAAGATCTGATGCAAGGAAAGTGCTTGATGAATGGATCAAGTGACGGAACTGCAAATGTGCAACCTGCATCAGCTGGAGCCACTATGCGCACGCCAACAAGTATTTCTTTTTTAAGGAGGGGGGGGGTGGGGGTGGGAATGTTATAAAAAGAAAAAAATTCCAGCGAGCAACTCAGGAGTAGAGTTTTTATTTAAATAAACAAGTTGTTTGGGCTGAAGATTTCAATTACTCGTCACCAATTTTTGTGAATATTCAGAAAATTTAGCTTTTCACTTGTTTCTTTAGGTAAGCAGTTTCGTTATTTGATTTTAATGATTCATGGAGACCATGACCCGAATGCAGCTCTTTAGTGAACATACTATTGTGACAGGTAGGTTTGGAAACCTGCTTGAAACTTGTTTGCATTGTTACCACTCAGTGGAGACCCGAGTTAAAACCGGATTCTTACAGGTTTTGGGATCTTGTACAGTTCGACAACCTGATGAGGCACCAAAGAAAAGACGCAAGCAGTTCCAGCAGCTTGCAGAGTTCAGTGACACGAAGTAGAGTTTAGTGACATGAAAGTAAATAAGTACGTAACCGAATAATAATACGATGGAAGCGCATTAAAGAAACGTTAAGTTGGGGACTATCCCCTCCTTTAGCCCCAAAAACTTGTCATCCCCTCAAAATCGTGCTCCTCACACAGAGGCCTGGAAACAAGGATAGTTGTCAGTTCACTTCGTCCAAAGAGAGGAAGGCAGAAATGACTTCCCAAAGGAACGAACAAGAGAACTTGCGGACTTCGATTTTCTCGATCGAATTATCTAAAGGTCCGCGCTCTCCTCCTATGAGGAAAGGAACAGCCTTCACAGTGAAACTGGATGGATCATTTTCAACCTATTTGATGACTAGTTGCTCAGTGGTTGAACGAAGTGGAGCAACTTCCTCAAGCAGGCTAACTTGTAAGCGATTTGGTCAGTCTCTTCCGGAGGAGAAACATCCTATAAACCCAGATTCAGCAGAATCTATAAAAATGGAAGAATTCTGCGTTATTCCTTACGAATCGCCTTCGAACTTAAAATTAATCAGCGCCGATAAGCTGTGCAAAGAGGGAGAAATGATGACGCGGAAGTCTACTTGCAAATCATTTACATTCTTAGGAAATTCCTTCACCATCATGACTTGGGAATTCAAAAATGATGAAGAGACTTATGTTTTAACCGGAATTGATTCTGATGTGGAGCTTGTTGCGAGTTCTTGCAGGGGATCGCCTGTAGTTTCCATCGACGATCTACGGACGGTTATTGGAGTGGTGACCTGCTCGTCAAACGGAGACCTTGAATTGCTCTTCCTCGAAGCAAACTCTCTACGTGAAATAGAAGGTAGGGATGTGCTTTAATGTAATTCTTAATGTTAATTCTTAAGGAAAATCCCCCTTTGAAATTTCCTGTGAGGTCTTCAGTGACAATGAAATATATGGTTTGAATTTTTTGGTTCCTTCGACCTCAACCATCCTCCCCAGTCAGTGTGATGCTTGGCTGGCTGGCGGCGAAGGTACGTTAGTTGTAAACTTACGGTCGTTCTTTGACTTTTGTATGCAACCACATTAATCGAGAACAGGGAGTCACACTTATCTGAAGGCTTCTCTCAAAATGGTTCAGGTAGCGGTACAAAATTTTCGCCTACTTGCAGGGAAAAACAAATGCATCATAAGTTATGGTTAAAAGCAACTGGAACGAATGAAGTTTTGAAGTTAAGTAGCCTACTTAAAAACTATCTAGTGTTTGGCTAATAAATTTACAATATTGGGATAATTTTATCAAAACTTATCAAAACCATGCTGACTTCATCGATGATTATCATTCTAGGACAACTTAAAGCCAGATGTTCAGATGACAGGGGAATTGATGTTACAGACTCTCCCTTAATTGTACGTGGTCCACCATCATCTGCGTCTGCCCGTCATCAACAAAATACACATCCAGGTACAGTTTTCGCTGTGCTAGTAGAGCTAAGTTTACGATCACACACTTAATGAATTCAGTGAATAATTTTAGTTAATCTATACTGAAAAAGGTCAATATCACGGAAGGAAAACGACAAAAGACAGTGAAACGAAATGCAAATGAAAATATTCGTGGTCTCGTCACTGGTGATGAGAAACGGTTACGTCTTTGAAATTGTATATATATATATATATATGGGTTAATTCGTCCAAATATACTCCAGTTATTTACGTAAATATGACCAGTTCAGTTGGGCCAAAATTATTCTCCTCCCTGAGCCTTTTTTACACAGTCTTAACCTTGGGAAATAGTATTTCATTGCGAGTTTTATTGAGCTAGACAAATAACACTCTGGGATCTATTCGTAAACAGAAACCAAAGCAGAGAGAAGTTTTTTTTATTTTGATTGTATTGAAAGATGTTAAGATTGATTTTAACGCTGAGATAGTAGATTTAGATGACATTAAATGTTGGTAGAGTGCCTAAAGAAAGTTTACAGATCACTCTTCTTTTGCTTTTGGCTTACAAGATCCTCGAGATGTGTACTTATGCAGCAACATAAGGCAGTTTAATTGATATGAAGTGCATACAAATGCTTTGGGTTTGTAGATGTACAAAAAGATAGCTTTTTGACCAATCAGACTGTACATGATACCTTATCTATATTGTAAATGCTTACACATCAAGATGACTATCAAAATATTGAAGCTTATATCTGCAATTAGACCTATAGGGGTATTAAAATGAAACTTGATTTTTAATATCACATTTAATTTGTGACAACCCAGCAAACAGAAATCTTAATTTCCTTTTAGTGTTCAAAATAGTTTTCAGATCTGATATTTTAAAAATACAAGGACTGTGGTGGTTCAGATTTGTTAACAGTGAATAATATTCTTACAATTATATTCTTGTTACAGTAAATATGTGCCATAGCATTCAGGAACAATATTCATGCTCAAATAACAGTTAAAAATATACTTAAAACTTTTGTTGTCCATACAGCTACATTCTTGTGAATAAATTGTGCTTGCTTGATTTGAAGGAAACCTGGTAGTTAATTTCTAGCACCCATGTAATTGTTCTTAGTAATTTAAACTTAGTAATTACTGTCTTTTTACATACCAATACACAGAAGATACTGGAACTAATGCCCAAACATCATCTGAAGATTTGGAAAAACGTCTATCACATGTGTCAGTTCAGGGTAAGAATTTCACATGTATTTCTTACTAGGACACTGATCCTCCATTAGAGACTTTTTCAACTGAGCTACCTGCAGATTTAGCAATTTGGTAGTGTTTGATCTGTATGCATTTCTTAGAAGAAGACTGGTCTTTCATCACAGATTTTCTGTAACTGCGCTACCTGCTGATTTATTTAGCATATAAGTGGTGGTATTTGATATGTTCCCCTTTTAGGATTTGAATAGGTCACAGAGAACCTGGAAAGTCTCAGAATTTCATTGTATTATCAACTAGGCTTGGGAAGTCATGGAATTGCAGTTTTGGTCATGGAATATCAAGGGAAATGTCTTTCTGTGAACTTCAAATTTTGTCTATGGAAATCCTTTACTTTGTACAATTGTTGTCACTCCCCTGACACTTATTGAAAGCAAGGTTTTCCTGTAGCTGAAGAATTAAATAAATGATACAATTAATTTAACACAGGATTTTCTTGACATCTAGAGACAACTCCACATATAACACAGACTTCCTCCCATGAAAGTAAACCTGAAAAGATCAGATGCATTTGGGATGAACAGGTGCCATCTTTGAAATCTTCTCAAGATTTGATGAATGATTTGAAGTTACATCTGGACCCAAAGAGGGATCTTGGTGGAGATTATTGTTCATTAGCAAGTGCATTTGGAAAAAACATGAAGTATATATGGTATTTGGATTCAAGACCGAGTCCTGTTGAACATTTGATACGAGATTACTGTCCGACTTTAAGACAGCTTGAAAGGGCATTAATTAGTTCTATGGTCAACCGAGGAGATGTTTCAGACATAGTTAAGGAGTGGGTTGAAAAAGAGGGTTGTCACTGTGAAGAATGTGGTGGTATTCGTTAGGGTTTGATCTAATTTGCAGGTGTTATTTCTTTCTACTTATTTCCAAGATTCTACAGTTTGCCTGTGGGCGAGTAAACCACATTTTTTGATAAAGTGGAACACTAGATTTCTTCTGGAATCACAGGAAATTACACCAGTCCTATAGATTAGGCCAAATTGATATTTCCAAAGTTGACAGTTTTGTCACTTGGAAGTGGAAGTTGCCGAATTAAGCAAGGAAAAGGTACTTTATGACCAATAATCCATTTAACCCACAATGTTGTCAGTAATAATTAAAACATTTAACTGCTAGTCAAGATAGTTTTGCAAACTTAAACAAATGATTTAAAAGAAATGAGTGCAGTAAGAAGTTAGTATTTGTGATAGCCTTTGGGACTGGTTATCATTTCACAGGTGTCAAAACTCAACTTTAGCTCCTGTAGAGTTTAACAGATAAAATGATTGCTAAAAAGTTAGATACGATAAAGATGATTACTAATACAGTGATATAATCTGTCCTTGAGAAGGATATTCCCAATGTTGGAAAAACCAGGAAATCACTTCCTTTTCATCTAACATACATGTTGTCACTGTACCTTTAAACCTAATAGATATTTGATTTACCTTACTGACCAAAGTAGAGGTGAATAATGGTGGATATTTACCGAGCTGAGAAGCCGCAAGGTGAATATCAACCACTTTCTCGAACACTTGGGGGAATAATTGTATTAGTATATACCACACAGATACCAAAAAATTAGTTTTAATAATTTCTTTCAATATACTGATGCACTGCCTTACTTTTTACTTGCACAAATTTGTCAAAACTGTGGCCAGTGCAGTTGCAGAGCTTAAAGTATAGATGAAAAACAACAATGCAAGGGATAATGATGAATGTAATTTTTTAGTGTCTTTAAAAGATGAAGCAAGAAGGTGTAGCTTATGTTTAATCCACTTTATCTTTAACAGATGTCTTGAAATATGCTGCACTATTAGTGCTTTTAGGCATGTATTTTTGCTAAGTATTTATAGTTCTATACTTATTTTATCATCTGTAAATTAGGAATGAGGGTAAATATTGTTGTGAAACTATTAAAAATTATCTAGTAGGTACCTGAATATTTTTAAGTTCAATGGAGTTTTTTTTAAATTCTGGCAGTAAGTGAATAAATTCAGTACTGCTCATCTGTTTACTTTGTGGCTCGCCAAAACCACTGCTAGCAGAAACTATTAGAAAGTAATTGCTTTTAGTAAAGTAACCAAGACACTGTATCTTCAGAGTAGTCACTTAATATGGTGAACCAGAAAACTGACTCATATTAGGTAGCAATCATGGCAAACAAAGTTTTCAGTTGTTGTAATTGTTGTTTTTTGTAATGATAGCATAACAATCTTCTTAGGTTGTTGGGTGGAACTCTCAAAAATATTTTATGTGCTTTATGCATCAATCAATTTGATGCTTCAAATTGAAAAAAGGACATGGTCAGTTTTACCAACAAGAAGAGATCTCAACACAAAGATGAACTGTAACACTAAACTTTATTATTCACAAAATTGTCTTCATAATAAATAGTTTGATAGAAGTCTCTCAAAAAATAATTTGTCATACAATGTGATGGTCTGAAAGATTCCCTATCAAACAAATCTTGTGGTAACTGTAACAGTATAAAATAAATATCTCAATTGGGATAGATTTCTCAATATTTTTTGAAGTATCTTTGCAAACAGAAACATACATCTCAGAATTATATTATCATAACATCAGTTAACACAATGCAACAAGAACTACTGTAATGGCAGTTTTATAATTTGTTAGAGAAGGCCTCTGACCACTATGAATGTAAATATCAATTCACTGAATGTTAATCGCTGACAGATACTAAAATGTGTCAAAAGGACAAGTATTGATGAGATCATTAGTCAAGAGGAAGCATTTCTGTCCTTTTCCTTTATAGCGCTTCAACACCCAAGATCTGATTGTAATTTCTCCCTTCAAGCTGCTACACATTTAGTTGTAAATAAGTCATGAGAATTTGATTAAAGATCAAGATAACTTCTATTGGTAAGTTTCAGTATTCTCATTACCTGTTTGCTGGATAGTGTTCAGATATTATAGGGAGAAGATACAAGTGTTTAATATTTTGGTCTGATCCTTTCACTGCTGTCTTGCCACCTAATAAATTACCATGAGTTTACCAAACTGAAATTGTTTTCAATGTATCACATGCATAATTTGTCCAGAGCCAGATGGGTATCAAAATATTGTGACATCTGTTAGTTACCTATTTCCCACATGGGTTGATAGAAAAATGGTTTCAATTGAGTGGACAGGCTCCATTGCGTAGTTTCTCCTAAGAAACAAATGGCGGACTAAAATACATCTTGGTAATCAAAACATGAACAACTTTAAATGAAGAATAAGGTACAACAATAAGTACCACATCAACAACAACAGCCATAGCAAAGCTTTGTTGATTGCACGTGCAACACAGATATACAACAAACATCTTATGTAGCCCCTTCATTAAGGGATGTTTTTGGTCAAACACACTTGCAAAAGTAAGCATGCTGTAGGGTTTGCTGAGCAGTCAGTCGGTCAAAATCATCTGTGTCAAGCAAGTCACCAAGAACAGCCAACAGATCTGCATCCTGCCACAAAATAGAGCACATGATCACTCAGGAAACTCCTCCTCTCTTCATGACACACCCAATGTTCTGGTAAGGGAGAGAGAGTGTTGCATGACCACAACAAAAAGTGGCTGCAAAGGAGACTGCATAAAAAGACAGGAAATCATGCAGGAAAATAGGGCAGTTCATCCAAGTTTGGGAGAAAGATCTTTAGTGCTCTAAAGGAGTACCTCTGATGGCACCTCATGTTTGTGGGATGTTTTGGGGTTCATCAAGAAATTTTCATGCCCGAGCAATGAAAAAATGCTATAAACCTAACACAATCAGAGGAATCAAGTGAAGCATCTATGAAAGAATTACATTAAATTTTGAAAAGATAAAATTGCAATGAATTAATGGGATGTAGAAGGCATTTTAGGTCAGTATTAAAAATCAAGATTCTACAATAATGTTTACTTTAATATTTACAAACCTCAGTCAACTGAGAGAATGTTGTTGTGGAATCCTTATTGGGAAAATTCATCTGCAATGAAGACAATATAAGTGCTCCAATTAATTTATAAGTTTGCTCACTCAACTTAGAAAACTATACTTGTTCATACCAAAACAAAATTTAACACCAACAGGCGGCCTAATTGTATTTTGAGGTCACTCCCAGGAGTGATCAAGAAGGAATTTCTCCTCTTGATATGAATGAATACACTTTCAATGAGAGGGAGACAAAAATATCAACTAAGGAATATTTTCTGATGGAAAACAAAAATCTCTGAGATAAAATTACAAGAAAAGGTTAGCACACTGTGCAGAGAATTGATAAGCAGAACTTAAGTGAAACAGGCTGAATGGTCATTGAAAGGTTGACTGAAAGGCTGAAGGCACTGGCTACTTTTTCTGTAGTAGATTTGTTGCTGCTTTCAAAATCTTATCAAAAAGAGATTAAAATGGTTTTTAACGAATGAACTTCCTTAACAAAGGAAACAACATTTTGTTGTGTGAGCATCTTGATTTTGAGGAAAACATTTAAAGCTGTCAGGAGATTAAGAAAGAATGCTCACAACATTTTAAACCAACCTTCACAATTAACTCTCCAAATAATTTCATATCTTGTGATGGGCTAGATTGCTTAAAAAAATAATTTTTAATGAAATAAAACAATAAGTAAATCAAGAAACTCCCTGGCAACCTTGCCTTAAAGGTGTGACTATTAAAAGTACATGTGGGAGTGTATCACTTCTTAAATCAAGCCAGCCTGATACCAAGATACACACTGTTCCTTAGGTATTAGGTGTTGCACAAAGTTCTGTGGTTAATGTGCACAATTCTCCTGCTAGATTCCGACAATATTAACCATGTTTTGATTCATATGTGGAGAATAATTCTCTCATTTCTTTGTACTGTTCTTCTCCCACTAATTTCTGAACAACATCACTTTTTTCTAATGAGAGAACAACTCAACCATGCACTACACTTGGTAGGGAAGGCACGAGAGCTTAGTGCAAAACAAAATGACTGCCCTTAGCTTTCTCACTTTGAAAGACCAAAAGCCTATATTCAATTACACAGGGCTAGTGTTTATGTCACAGATGAAAGATTGTATGTAACCCTGTTTTGTTGACTATTCTTTATTTAAAATTCTACACCACAAAATTATCAAATACATGCAAATTGGTTGATTAGCATGTTGTCACCATGAGACAAAATTTAATGCTTTCAACTGTGAAATATATCAATATTAATAAGTAAATACTTACTGTATTAATAAATGGGTAAAAATCTAGGACTCCTCTGTACTCTCCAGACCTTTTCTCAACAAATACACTTTGGAGGTGTATACAACCATGGGAAATGTTTTGTGAGTGCAGTGAATTAAGAGCCTCAAGTATGTCCCTCAGAACCATAGAACTACCCTGCAAGTACAAATGCACAAGACATACAGTGCCATAATAAATAATACTGTACTAGTTATATGTTATCATGATAATAATACATGGAAATCACCTCATATAAAATGCAGAGTTTTTCTTCACTCCTGAACTGAACTTAGAGTCCTTTTACAATATCAATATAACATCTATATATCAGACTGAAAATTAAATTAAGCAATGCCATTTTTTCTCTCAAGGAGACAATAACATGTCTGTTAAAAATAACACTGATCAAGATAGACAGTCCTTTGAGTATCACATGCTTTTTGTTTCATTCTCTTCTGACAATGGCCCCTTCAGGTAAACCTTCCACCTTTCTGACACCTAACAAGTATTTATATCCTGGGGTAATACATGACTTGAGAGTGATCTCCCTTTTAGCACTGACACATTTTGTGTTTACCTCAGGTGAACACTCTTGTAAAGCTATCCACTCTTCAGCACTCATCAAGAGAGGCATTTGGACAAATGCCCTGTTTCCCTGTCATAGAAAAAATATTACAGCTAGTTTATATATAAGAACTGCTAACACAAATTGACTTCCCATATCAAAACAGCCCCAGACGAGAGGGAACTTTCCAAAGGATGGTTCAGATTCAAGCATATTTAAATGACTTGCTTTACTTCACTATGAGAAGGTATTAGAAAATAGTCACCTTCCACTACAAACTAGTCTAAACCAAGACTATAAACTGAATGCTGCTTCTTTTGACTTCAAGTTTAAAGAGGCTCCTTGTAATATAGTTCTCAGCTCTGACTGGCTGCTGTAATGACTAACTTTTGCTTGAGACAGTCACCCAAAATGCACCCTAAAAGGGTTGTGTCACTTCGAGTCATTGTTCCTTTGTTAACAATAGTTACTGATGTAATCATGACCAGAAGTTTCCATCAGTAAATAATGCTAATTATTGGGAGAATCATACTCGGCTGTGATTATTTTTATATTAAAAGGGTAAAGATTACAAAAATGAAATGCACTTCTTAAACAGTGACTTTCTCAAGAATACAAAAGGCATCATAACAGTTTGTTATCACTGCATTTCCCTGAATTTAAAGTAAAATGTGTAAATTTAAAATTTGAATTTTGTTTGACTCCTAAGAGGATGATTATCATCAGAATGAAGAATACCAACTAGGTAGCACTATTGCAAAAATAGGCAACACTATTTCATGCACTTCACGCAGTTTAAATGTTCTCATTCCAAAGTTCCACAAAGGAATTTCCCAGTTCTCTATGCCAACTTTTACCTTAGCAAAGAAAGCATCCAGTTGCATAAGGTAAGGGTTCTTTACACTGCTGAAGTGAACAGCATTTTTCTTCAGAGTTTCTATGTCCCCCACTTCTCTGTCAACACTAAGCTCCTACCAAATAAAGACATGTGATTAGTTTCCAGTCAAAACCCAAAGAGAAGTTGGGATTTATTCATCTGAGCATTTGCCGTAACCAAGAACTGTGAATGATAATTGAGGAGCAATCCTTTCCATCTATAAGAGTGCAAATTACCTTTAATATACAAGGTCTTCCAGCAAATTCTGTCTTGATCACAGAGCACTTATCATGACTAACAGATGGTACACTATCATGGTGTGGATAATGTTCTAACTCTCTTCCTGGTTTTACCAGTCCATTAGAAGCCTGATAATTTAAAAAAAGACTCAATCAAATCAATCATCAGTCTCAACTTTCAAAATTTTACTTTTTGCAACAAACTCAAAACAAAATCAGTCTGCATTTTCAGGGTTAGGTTTAGTTGGAAACTCTTTGGTGTATTGTACCACTGTGTTCATCCGTGTCATTTGAACATTTGTAGATGAAGATCAAAACCAATGTGCCCAACATCACAAGAGAGATGTGAATTGTTTCACAAGATTCAAAACAAAAAATTGTGATTTGCGATTGATATGGAGGATTTCAGTCCATTTGGTTTTTTCTTCCCCTCTTGTAAATGGCATTGTAATTCCTAGTTTCATGCAATAAAACTGCAAGTCAGTGGTTCTAAATCTCAAAGTTAGCTTTTTATTTAAGGGCACAGCTATTGGTTAATTTTTGTTAACTGTGCTATTGCATTTTTATGATTATTATGATAAAAAACCAAAGAATCTCACTTATCACAAACTAATACAAAAGAGCTCTCAAATATTGGTCTTATATTTGACAAAATATACCTCATATGATTGCAGTTTCCACTGTTGATTGCGAATAAAGTATGATTCAATTGAAAAAAATAACACTAATTACCAGATATTCTGATATTCCCAGTTCAGGATGAGCAATTGGGAGTTCAGGAAAGTGGTGTAAAGCAGCCTTGGCTACATCAGCCTGTCAGGAAGAAAAAAATTACTGCATTAGTCTCTTACTCATTACTGGTAACACTTTCACCCTCAATGAACTATTTTTTTCTTACACTAAGTCAACCTGAATCAAACATCAATGTCATGAGAACAAAGGAAAACATTCTTATTGTCAGTACAATTTGAGAGAAAGATTCATTTTTGTACTCATTGACCAAACTGTAGTTGAAAATGTTATGACAAGGAGCTCAAAAAATGGTCAGCCTATAAAGGGAAACTGCTGCTAAACCACTAAGGGACATATGCACCACTACGTAAATTAGTTACACAATCATTAACTTCATGCAGTATTAAGATGCATGGAGCAATACTGCAGAATCACCATTCATTTATAGTTTTTTACAGTAGCCAATAACCATAAGTATTTCTTTTGTGAGTATTTGTGTCTGTGTGCATGCTTGTGTATATATCCGAGGGTGAGAGTGAGAGTGAGTGAATAAGTATGTGTACCTCACCGACCTGGTTAATTGATGGTATTTCTATGTAAAATATAAGAACTTGGGAAATCCTATTCTGACAAGCCCTTATGTTTTGTTTTTTTGGATATCCTGCACCCTTATTTATTTAGTTTAATTCTGCATTTAACTTCATAACCATGTAAATGGTGGGTCAAATGAAGATTGTCTCCTGTCTCAGAAGTGTATTATACAACCCTGACTGCACCAATTTTTTACTGCTCTTAGACTATAAATGCTGTCCATTAATTCTCTGCAAGTTTATGTACAAAGAGACAACCCTACATCCTCATCTCCCTCCCATTATCCTGATTATCAATGTGTTAGAGACTTGAATAATATTATGCCTTAGCAAGTCAGAGCCTGGTTGCAAAAGAATGTAATGGTAATCACTGCAGTAACCCATAGGTGACTTTTGACAACTCGGCCATAAAATACTTCCCCCTAATTCTACATGTAATAGACTAAAAAAGCAACTTTATTAACCTTGAAGGACATTCTGGTAAAAATCCATAGAAACAAGGAGTTTTTCAATATCCTGCATACTTACCAAAAAATTACTTTCATCCTCAAAACTTTGGTGAAGTTTTAAATAAATTTCAGAAATGTCTTTTTCCACCTACGAAGAAACGTCATCAGCCATGAATACACAGTCTAAGTGTTGTACAATTCTACAAAAAAATTCAATCATAACTACCTTTTGGAGATCTTCAGCAGTTTCTGGCTCATCTCCCTACACACCAAACAAACAATTCAATCCAAAATCTGCTCTTTAATAACACTTCAGTGAATTATTTCTCACCACCTATGTATCAAATGAGTCATCACTATGCCAGATGAAAGAGAATTGCAGTCTGAGAGATATTAACCTTCAACTTTCATTTAAGTTGAAATATTGATGCCCTCTCAGACAAAACAACATTATTAAATTCCTGCTTCCCTTAAAAAATAACATATTTAATTTAAAATACGGCTGAATGATAAATGTTCTGTGATTGGTTGTTGTTGATAATCTATCAAAGTACAGATGTTTGTTTGTTTGACAGTGCACAGGTACAAAAATATTTGAAGATTATTCTGAATTAAGCAATCACAAGCAACAAACAAAGCCAAAAGGAGCTGTGTATCAGGACAAAAAACATGACAACAAGAAAAAAATTATGAGCATCCTTAAAGACCCTAACTAGGGGCAAATGGCTGTAAATGAAATATTGAAGAGCTTTTCTCCCCATGGCATAAGCCCACAGATTCCATTCTGCCATGTGTCATTGACAAACCTGTGTGAGGCTTGTGTGCCATTCTACTTCATCTGTGAACTATAAATCAATATATTTCACAAGGCAAAATCATTTCATTTTCTTGAGCTGATCAACTATGCACTATTGCTGTCTGTGAAACCAACCTCTTCCAAGTCTTTCCTGTCTGCCAGCCTATGCCGCAGTCTTGAACGAAGGGTTTTGATACTTCTTTTTATTTCAATGACTTTCTTTATGTCAGGCTTGGTTTGCAGCCATGAACCCATATCAGTCTGTTAATTTTAAATCAGCAAATAAGTCAGAATAACACTGAAAGAGCTATATCAAAATAATGAGTATTCCAAATTTCATTCCAATTTTATAAAACCCTTATTGACATGTTTCATAGTGACTAATTTTCTGCACAACTGACTTTTTATATTCTAGTTAATTTCCTTCTCTACTATAAAAAACTATTTGAAGGAGCTAATTCCTTAATGATGAGTCAATAAGTATTTTGTTCAAAATAATGTTCTTATTTACTGAAGCGACAATGCAAATATCTAATTAAAATGTCTGAAAAAAAAGGGTTTCTTGACCCTTAGAAGGACAACCCAAGCAAATTGAGCTATGCTGAAAACTAAACTATATAAATATCTGCACTACAAAAAATGGGAAAAGCCGATACTGTATCTGCATAGAAAAACACTGCCATTTTCAATCTCACTTCAGTATGCCTCTTGTCTCTGAAATTTTCATTTGTGTTTTAGAGGTGTTGGTAAAGGTAATGCGTCAGCCGACACACTACTGATGCATTGGTGAGATTGAATGCATAAGACCAACCTCATTGGAATATAATTCTAAATCACCGCCATTTTTAGAACCAAACACCAATACCTAGGTCTTCTCCTAGTTTTTTTGTTTTGTTTTGTTTTTTTTTTTAAGGGTCAGATACTGAGGCAGTTAGCATGTTAAGCATGGGTAAGATCAACCAACGCATTGGCCGACACACTACCAAAGCATTGGTAAGATCAACCACATAAGAAAAGGAATTCTAAATCATTGCCATTTTGAGGATGAAACACTAGTTAATGTTGGAAGCAAGACCAACCTTGTGGGAAAAGAAATCTAGATCAGCACCATTTTGAGAACAAAATATTAGTACCAAGGTCTTTCCTTCTAGGAAAAATATAGGGAATGTTCATCTTGTGCTCAGTCAGGATAAGTAACTGAGAGGGGACTGGGTTCCAAAAACATGACAAACAAGATGGCAGCCAAAAGGAAATTATTCATTTTCATATCGTGAGTGAAAGTTTTCCAAAGAACATGTTACAGATAAGTGTGGAAAAGGAAGGCTCAGCATTGCTTTACATACATAAGGCTCAAACAAAGTCACTGACACACCACTGACACATCTTGTAGGTTGGAAGGATAAACAGTGGCCAGCATGTCAGTAGGATCAGATTTTTTACCTTCTCTGGCGTGTTTTTGTTTAAAGTTTAGTCTGTTGTAGGTTAATATCATATAAGAATATTTTGTTCTGAGGTATGGACTGTACATTTTGATCGTTGTTATTTATGTAAATTGAGTAAATTACATGTGGTCAATAGCATATCCTACTAAACTGTGTTAGGAGAATGTTGGAAAAAACATTTGCAAAAAAATAACAAACAAACAATTAAACAACAAGAAGTCTGAAACTTAACAAAAAACTATACTTGGCGTATATAACTAACCTGCAGACCTTTGTAATTTATCACCAAATTGTCCCTGTAGAACATGACAGACAACATGAGACATTTCCAAGTATTTGACTATAACCTCATTTTAATTTATTTAATAAATCTATAAGCACAAGGCTCCATGATATGATAGAAGTTGTGGGGTTTATTATCCAATTCTTTATGGCAATTATGTCTATTGTATAAAATGATTTAAGTGGAAGAATTATTTGGAATAAGCCTCTTGAGTGACTTTTTTTTTCAAAGGCAATACTAACTGCCCTGGGTGTTGTAAGATGGAATACAAGACTATTTGAAAGGAGAATTTACAAGTTAATCAGATCACTTACATATAAGGCTATTTCATGCCCCCTTAAGTTCAGTAGAAAGAAGAAATTATTGCTATAAATAGAACCACAAAACCTACCAACTTTCAAAACTAAGTGTAGAAAAGTTCAGAATGATATGTCACTTTACACAATAAACTGAATTATATCACACTGGCATTGATATTTACTTAACCCTTTAACTCCCATGAGTGACCAAGACCGAATTCCTCCTTACAATATCAATACACTATCAACCAGATAAGTGATGAGAACAGAGAAAAATATCCATTTGGGGATAATTAGTAGATCCAACCCTAAATTCTCTGAACCAACATTATGAGAATTGTATGGTTGACAATATGAAGAATTACAATTTTCATCTGGGAGTTAAAGGGTTTAAATGATCTACTGGAGGACAGAGGCATTAAAGATGTCACCAGTAACATTTTTGCTGCTTTATCATATAACACAAATTAAGTTTCATGTTACAAGTTTATTCAGTAATAGATTACAGAAAATGTCAAAATGTGATAATAACATCAGTGACACACTCACCATGCCAAGAGTGCCTCTTTAGTTCTACAGAACATTTTTTCATTATCTGTGATCTATTACTAAACAGAAGTACTGCAACATGGGAAATATTTGTTAGACACCTTTCAATAAGTCAGCATGTAAACCAGTGAAGACTCTAAAAGATAAATGTACTTCTTTTTCCCCAAAGAGTTTACCTCAGTTCCTGAATTTCCTGCAACTCTTTATTTAGTTCACCAATAAGTGCTTTTATTGTCTGATCAACTAACTGCTGTGCCTCTTTATCCTCTGATACCTAAACATGTAAATCAATTTCAAAGTTCCCTTGAATTTAGCCACTGTTAAATGTTTCACTTTTTTCCCAAAAATCTACTGTGAAAAAAAAAAAAAATTCGAAGGTATGTGCCTACTGCTCCAGCATTGTTTACTGTTGCTAACATTGTTAGGAAGTCCATAACAATTTTGACAAAGATAGTAGATTGAAGTAATTAACTTATCAGTAATTAAAACTGACAATAGTTATGGTACCTTAGACTTGTCCATTTCTTCATGAATTGCTGAAGTCAAAGCATTGATCAATGTATCCATGTCATCAAACATAAGGGAGGTACTGACAGCTTCACTGCTCTTTTGTAATACTACCAGAGCCTATTAACACAAATTAAATGAATAGAAAAATCATGAATACAACTTGCTGAAAAAAGTCCAGATTGCCATATTTTTCTAGAATATCAGAATCCCTAAAAACTAGGGGTGCATTCATCATGTTCAACCCAACTTACCGACTGTAGATTGGACAATGCTGTTACAAGGTCATCTGTACATTGGTTGACTTTCTGTCTTACATCTGCCATATCTTGATGGGTTCTCTCCTGTGATGGAATGCAGAATTACTCAACACTCTAACGTATAAACTTCAAGGGAGTTTTGTATTCAAGCAAATATGCAATAGACTTCTAGATCTCCATTATGCTAATTTAATTAAAGGAAATAAGAGTTAGAAAAACAAACAAACAAACAACATAAGGTCCACACTCAACTTTAGTGACAGGCAAATAAAGATCAAAGGCAAGCGTATCACAATCTCTATGGCATGCATTACCAGACTGGGAGTGTTTCTACTTCCTCAAAATGGGATGCCACACCCAATCCGTAACTTTTTAATCCCCCCCTCCCCCACCCCATGCCCCTCTGCAATTCTTCAAGTTTCCCTGACATTTTGCTGGTACCTATTCAGATCCCTTAGTAGAGACAGAGGCATATAGTGAGTGAAGTGTCTTGCTCCTCTCCACTCAAAGTACACAATGATCTCAGTAGAAATATTAAAAACTATTGGTAAGTTTATCTGATTGACACCAATCAAAGAAACCATGGCCTGAGATTATAATCACCGGGGTATTATAATTAAATGATACTTAAATGCAGGTTTTATCAATACATACCACCCAATCCTCATAAGCTTTCACAGCCTCTTCTACAGCTAGATCACACTTTGTATTGGAGCTGTCTGGAAAGTTATAAATTCAACATTTCTTAGTTTCATCTTTTAATCAAAAATTTTACATCAGGTTATCCATGGGAGTCTTTCCTCATGGGTACACTTGTGGGAAAACCTTTTTGAGCAACCTTTGCAATATTCTTGCAACTGTATCTCTTGATTGAGTTCTTTAATATCAAGCAAACTCTAAATGTGTATTAAATATCTTTTCTTAACTAAGTCTGAGGTCTTTACTGAAAGTTTATGGCCAGAATGTGGAAAAAACAAGGTTCTGTAACTTAAAGTATAGACTAAAAAAAGGGGGTTAGAAGATATCCATAAGAGATTACAGCTCATTTGGCAACTAAAACAACCTTTTTAATTTTCATCAGCTTTACACTGAAATATGGCCTGCTAAATTGAACAATAATAGTAAATGTATTAACTGAGAAATATAATTAAGTATGGTATTTCAACTGCTCAATATCCTAGGGATTGAATAATAATAAAAATTTTTCACACTTTGGGGCAAACTGTTAATACCTCCTCGGTCTTGAAGCTGAACCAGTGCATCCTGAAAGAAAAAAAAATGAATGTAAAATACTTCAATGTTTCCTTCCAGAAAATAATCCAATTCAACAACATAAAATAAATTGCAATCCAATGGTCTCATTACCTGTAAACATTTTTCTCTTTGTTGAAGAGGTAGCAAGTCCACTTCTTTACAAAACAGATCAATGCTATCAACAAACATCTGCCTTACTTCATCCCTCTTGGGTATCAAGTCAGCTGAAAACAGTTTCTCCTACAGCCCACCAATACAAAACCAAATAAGTCTACAGAGGCTAATATAGTTCCACACTGATGAGATCAGAATATTGATGTCAATGTTATATCATGTGTGAAGTTGCATATGTATGATGATTGTTATTTTCAAAGTTCTCCATTGTGAACTGAACTGGAAAATGTCGTGAATGTGTTCATGCCATTTTGTTAAGCTTTATGGGAAGAGACCAAATAATCCATGATATTTAAAATGAACTTGCATCAGAGGCTTCAGCGTTCAATCTTATTATCTGACAGTTTTCACATGCCCCATTTGCCAACTTCGCGAACAATGTGCTTTTTACCTTGTCTTCACAGTGCCGCAAATCATCTTGTGCTTGTTGAAGATTCTTTTCTAACTCCTGAACCTAAAGATTTGAAGAATCACAACAGGTAACCCAAATTGGACATTAGAAAGGGTTTCATATATAAAGCTTGCTTACATGTAGCTGTGTTTCTCCAGATAATCAATCCGTGTCAATTTCTTTATACCTGTTGCAAAGACTTTAAATTCTTCAAATGAATCCTGTCATTTCTTGTCAAAACTATTGTTTCCTTGATCAGCTCTGAAGTCTTTCCATTAGCTGGAGCAGCATCTCTGCAAAAATAACTAGAAATTCCATGACAAAGAAGAGAAACTCATCAAAACATACATCACCCTTTCTGTGATCCTTGCTTCTTACCTCATTGCTTTAAGATCATGGACTTTGCCTACCAAATCTAACACCTACCAGAAAATTAATGAAACATTGCATCAGCTTAGTGTAAAGTATTTAGGTGTCTTTTGAAGATTATTTCAGAAGTCAAACCATTCTAAGAAATAAACTTTAATTTGACCATAAGCCTGTCAGATGCATGTAAATTAAGGTTATACATATCCACAATTTGTAAAAGTAGTGGACTTGTAATTCAAATCTGCTTTAAGTTGATTAACAGAAAAGAAATCTTACCTACAGCCAACATCATTGAATCAGCTACTATAGATTTCTCATAACCACATTTGTCGATAATTTTGTGAAACTCAAACCTTATGGCTGACAGCTTGTTCCATATTTTCCTTGTGTTTGGCTGCTTGAGCAGAATAATATTTTCGTAATTCATCAACAGCTTTTTCACCCTCCTTTTAAGAAACAAACAAAACTAAATAAATATACACTCCAATTATTGATGGAGACTATATCATGAGCAAACCTTTAAATGATCACATAGCAAACAATTACCAAAATAAACAATAAGTGAACAGCAAAAGATATAGAATCAAAGCTTACTTTATACACTTTGATACGATTTCTCAACAACTGATTTTCTTTGGTCAATTCCTCCATTTCCTTACTTATGGCTTCACTGAGTGAGGTTCTGTGTATTGTAACAGATTTCATGATGAGAATTATTACAAAAAGGGAATCAGCATCAGACTGTGAGCAACAAAATCCAGACTTATGCTAACTGTAAGTGATTTCTACCTTGGAGATAATGGAGGTGGACCATCCTAAGAGAAAAAAGAAGAAAAAAATTAACGGTTTTCCTACATGTACATAAATCTTCTTGACTATATTTTGAGGTAACATTGATGTGTGTGTGACAAAAGACCTCAAGAATAAGCAGATTAGGTTATTAAGCCAACTTCTGAAATAGAACTCTACAGACAATACCTACATTTCAGCACACGCACAATTTTATAGTACCTGTTCAGCAAAAGTTGAAATAACAAGCCCATGCCTAATCAACTCTTCGGCGATATTTCCAATTCCCCCTTCAGAATCATCTCTCAGTTCTACTGCACAGGCCACTGAGGGGAAGGAGAGAAACACAACAAATGGAGTAAAAACCAATGGCTTTAACCAAATACAGATAATAGACAATATACATCTTCAAGATTTTTTAAAAAAATGGACATTTTATACACAGGTAAATTTTGAAACCCTTGGGAAGAATATTTAAAATTTGAAATTATCTGATAAGCATACCATCTAAAGCCCTTCTTGGTTCTTTCAATTGTATGGTTAGGAACTTGCCATTGGTAAGATTATGTAGCATGTTTGAGCCCTGCAAAAAAGGAAACACTTTCAAAAATTTTAAAACAAGGCATTTTCAAACTGTCTTTGAAACCAAAAGGAAGGTAAACACAATAGATTATTCAAACAAAGAGAGAGAAACGAAGAAAACTTTTAAGAAAATCATGCCTACAGGCAACCACAGACACAGTAAAACAAGTGATCAAGTTAAACAATTGATTGAACTTTCACATTTGATTTGTAAAGAGGGAGAAATTAATTTTGCAGATAGCATGCGATAAAACAATAAAAGCATTCATGGATTTCGCTTGGCTCTCTTTGACAAAACATAAACTGCTTAAATTCAGGTTCTTGTAGAAACTAAAACCCAAATGAAAAAGACTAACTTCGTAATATTGTATAAAATGTTTAAAAGTTGAAAACAGTGATCTAAATTAAAATGTACCTCAACTAAAAGTTCTTCACTAGTTACTGCCACACCATAAAGGCAATACAGCTGGGCAAATGGAGCCGGTGAGAGAAAATCATGTGACAGGAATACAATACTCCGCAGACTTATAACTTCAGTGTTACCAAAATCTACAAAATGTACCTTGACCTGAAAACAATTTCAATTTAAAAAACGTTTTTTCACCAACATGTGCTTTTAGCAAAAAACTGAAAAAGAGTCAAACTTTGTTTATTATTAACTATCAAACAGCATGGAGCACATGCATGAAAGCACTTGACAAGGTACATGTATGCAACCATGTATGCATGCAAGAAATCAAAACGCACATCAGACCTGTCACTACAGCCTGTAGTTACTTTCTAAACTAAGTGTAAAGCAGACAAATCTTTTGATCCTGTTCACTTAACTGGTGACAGTAGTCCTCAAAAGGAGACACTGTCATCAGAGACAGTGATAGACATTCATGCTTTTGACAACAGAAGCAGAAGTTACAGGAACTACAGTACTTGCTAAGTTTCAGTTTTACCCTATGTGGATTTATTTATTCTATTGAGTTTAGTAACTCTAGCCTCTGAACAAGTAAGAACTAACTTATTGTGATTAGTTTAATTAATGAAGATCAAAGACAACTGAGCCCTTTTGATCAATGTAGACAAATTACGAAGTTATATTTCGCTTTTTATGGTAAACAGAACATGATACCTTATCATCTTCAATAAGCTCCTTGACCCGGCAGCGATACCACTGTTGATCCTCCAGGTAAACTCCACCATAAATCTAAATGATAACACTAGTTAGAGGTACAAGTAGGACCAGAGAAAAATAAAATGTTGACTTTATCATTCGGCCAGCAACAACTTGGAAATAATTTTCACCAGAAAGGACTCACAAAACCAGGTTTGCAACTGGAAAATGACAAATTTGCAAAAGATTTCAATGTCACAGACCGGAAGATGATCTGAGTTCAAGAATCAAAGAATCAAAATGGAGATAAGCAAAGCCATAGCAATTTCAGAGAAGACATCTCAAGTAGGAAAATTAGTTTCCAGGGCTGATAAAGACAAAGTTGTACCCCACCTGTAGTTGTAATCACCACCTTCTACACACAGCACTTATCAATAATTTTCCCTCACATGTTGGGTTTTATTCAAGGATGATTTGATAGAAGTATTTCTCAATCACAACACCAGCATTTGATCAAATCTGAATCATGATGCATTATTCTATTGAAAACAAGTTTCCTATGATTTCTTAAGTGCTATTTATTGTAGAGGCAAAAGTTATTTATAAAACTCCTGATTAACACCTATCTGGGTTAGCACAATGTTTACCTTGCCAATATGTGGCGTGGATTGTAGCAAAGGCTTGTTTCTACAGTAAATCTGAAGGTCACTGGTCATCTTCTCAATCACATGAGCTGTCTCAGCTTCCACTGCCTGAAAGAAAAAATGTTTGAAAGATGCAAGTACATGTTGAGATTTCATGTGTTTCTCCATACCAGATGCAAATAAAATGGATAGTACTTTTTCATAATCTTATCTAGGGAGGAATGTATTTTACAGGAATCAAAATGATGATTACCAAAAATAAGGGGAAAAAAGTAGAGCAGCTGGTTCAGGTTTTATCATCACCACTTTCCAAAAAATGGTCAGGATCTACACATCTAACGATACCAAAGCCAGGATGATCTGGGCTCATGATAAGCTAAAATGTTTACAGATTTGAGCTGGCAAATCACCAAAAACTTTTTTACTTCTCTTTGTACTTATGACTGTCACTTCTTGTTGTGAATTCTTCAATCCCATTTATGTTCATGCAAAGATGTTTTTAAGTAGATATTAAAATTTACAATTTACTATTTTAAAATATACAGACAATGAGGTTGTAGACCTGGAAAAAATACCTTGACCTATGGCCAGGTTTTGCATCCTGAAAGCAATAATTTCTTTAAAGTTGTTTCATGTTCTTCATTAACTTAAATAATACCATAATCTTTTTATGATGAAAAATAAAATTAAGCTAGTGAGAAATCCTCATCAAAACATCACACTACATTTATGTCATATTAAGATGAACATCCTGATTAGAAGATATATACACTGTATACAACCTCATGACAAGATGTCAAATTCTAGTCAGGTTCAAATGTTTAGTACTTTTAGCAGAATTGTCTTTTGTATTTAATACCTGTGCCCAAAATCTAACAGGACTCTCCACATGGGTTATGAAAACTGGCTCCTGAGAAATGAACAACAAACTGATATCATTTTTAATTCACTTAAACAAAACCACTTAGGTTTTTTTCTGCCACACTCTAAAAGCACCACAGCCCTATAACCCTGTAATTACAATAACAGTAGTCTAAAGGTTATAAGTTGTTATAAGCAAAGCTGTTTGGGCTTATCCTGCCTTGTATAACATGCAGCATTGCAGAGTGGGCAAAATGCTAACCATAACAGGTTAGCTACACCCAATATTTCTCAGGTTTCTATGACAGCTTGCAAGATAACAAAATATACAGGTACTCCTGGGTGGTCAGAGGCAATGGGAAAGAAAACCATTGTTTCTTGCTCGAGGACCACTAGATGGCTTGAGAGGCCAGTTCACATACTATGAGGCACCATGCCTTTCAATACTATTACAACAGAGATGCCACTACATTGTTCAATCAATAATCCTGTCTGTAGAGAGGAACAGTGATATATGAAATCCAAGGATTAGGAGGCAGCACAAACCCAAAGTTGTTGATTAAGAAATCATCAAGTCTCCCTGACAACTTTGCAAAGGGATAGAGATACAATCCCTTAAAGAACTTCTTGGTGTACAGTACCTCAGTTAATGCACCACTCTCTTCTTTAGGAGTCAAAGGGGGAACATCAACACTGTCTGCAAGAAAAAATATAAACTCAAATATGAAAGGAATTGAATCCATTGACTCTGAAACTGACCACCTGTAGTGAGTTAAAGTGCTGATGTCTGCATCCTGAATGAGATCTGATCTTTTACCAAATACAATATGCCCACACTACTCCTCTAAAACATGGAGAAAAGATCTTCCAAACCATATCACAATTGAAATGAAATGGAAAAAAATTGCATTATTTGCCTTTCATCAATGTCACTTGTGATCGTAGTTGAGTTGATAATTCTCAGATCAAATAGGCACTTAATAAAAACAATAAATTGATCCACCTTCAAAAGAGCTTCCTCTTCTTTGTTTGAACTTTCCTGGCATTACATTGTTGTTACTAGACCAAGGGTTCATTGGACTGACTGGTGATTTTGGACTTCAGTGATAAAGGATCACAAAGACAAAAGACAATAAAGAAGTTACAAGCTATATATTGAATATAAATAAACCATATAAATACTTATTCAGAATGTGCATCTGGTATAAAAGCATGCAGCTCATAGAAGTTTCAAATTCTGATTTCATTTTGGTTGTAGTATGCTGAAGTCATAATGTACAGATTCAAAGTTGTCAAAGAAGTCAGACTTCACAATTCTCATGCCTTTTCATTTAGCAAGGTCTGCATAAAGAAATGAGGTAGCAAGAGAGTGGTGTTAAGTGCCAAGAGAATATCTCCCAAGTGTGAAGAACAGTTTTAAACCTTAAAGTAACCACCATGTAATTTCTCATTACAGTATAATACTACAAAATCAATCATTAAGACAATGAAAACTAAAGAAATCATTGCCAACTAAAGAAGCTTTGATTGTTCAACAAATTCTCCTTTTCAGAACCAAAGGAAATTTATAAATAAAAGTATAGAGAATAAAGATAGTGATGTTAAGGAGTAAAGAGTTAAAAAAATAGCTCAGGCCATCAGGAATTTAGCCAAACAATCTTGAATAGTAGCTTGACAATTCCCCAATTTTTATTGCCATGTGAAACCTACTTTTCTATTTTTCTCATAATTAATATTAAGCTCTAGAGCCCTTTGTTTCACTGTAACTGCCCATTGCAGATGTATTTGAAATCTTCCTTACTGTGGTTGGCTTGACCTGAAATCTCCATTTGGACTAGCCCAAGAATTCTATAATGATAAAAAATAATCATTTGCAAACAACTCAAGGAAATAAATTATAGAATTTTTTTTTGTTCAACAATTAATTCTGTATGAATGGGAAAACACACAATAATCACGAGCATGTTAACCCACCAGACATAATGGTTGACTCAGTTAGATCCTACTTTAGATTTGTGGCACAAGCAAAGCTTTAGGAGTTTGGGGAGAGCATGCATCAATAACTGACTGTCAAATCAATTGGAAAGGACTCTTGGGGAGGACAGCTCAATTTCCTTTCTTGGAATCACGGGGCCATTGGCTTTCAGTGCAATCTCTTAATGTTCTAATCATATTCTGCGCAGTGTATCCACGAGGTTACCATAGTGTCACTTCGACTGGTCAACTTTCCTACCTCAACAATATTACATGTGGAATACTGCTTGCAATTTCCAGGCAGAATTCATTCATAGCGACAGGCCTCTATTCAATAAGCATCCCCCCTCTGATTAACCCGGTGTAAAACACCTACTTCATAAAAAGATTACAAATTAACCATAAGAAATATTTAGGAAATTTACCTTATAAAACGAACGGAGTCTCGCACGATTTGAGATTTGTCAATTGCGACACGAAAAGTCGTAAAAGCTAACGTTTAAGGTATTTTAAAATAATCCGCGATCAATTCAAGAACTAAAACTTTCTATCCAAAAATGTCATGGTTAAAATATACTGATATGTTTGTATTGCGCCTTCTACCTAGTGCTTCATTACGAGATGTAAGTTGTTACCCTCAGCGGCTGTCAAACTTTGACAGCTCGGAAAATTACTCCGAATCGGTCAATTACCTGACTTCTCTACAATTACAGATGACTAATCCAGCGAAAATCTATGATTTCCATCTTTAAAGAAAAATGCATGCGCACTGACTGAGAAGGACTCGTCTTTACACGTGGACGGACTGGAATTTGCTAGATCTGTTTCTCACCTCACTCCTTCCGAAAGGACGCAACTTCAGTGACATCGTTCCTGACTTCTGCTCCACATCCATCGCCTTTGAGAAAATAACACTAACCAGAAGATCTTCTTTGATTCCTTAAATTTTAACTCATGAACTTGAGTTGTCTTCAAATTTCAGAATTAGGGGTAAAAAGGAAAGTTTCACTTCACTACAGACGCAGTGAGCGGCGCGGTGCGTCAAATTCACACCTTCCCGCGCTCCCTGTACTCAACACGTGTTGGGCTCATTGACAAACATGTATATACATCATGTTTCCTTACACGACATATTCAGAGGATTCTTCGAACAATCGCTGCCGACATCGCTGCCTTGATGATGACGATGTGCTAGATCTTTTTCTAGAATGATAAGCAACAATGCTATTTAAAGAATTTGAATTAACCTTTCTTATTTAATAAAAAAAGAAAAATATATAATTGCAAATATAAGACGAATAATGAGGTGATTGAGGGAGGGGTAGGAGGTTAGAAAAGTTATTACTACCCTCCCCTCGGTGACAATTCACTACAAGGCAAAGAACTGGAGATGGCAGAGGTCTGCCTCGATCTTCGTAACAATTTTTCAATTTTGTAAGCTAATTCTTTTTCATTCAAAGCTTATTGTGTGATTTTTCCGCCATTAGGGAGTCCATAATTATTTTCAGGACCTTTTAGCAAAGTAAGTGCTGTTAAAATACCAAAACGTTGATTTTCTGTGAGTTGAATATTTAGTCCTTAACCCAGTGTCTCGTGACTTTTTCTCCTCAATCTCGTTTTAATATCCACCTTCTTTTTAGACACGAAGGAATTCTTGCCATTTTGGTTACCGATAGAGATGGAGTTCCGCTCATTAAAGGTGAAAGATGCGAATATTTATTCTGATAAATATCTTTTTCGATTTCGAACTAATCGTACAGCAACTGTGACTGAGTGTTTTCCCTATTTCCTTTGAGGTTTCAGCTTACCGATTTCAAAATTGTCCGTGAATAATTCTCGTTGAGCATTCAGTATTTGCCTTTCTGTCTAAAAAGAACCCATTATAATATAAAATGGTATTTTAATATAACTGAACATGTTAAAAGGGAAACATATCTTTGTTGTTAGAACTGTGATAAAAGTCCTACACCAGGAGAGAAGAGAGAGGGAGAGAGTAAGAGAAGTTGTGAGCACTCACGAACAAATATTAGTACTTGTTACACCTCTATGTGGTCCCTGAGAGTTTGAATAAAGCAGTAAAGTTTATGTTCATGAACAGAAATATGTTCTAGGTCTGACCCAGGTCATTCTAGCCTGAACCATTAGGCAAGGGTTATAGTGAGCTCTGAGAGGGGCTCAAAACATATTTATGTCTACAATCACAGACTATATTACTATTGTTATCACTTTGAAGGGCACAGAGATAATAAGAACTGAAAAAAGTGAGGACAAAACAGTCTGAACAATGACACTAGGTAGGCAGAAGATATTTCAGCCCTCCAAATCTCCATTTTAGCCCACAAAATGGACCATGATGCCCTACAAAGTAAAAATAATAAGAAGCTTACCTCTTTTTTCATTTGAACTTTGCAGTTTATGATCCTAAAACTCCACAAAATGCACTAAGAGCAAGTTTTCTCTCCACATTCTCCACAACAGCTGAACAAGTAAGTGAGACAGGCATATTTAATCTTTTCCAAATTGTCGTAGATACGATTGTTTTTCCGATCATGGCATCTGTGGGAAATCAGACACATCTACCTGTTTGCAGAAAGGTTGGGAAAAAGTGTAAAAGTACATGTAACAACATGAGAAAATATCACTGTAAGGAAGATGCACAGCAGGTTTCCTGAATTAAATTTGTTTGCAAAACTGACTTTTAGTTCTAAACTTGATTAAAAAAGGAAAAATAACAAACTGACCCTAACTGATGACAGAAGCAATGTAAACTCAACAAAAGTGAATTTGAAATGACCTTACAACTATCTTCAATGCATCATTCTCTTGTTTTGTTCCTTTTGCTTTAAATGCATGTTGGTATTTATCCCTCTGTTCAGTAGTCCTTTTGTCCATAATTATTTGTTTCACTTATTAAAATTCATTGATTGCCAGATACCAACATTACCTTTTGAGATTGTTTGGGCACTTTGCCTTTTTTCCTGACAGCTGTTCTGCAAACAACTGTAAATTTAATAATAATTTAATCCTAATAATTTGGTCATGAGACAGTTGTTAATCATACCTATTTTACCTCCCAGTCTGAAAGAGCTTGTTTTGAAATGTACAAATCAAATGTTACAATTTTTGCTTTCAACTTGTGGAGAAGACAAGAGAGGGTTGCCTTTTGAGAGAGGCACTCAGTGAAATATTTATAAGACATTAATTATTGAGTCTTTTTTTTATCTTCATCTTGCTGTGTTCATTTACAGGCAAGCAAGCTTGGATTATCAAAAAACAAGAGCATCGTTTGTTTTTTTGCATCCTATCAGGTCAGAAAATGCCCTTTGAAATGATAACAATAAAAAAATATTTCATTCAGTGTATTTTTCCTCATTCAGTGTATTAATAAATTGGGGAAACAAATTGTGGAGGTAGTTTTTAATGGCGAACTTAGTGTAATTTGACCAAAATCATAGAATCTTTTTCCTAAAAAGTACTGAACTTTAGGTGGAGTTCAAGTATTCGTTAAACTGTATTTTCATAATACTTAATTTGAGGTTGCCAAAGATCAGTTTCAGCCACTTTGTTGAAGACAATGGTTTAAACTGTGCTTAACCCTTTAACTCCCCAGTTTGTTATTCTCTTCACTGTCAACCATAGAATTCTTGTAATGCTAGTTCAGAGAATTTAGTATTGGATCAACTAATTATCCCAAATTGATATTGTTCTTTATTCTCATCACTTATCTGGTTGATATTGTATTGATATTGTAAGGGGAAATTCATTCTTGGTCACTTATGGGAGTTAAAGAGTTAACAAAATAGCTTTAAAGCCTGTTTCAGTTTTGATGTGAATGGGGCATAAGTTATCTAAAATTAAAACAGAACAAAGGTTTCACCTTAAATCTTCAATAACTGAACTTTCAAGTGAGCACAAAGTAAATATCTATTTATTTAGTTATATATGTATCAATATCTTTTCCAGGTGGTTCATTTTAGTTTTCTTCCTTTGGTTGTCAGCATCATTGCAACAAATCAGGCAAACACAGGTAAGTAATCTGGGAGCCGATAATTCCAGGAAAAATTCCAGGTATGGGTTGTCTAAAAGCTAGCATGAATTGCCTGAATTTGTAACTAATTGAATGGTAACTTTGGGGGTAAAGTTAAGATTATGAGAGGCTCTATAATGAACTTTGGGAAACAAAGCTAACATAAGAATTCTTCTTACAGGTCTTCTTCTGGGATTTGAGAGTGAATTCACTGAAATAGTGAAGGCAGTCAAAGTTGTGGTGGATGGTGTTTAGCACAAATATATTATACTGATATTCATTTAAGAATGCAACTCTAAGTTAGAATTAAGAAATAAAATAATTATTTTTGTATCACCATTTTGTAATTCTAAAGCATTTTTTCTCTCTCATGACGGATGTTCTGTTATTATCACTATTTAGGGATCATGTAAATGGGGATAATCAACCCCAGTTTGAAGCATAATGCCTTGTTTTAAGAGATAACTGCAAACTCCTATCCAGTAATAGCCTGCCTAGTTTTTCATCATCCAAGAAGGAGAAGCATAAGCTGCATGAGTGTATGGGGTGAAGGCGAGCTAACAAGGAGTCCCATGCCCCTATGCAATTAACATATTTCCCAGTTCAGGGCGTGAAATTGCGCCTAATACAGGCGCCAATGCGACTAAATTTTTCACTTTGCTGACCAAATCCTGAAGTTAGCCGCCAAATTGGCGACTAGAACGTTTCATCATAACCTTACCAAGAGATAATATAGTGAATTAAAAAGATTTGCTAAGATAAATCCGCGGCAAACTTCCTCGTTAAGTTTGTTTCCAAAACGTAGAACATGCATCTCGATCGATAACTAGACGCCATCTTGGATTTAGATGAGCCTGAACGTTGTATATCATCCATCCTAGTGTCCACTTTGTAGCACGTTAAAGATCTTTTCCCTAACTTAATTTTGGAGGGTCTATCTAGAACGCTGACAGCGTAAAGAAAGATTTTGTTTGTCTTTGAAAATGGCGACCAACTTTTTTTGAATTGGCTACCACTTTGAAGAATTTAGGAGCCAAGTGGCTATCAGAAGAAAAAGTTAATTTCACGCCCTGCAGTTGAAATGGAATTAGAAAAGGCCTGCTTCTCAAGTTTGTGCAATATTTAACCAGAGGCTCCTTACAGGCCCAAATTCAAAATTTGGCTATGTTTCTGTTCACCTACAAGCCATGGTTGAGGTCTAAAAGCAACTTATGTAAGACTCAAGGCTAGCTGAAAAGAATGTTATAACTTTAACATGCCCTTGAAGTGCTTCTCACACACCTTTCAAGTATAGGCAGACATGCATCATGAACTAACTTTGCCAGATATGGCCAATGATTCAGATGATCAGAGTACATATGACAAGCAACAACCCATGATTTATCAAGACGAGCGAAATACCACCAAAAGATGATGAAAAATTTCAGGGTACTGTGGCAAAAGGAATATTTAACCAGTCTCCAAGAACAACACTCATTTCTGATTCAAACCAGTGAATGCATGAAGATTCACATGTTGAGATACATGAAGAGCTCAAAAGATGCTTTTTTGCCTTGCCTTGCCTTCTTTATACTCTCTGCTCTAAACATGTCTTAAAAGAGTGCATGCATGGTTATATTCAGTGTAGTTTAACAATCTTCCCTAAAGCTTGGTTCTTTTGGGCCAGGTGCATTTTAGAACAAAAAAACATTTAAGAAAACAACTCAAAAAACGACCATCATTCTTACTCTATTTACTAACCTCGTACCCAGGTCCTATCGTGTAATTGTAAATCTAGGGAACTTACAACCGCTTGGCCATGGAAGGTATGGGTACAAGATTAAACAGTTCTCACTATTTTTAAAATTCGACTGGCAGGTTCTTAGGGATTATAGCTGGAGAAAGGAAAATCAAAAGGAGCGCGAACAATTTTGACATGATCAACTCTGTAATTTCTCAATAGATTTGGCTTTAATGCCTGTAGACCACAGTCTTCAAATAGTGCAATATCCTTTGGTAAGTAGCGTTTAGGATAATGATTTCATGTGTTTCTACACAGAATTTTGCAGATCATTTCCTTGATTTCTCGTTTCATCTTCTCATCTCGGATTGAATATATGAACGGGTCGATGCAGCAGTTACAGAGAGTAAGTACCAGTCCAACGCGAACAATCCACGGGGGAACGGAATTTGACGCCAATATCCTCCAGACGGTTGCTAGGGTGTAGATCGACCAGCAGGCAGCGAATGAACCAATCAGCAACAAGACCGTCTTCAGGGCTTTGTTGTCGTCAGCAGTTGCAGCAGCATTTGTGTGTTTTGTAGCAGTGCTTTCTTTCAGTGGAACGCGCTCACCTTGCGGTGACTCTTCCTTTTGGGGATCATAACGAGCTGCGGCTCTCTTCGAAGCCCTTGCTATGCAATAGATCTTGTAATAGGCGTATATCATTGCGCCGACTGGCACTGCGAAGGCGAAAAACGCCAAACACAATGCGTAGGTTTTATTAGCCAGCCCTTCCCCTCCCCAGTCGGGTTTGCAAGTGTGTGTAAACTCGTCCAACTTTGTGCTTCCCCATTTGAATAACGGACCGCTGGCCCAGAACACCGAGTGCAGCCAGCTGGCGATAATGATCAGTTTGTAGCGTCGTTTGGTGAAGGTCAGATGGGCTCTGCTCTCCACTGGTTTTGAGAGGGCGAAATAACGGTCCACACTGATTATGGCCAGCGTCACAACGGAACAGTTCACTGACACGCTGATGAGAACAGCGTATAACTGACACAAGATGTCTCCAATTGGCCAACGGTGCAAAACGAATGCCGCTATTACTAGCGGTATGCAAAACACACCTTAAGGAAAGAAAGGAAAAATTATAGGAACATTTGGCAATGTTCTGGATGTTAAATTTTCTATTATGTGTTGACCGTGTGCTGTTTTCACTCTACACCTTATGCTAAGTCTGCATGGTCGCAGAATCAGTACATTTGTAAACGTCATCAGTGGGTTTTCATAACAAAGCTGTCAGTTGAGTGTTGTCGGTTTCACCTCACTGTAGCTTGTTTATTTTTAAAAAAAATAGACAAGTTACACAACCTTCTTAACTGAATAACTTAATGAAAAACACAAAAAAGACTCGACATAATGAATGAAAAACAGACAAATCCATAAATAAACTTCATTGGCTGGCCAAATTACAGGTAGATCCAGACGTTTATATTGTGCACCATAAAACAAAGGCCACAACAAAGAAAAAACGAAAAATGAAAAACAAGAAAACAAAAGAAACTCAAAAGTAAAACCCAATACTGTACTTCCTTACCCAAAATAAAATCGGAGACAGCCAGACTCAAATAGTAGAAGTATGTTGGAGCCTGAAGTTTCTCTTTTGTAGCCACAACAATAAGTACCATGATGTTTGCCAGGACAGTCCCACAACAGGAAAACAACAGAAGGGTCACTTCAACAACTGTTTCTGCTAGGGTAGCTTCACTTGCGAGCCCCATCTTACTGAAAGAGAAAAAGTGAAACATTCTGGTTAAAAACCAGCTTGTGCACAACTGAAGATAGTGTTGCGATTTGAATTTGATTATCACTTTGATTAACCGATTATAGAAACGGTTAAAGCGTGTTTGCTCTATTTTTTTGGTTTCACACTCAGATTTGATATTTGTGTAGTTTGTCCGATTACCAGCTTGTAAACATCACGATGCCGCTGAATCATTCAAATTCAACGCCTAATGTAAACTGTACTCTGTATAGCATGTGAATGTCGCGATCTTTGTATAGATAGCTCAGCTCCGAGCAATTGATTGGGATTCTAAATCATGAAACAAAGGATTTAACTTCATTTATCCTTGATTTATAATCATAACAAGGATAATAAACACATCCTTTACCGTTTTGCGATTTCTCTATCGTATATGTCGGGCAAACAAAAGTTTAAGATTTCCTATAGCCCCACTGACTTTATCCACATCCAATTTATAGTATTTTTCCTATTTACGCGATCACAATCATGAGGGTCGAAAGCTGCCTTTGTCATTATTTTTCTTCCTTCACGTCCTTCTCAAGTATACCATTTTTTTTGATAATATCACCAAACTTAAAAGCATTAGAAATCTCATTCTTTTTAAACTGATTTTGCAGACTAGAACCCAATTTGGTGTTTAAATCTCGCAATTGACTTGAATCTAAGATATTTCAAAATAAAGACTATGATATGATGAAGCCCTGCTGAATTCAAAATGAGAAATCATCAGGTTTGGGCCTCCTCGAAATGATACTTATTCGGGGAAATTAACTGGCGAATTTGTGGCAACCAGGTATACCTTGTGATAAAAATGCATAAATGATTCTAACGAATTATAGTTAAAAAAGTCTAGGAAAACCATACCTGAATTCAAATACGTGGCCCTTAGTTCTTTCACCTTACTCAGAGAATCTCACCTCAGAATTCATTCAACGGTGCTAATAATGAATGCATGCTATATAACGATGTGTAAAGAGAAGCAATTAAGGGGATATTAATTCAAACAAAGGCGCAAACAAGGAATTAATTTAAATTTGGTAAATTTAATCTAATCTTTCAAAGTCAAACAAAAACATTGAATCAGTTGTTGTTCTTTAATATCATGAAATTCTATTTTTAGTAAATATTTTATCTCTTCACTGAGCAACCATTCGTTTTCCTTAAAGTTTTTTGATTAACCACTATCCAAACAGCGCGTTCAATATCTTCAAACAGCAAAGTTCCAGTCTCCAGCGGTCCAATGTCTGCGCTTGTGCGAACGTTGTAATAGCCAAGTGGCGCGCTTTCAGGTCATGAGCAAATTGCCTCAAGAGTTAAAAGAAATCCCACAAAAGTCAACAAGTCGCGGTATTTGAAATGCGTTTAACAAACAAAAATCGAAACAATAACGCAAAAGCAATCGATTATAATCTGCAGTTGCGTAAAAGTCAGCTGTAAACCCTAAATTAAATATTCATTGTGATCGAACAGTCTCTGTTTCTCCTCTACTTTTGCTTCCCTTTAAAGATGTATAAAAACGTTTTGATTTTCTATTCATATTTTACTTGACAGCGGCTGTTTCTTATATTTTCCGCTCAAACTGTGTGCAGGAAATTGGTGCGGGACCGGCAAAAATTGATTAATGAATAAAGGGGGTAAATTTCTAAAGAAACTGTGGTGCTGCGTCGCTGGGAGAGTGTAACAAGGCAATTAAGAATTATCAACTGAGTTGATAACGTAAAATGGCCACCGTAAAGAGTTTTAAAGCCCGACGTTCCAGTGCCGTGTTACTGGAAGGAGTACTTTGTTTCGGAGTATCACCGAAATATTGTTGTATGTCTTCTCTTTATCCTGCCACACCTACATCCCATCTGGAGACGCTCACAACTTAAAACTGCTCTAGATCGTTAAGAAAGCCTTGAAGAACAAACTAGTAAACTAAATAGCAATAATTACTTCGCCAAGAAAACAAATCCTCTGATAAATATATTGAAAATATCTTAAGTTAGCCATTTGTGATAAACAACCTCCCTCCCCCTCCCCCCCTCCTCAAACCGCCACAGGTATGATAGTCTACTGAGTTGGGTTTAGTGGACAATCTTTTATATTCAAAGCAGACGATATCATATTATGGTCTTGAGCGTTGTTAAAAATTAAATGTAATGTTGCCTTAGGTATGATTTCCATGTACCTCAGCCAAGATATTCAAGGCACCAATAACATATATTTTCGCTGCAGAAGGGGCCGGGACAATGAATAGAACTTTTAAAACAGCTGCCCAAATATTTCCGAACATAGCAGCCTCAATTTACGATCTTAATTTCACCTACTAGACAATATTTGAGAAAACGAAAAAAACAAATGGCTAGCTGGTAAATGGAACTGAAATTGTGAGCAGAAGCCAGTCATTATTTATGTACCTTGCACGCTGTGTAAACTTAAATCCAACAGCATCTTCTCAAATACGAATCGATCTCTAGTTTCGCGCGATGGTGCAGAGGGTTTCGATTAAAGGCTTATAGTTTCTCACTGCATTTGACGAACATAATATTCTGTTACATTTTGAACTTGCTCCAGATCAGTAGGTCGTACTCTTAGAAGGAAAGAGCGGCCAGCAAGAGCTTTTGCTGGAATTCAAGCGAGAGAAAAAGACATTTTTCTTCACCAAGCTGAGTATTTCGTAAACCTTCTCACGATACAGGTCTTATTCCAGACTTAAAGCAACATCATTTTTACACCTGCAAATACTTAAGTTACGCAGAAATATATATTTTATCTTAAGTATTGTTTGAACCTTTCGTACCTGTGGCTTTCAATTTCTTGGCGCTTTTAGTGTACGCCTCGTTCTCGATCTCGCAGTTCGTGTATCAACACAGTAACCAGATCATCTTTGAACCAAGAAAATTTATCGTTTCACATAAGGAAAACCATACCACATTCTTCGGATAACATTCAAATTCGAACGAAGCTCATCGATGTACTTTCTCCGTTGGGAATCAGTTAACACTTTAATGCAATGTCGGCACGTTTGAAGACTTAGTCTACGCAATTTTTTTAAGAGAACATTAATTGCTAAGTTGAATTCTTTAGATGGATTTTGAGTGTCTTAACAACCGATTCTCATTTCTAGCCTTATGACCTTTACCTCTAGTTTAGGTAAAATAATTTATCTTTTTGAATCAATCCAGATTTTTTTTTTCAAAAATTGAAACAAAAACCTTCTCCTGACCATGCGTCGGAAGTGAACGATCTGTAGATTGATTTAACAAACTACATTCAACATTTTGATTGCTAACATTTGTAATTTAAATGTTGTTAAAACCGATTAACGGAAAAAAAAGAAATAATAAATAAAAACAAACAGAACAAAAAAAGAAACAAAGAAAATGAATTTTAATGTAAAAAGAAAACCTGAAGCCAATAATTTACTCTCAACTAAAACGGTCAGTTGAACACTATATGCAGTGTCAAGGTTGAAGTTTGTTTTTCGGTAATCGCAGCAAATCAATTTTTCCTATCTGGAAAACTACAGATTAATTAATCGAATCTTCCTGTTGAGTTTAATTCCGACAGTTACCATGCAACTAATTACTTGAAACTGCGATCATTGTTGCGCCATGCAACAAACTGCGAAGATGGTTGCGCCCCACAAATTGCAATTGTGTGCCCAAACTTTTCTCTCAGTCGCTCAAGGGTATGGTTAAACTAAGAGCAGTCCGTCCTTTTCGCCGAAGTCTGTCTGCGATTCAAGGAAAGTAAGTGAGAAATGAAAAAAATTGTTTTAGCGCACACTTCTAGAACCACGCGGAACGCTAACATGACCCCTCCAACATCAATTTCACGTCACTTTTTTATTACACTTGTGCGGTGAACTTCGCCGAAAAGTAAGGACCGCTCTTGGTGTAGTGGATAGTTCGGGACAGAGAACTAAGAAACAAGGTGACAAGCTAAAAAAAGGACGCAGCCATTTTGTTTAAAACGCGTTTTTATACGAAAGCACACGAACTATTTCTGTTCTCTCAGGAAATCAAAGCTGATTTCTAGTTCTTACTTCTGACCATAATTTTTTTAATACAATATTTTACACACACATCTAGATGTCCCTTAAAGTATTCACTTTAAGGTTTGAAGTTGGAAGTTCTCAGACGAAGGGTAGACGCTAACTCAGGTGATAAAACCAAATTAATATACCACACAAAATTATCAATTATTATTAATATCCCCTACCGACGAAGCATCACAGTTTCTTTAGAGACGTGTCCCTCTCACTTGCCTACAATAGCAAAAATTGCTTGAGAGAGATGCACGTGTTATTTGAGAAAAATAAACAAAATTCATTCCAAGCGGTGATGATTGACATACACAAGAAGAAATGACACTGATTCTTTATCATGATTTTGATTTAATATGACAAAGAAAAATTTTTTCTCTACAAGAGACATGACCCAAGAGGCAATATTCCCAGAGAAAAATTATTTTTTTTGTAAATTAGTCACGAAAATTTGGTACTACATAAAGACAAAAACTTATACCTGATAAGTTTGAATATTCTCATTACCTGTTTGCTGGAAATGTAAGGATATTATAGTGAGAAGTTTCATGTTGATCATTTCTGGGAGTTAAAGGGTTAACTGTTAACAAGAACGCTCTAATAAGACAAGCTTAATATGTACAATCATTAGTTTTGGCCCAACAAATTCTAACCAGCAGCACTGAGCACCAAAATAAAAAAATCAGATCAGACAACAATCTTGAGAACATCCTCCTGAGTCCCATTCATGCTGGCATAAGCTGTTGTGATTGGCAGGTTGTTTAGGTCTTACGACAATCAAATAAAAAGTACCCTAAATAACAACAATTTGGGGTTATAACACCAATATCATCGCTGAGCAAGCTTGTATCAGAATTTCACTAAATTGCATGAAATTTTTGCCTTTCTTTTACAATATCTATTAACATTAAATAACAATAACATACTCTGTCTGAAAGCAACTTCAAAATAAGAGAGGAGAATTTTACATTTTTTCAATCACTGTCAAACTTGATTGAGTTAATTCCAGTATTTATTTGCCCCCCACGATAACTTCCCCGCTTCTTCTTGGTTTTTTCATGTCTAAAGGACTTGCCTGTGAACAAAAACAAATAGTTACTAAAAAAGTAAATTCATACCCATTCTTGAAAATAAGAGAGAAATGTAGAAATGACTTTTGTTTTAGTTGCAACTACTTTTGTTGTAATTCCATTTTCCAAAAAGGAGAGCATCCCTAAATGCTCCTCAAAATTGAAATTCAAAATTGTTAGTGTTTGATGATGTTAAAATATTCACATACAAGGCATTTTTCATCTTCAGAATGTGTTGTATTTCAGATGTTTCTGGGAAATGCAACAGTGGGTGAAGAGGGCCAAGAGGTCTAGGCACAGGCAGACCACACTATGTGTTTGTGGTTAATAATTGTTGACATTAGACAAACAAAATCTGAGGGTTAAAAATAAAGCTCTGAAAATTGCATATCTAAATTACATCTCCCTCTGCATATCTCAATTAAGATAAATGAAATGTAAATCGATGCATTTGGGATATAATTTAGCCTTCATGGGCTGCTTGAAGCTTCTTTTTATGAAATTGCTTTTTGCCAAAGGCTGCTAATAGAAAGGAGTCCCCCTTTCTCCTTCAAAAGTAATTTTGGTGGTTTGAGAAATAATGATCAAGAGTAAACTATTCCTTTTTTTTAACTTTCACCTCACCTTTCACTTGTTTGAGGTCTCTGTTGGCCTTTTCGCCCCAGTCTCCTCTTGATCCGTACTGCAACAGAAGGTTAAGAAATGAAAATCTATCTTTTAATCACTCAAATTCTTTTATAGTGGCCACTAAAACACAACTGGTTGAACTTTGTGTGCCAATTCTTATCATGGACACCTGCAGTAGCCTCCCAGTCTGTACTCTGGAATAAGTTGTTCACGGTACAATTCGCACTAATCAAGGTTTAAACACTTTTCAAAAAGTTTTCAATCCTTTCCCTTACCACTCCAAAAATAAGCACCCCCTCTAATAATTCCCCTGGTCTGGGAGTCCTCAGGATTGATCAACCCTAGGGGGCTTATGAGAGTATTTCACCCTCTACTCCTTAATATTAGTATTAATATTATAAATCTCCACACTGCTCTCAATAACATTTCTTAAGTAAGGAGAAATTAGATGCTGGTCACTCTTAGGGGTTGAAGGGTTAAAGTGACTGTGCCTGTTGACACTGTACTCTTTTTCTCACCTTTGCTTCAAAACTGTTATCCTGCAACCTGGGGTCTACTGTTATTTCTTCTTCTCTGACTCTTCTAAAAGGTGTTTTTATCTAAATGGAAAATGATTCACTGACATTAGCATTATGTAAATTGCATAGCAGTGTTGCAATTGCTCAAGTGGGCAGCTGTTGGTATCAGCACTACTGTCAGTTCTAAATGTTATAGAAAGAAGAACAGAAGAAAGAATTGAAGAGAGAAAAAGGAAAAACAAAAATGAGCACAAAAAAAGTAAAAAAAAAAAAAAAAGAGGAAAAAAAGGAAAATAAAACAAGACAAGGAAGGATGAGAAAAAAAAGGGAGATCTCAAAATAAGCACTAAGAAAAGTCAATACTGTGAGTAACAGTTGGCGTTTGAAAGGAAAAAGGTACAAGTTAGTCACTATAATGCATCAGGTAATGTTTTAAGTCACATATGCAATTCAAAGAAAAGTTTCAAACACTCAGCAGCAGTTGCACTAATGTTACACTGAGCAATGCCCCTCAAATCAAGTTCCTCAGTAGCCCATTACCATGCATTACCATGAAAACTAGTTTTTAGTTCCTGAATATGTTGATGACTCATCTCTGAATAGTGCTACACTTAAATCTCCAAGCAAGGCTATGTGGCAAACTTCACACAAATAAATATGCATTTACACTTTTCTTACAAAAAATCTGAATTTTCCACAAGTTACTAAAAGTGTAATATTTGCATGAGATTATTGCAAGGTTTCTTATAGTCTCACCTGATTTCTTTCTTTCTGTTTTGAATTTGCAACTGCAGGAGTGGAAGATGCTAAAAGACCATTTTCAAAAAGCTGAATTACTACATAAAATTACATGTCAAAAGTGGATTATGACCCATAACTGACACTGTCAAGTCAGGCATGTGTGCAAACTGTACATTGACTTCTAGGAGGTGTTAAAACAATTAACAAAAGACTTATAGTTAACCTGATGCAAAAATAAGAGTATCAACAGCCTTGTGTACAAAAACAACTTGGTTTGTCAGTTGCATTATAAGAATTTTGTTTTGACTCTTTTGTTGGTTCTCCACCAATATACGAAAAAGTAACATTTTCTTTGTCAATAAAAATCAAGCATCCTTAAGAATTTTTGAACTGGAAAAAAATCTTTAAGTTTCAGGGGTTTATTAAGGGGGTTATAGGGAGTTATAGGGAGGACCTTGCACACATTCCATGCCCATCAAATAGTAGAAATGACTCTTCAGGAGAAATTGGATAAACAACTTTCAGGTTCAAGTATTGTTAAAAGCAAGAAATTCACTGTTCAAGGGGTTTTAATTTGGTATTTTCACAATTCAATTGAAAATTGAAACCAATAACTTAATACTCCATCATGCAAAACCCTTTTCACCCCCCTCTTCATCAAGGTATCAAGTAAATGGCAAAAACTGCTAAATAGGCAGCTACATGTAATTCAAATTTGATTTTTGTTGCTGTTAATATTATGGATTTCAGAGAAAAAAAAAGTGCTAAATTTAACCAGTTGTTATCTCTTAGTCAAACCCCTGGACTTTCAAAATTGAAACCAAGTAAAAACAGAATTTTTCTGAATTTTCTGCTTTTAAAGGAAAACTTTCATTGTCACACAAAAAAGGATGTATTAGAACTGTTGCCAATACACAAGGCTGGCTTCCAGGTCAATCAGACAATCTTACTACTTAGTACACTGCAATTCTAAGAACAAACCATGCATAACTACCTTGTGGGTCATCAGCTGTGCCCTTTTTGGCTTTGCTCTTTGTGGAATTGGCCACTCCATTCAACTTACTGTTGTCCCCTTCATCAGAATCATCTGAGCTTGAACTATCATCTGAAGATGCAGCCTTTTCATTTTGGTGTTTTGGAGTCCCTTTTATGTTCTTAACTTTAGAAGTCTCCTCTTCATCATCTGAGCTGGAACTATCATCTGAAGATGCAGCCTTTTTATTTTGGTGTTTTGGAGTCCCTTTTATGTTCTTAACTTTTGAAGTCTCCTCTTTGTCATCTGAGCTGGAACTTTCATCTGAAGATGAAGCCTTTCCATTTTGTTGTTTTGGAGTCCCTTTCATGTTCTTACCTTTTGAAGTGTCCTCTTTATCATCTGAGCTGGAACTTTCATCTGAAGATGCAGCCTTTCCATTTTGTTGTTTTGGGGTGCCTTTCATATTCTTAACTTTTGAAGTGTCCTCTTCATCATCTGAGCTGGAACTTTCATCTGAAGATGCAGCCCTTCCATGTTGTTGTCTTTTTGCACCTTTTATGTTCTTAACTTTCTTAGCCTTTTCTTCTTCATCTGAGCTTGAACTTTCATTGTCTGTGTCCATACTTTCATCATCCTTATCTCCCTTTTTCACTGATTCAGTGGAAGAACTTGTAGACTTTGCTACTTTTGATGTGTCAACTGATATCTCCATACTTTCGTCTGAGCTAGAACCGTCATCTGATGATTCTTTTTCTTTGCTTTTCTCCAGCTTTCCCTTTTTTGATTTTGTATTTTTTCTAGCTGGTTCATCATTGTCTGAACTAGATTGTGAAGAACTGTCTCCCTTTTTCTTGTTGTTATTTTTGTTATCTACTTTATTTATTTTCTCTGTTTCCTCTTCCTCTGAACTTGACTCAGATGAGCTAACATCATCTTTTGGTTTACTTTTTTTCTGCTTTGCTTTTTTTCCACTCTGTTTTGTTGGAGTTGCTTTCTTTTCTGTTTCTTCTCCTTCTGAACTTGTCTCAGATGAGCTTTGATCTTCTTCCTTTGTCTTTTTGTTTGCTTTATTTCCACTCGCTTTAGTAGGAATTATTCTTTTTTTAGTTTCCTCTTCCTCTGAACTTGACTCAGCTGAGCTATCATCTTTTGGCTTTGCCTTGTGGTTTACTGGTTTTCCACTCACTTTTGAAGGAGTTTTCTTTTTTTCTGCATCTTCTTCCTCTGAACTTGACTCAGCTGAGCTATCATCTTTTGGTTTTGTCTTATGGTTTGCTGTTTTACTGTTTGCTTTTGTTGGAGTAGCCTTTTTCTCTGTTTCTTCTTCCTCTGTACTTGACTCAGATGAACTTTCATCTTCTTGGTGTTTCTTCTGACTTGCTGTTTTACTGTTTGCTTTTGTTGGAGTTGCCTTTTTCTCAGTTTCTTCTTCCTCTGAACTTGAATCAGAAGAGCTTTCATCTTTGGGTATTGGCTTTTGCTTTGCTGTTTTTTTATCAAATTTTGCAGGGGTCACATTTTGTTCTGCTTCATCTTCCTCTGAACTTGACTTAGATGAGGTATCATCTTCTTGTTTTTTCTTCTGGCTCACTGTTTTTTCACTTACTTTTGTTGAAGTTGCCTTTTTAGCTGCTCCCTCCTCCTCTGAACTTGATTCAGAAGAGCTTTCATCTTTGGGCTTTGTTTTCTTGATTGTACCTTTACCAGGTGCTGTCTTTTTTTCTCTATCTTCGTCAGAGCTTGATTCAGTGGAGCTTTCATCTTTCGACTTGGCCTGTTTGTTTTCAAGTTTTTCAATTACTTTTGCTGCTGGTTTTGCTGGTTCATCTTCATCAGAGCTTGAATCTTGAGAACTAGATGACTCTGTTCCAAAAACAGAAAATATTACAACAGTATCACAAAGAAGCCAAAATTAATTTGAATAAATTTTTTTTGGAAATGAAAAATTACTGACATTAACTATTAAATAAATTTGACATTCATCAATTTTGGGACTTAACCAGTCTAAAGAAGAACTAACAGCCACTATTTCAATTTGCCAGCACCAGATATTTTCTATGCTGCACATTGCTTTCTAAAACCACAGACAACAGCACGTAACTCATCATGTCATGTAACTGCACTTCTATCAACCAAAATAAAAAAAAATAACAAGTATCTCACCTGAACTTGATTTTTGGGTCTTTTGATGTTTCGATTTTGGTTCTTTACTGGTTCCATTCAATTTTCTTTTCACAGGAGCTTGATTGGACCTAAAGAAACAAACAACCACAAAAAAATATAAAATTACATATATTATAATGCAAAAATAGCAAAAGTTTCTATTTCTAATTTTATAAGCAATGAACTTCTGCTACTTTAAGATGGGATACTTAACCCTCTAATTAACTTCCACAAGTGACCAAGACACAATTTCTCCTTACAATATCAATACAACATCAAGCCGACAAGAATAAGGAATAGAGAAAATTATCTGTTAGGAAATTATTAGTTGATCCAAAACCAAATTTTCCCCACTAGCATTAGGGAAATTGTTTGGCAGACTGTAAAGAGAATTAATAATGAGGTCATAGTAGTGAAAAGGTTAATTAATGACAACATTCCCAAATTATTAGCTTCCCTAAAATACTCTAGCCAACCATATTGTCTTTGCTAGGTTGAAGAAATACAGTTAATTCTCACCTTAAGAATGCCTTAAACCATTCAAGGATATCACTTTCTTGAAGGGGTCGAGATAAATCCTGTTGTAAAGAAGAAACAAGGTAAGTCTAGAGCTTTAAAGAAACAGTGTTACCAAGCTGCATGCTCAGTCATGCACAGGCAATCTTAGCTGTGAACTCCAGTAGTATTGGCCACAGTAACAGGACAAGAGGAAAAAATAAAAGATTTGATTTAGGAATTTTGCTGAAGTGGTAATGAGCTGAGGGAACTGGAAAATATTGCTTTGCATGAAACTGATCACAAGGACTGGATAAGGAGATAAAAGCCTAGCCCCAGTTGTTTGAAGGTTGGATAACGCTATCCACGGGATAACTCTTTCTGTGGTGTATAGCAGAGTACGTGTTGCTATTACTTATCTGCAGGATAGATATTTATCCGATGACTGGCTTAATCTGCCTTTTTTATGGCTGGGCCTTGTAACGAAAGGCACTGTATGAAAGGCCCAGTATAAAAGGCACTGGCCTAATCCAGTGACATTCTACTGACAACTGCACATAGACAGTTTTGAACTGAGAGCCACTGATATAAAATCTAAAAGTTAGAGGGCTCTTTGCATTTAATGTTTCTGATTACATGTAATCGACAATCCGTAAATCGAAAGAGGGAAAATAAGCCCGTACATCTTAAAGTGCAATTGTATCATACAAAAAATCTTTGCCAAGGTATAGTCTTTGTTTTGTAGGTGTGCTCGGGCGCGTGGTCTTTCTCGTCAAAGAATCAGATCGGAGAGGCTAAAAGACAACGTTTGTCGAACCTAATACTGACAGCAGTTTCGCAATTTCATCGTGCCATGCACGTGTACTGTGTTCACAACATAATCAGTAAATTTATCAAGGAAAGTTGAAAATCTAACGGTCACAGTGCAGTTTGATTCCTGTAATTTCTGTTAGCATGTCATTATCATCGCCGTTTTTCGATTTGTTCAACATATCGTCAGAAGTAAAGCAACATGTCGGTAACAACACAGAACTTCCTTTCGATACATGCACGTGTACAACTCTTTAAAATTTACGGAACATTAAGAGAAACAATCCACTCAGCAGAGCGATTTATAAATCAGTTATCTCAAGGAAGACAGACTTACCACTAATGTCTCCGCTTTAAAAGCTTTGGCGGTTTTGAGCAGATTGTTTTGCAATAAAAAAGAGTAAATATGTGGATATATATCACTTGGAACACTCGCCGAGCTCGCCATCTTAACCACTATTTTGTACACTAGTACCTAGAGCCACTCGTTTTAAAAAACAATCGTTCACTGATCACGTGAGCGCAATAGAGTACTATGGGTACTCGAATGCTTGGCGCCAGAGACTTTTGAAGATCTTGAAGGATATGATTCACCCTTAGAGCCGGTATTATAACCAGGGAAATTAATAGATCCACACATCTTGCCAACTTCATAGGTCTACCTGGAAAATCCTACCAAAATATTTTTTCTGCTATTTAGTAATCAATCATTAAATCCGCATATTCATGTGTCAACTGACCCTAAGAGGCGTTGGTAAGGGAGGTGTGAGATTTTAGGCTGAAGGGTTATACGGGAATCTTACCTGTTCGTAGGTATGCTTCCGCTCAGTACAAAACGGCGGAAAAATTAATCATTAATCATTTTGTTTCCAAACCAACCTATACAAGTGGCTTCCACTATATCCTATTTCGTTTGCTTCATGTGAAACACAGTAGAAAGGTGAATTCTAGTACCGCAGCAAAATCCGTTTTCAGCGCAATGAATGAAACGACCTGAAAGTTTGGAATTAATTTTGCCATATTCCTCAAACCGATTGAAACCAAAACCGATAATCAAATCAAATCGGATCGTGTTATTATATAGATCTATGTAGAGACAGATTAATTTTCGAAGCAAGATTCTCAGTTGTGAAATCTGTTGATGTAAGGAAGGTATAGAGATTGTTATACCCCTTTATATAAAGGACATCAATTATTCCCTTTTTCAACATAAATAATTGTTTGTTAATCACGATTTAAAACCCTTCGCTGCGGGATATGATTACGAGCTTGATGATTCATTACGATAAATAATTAAACATCGTCAATTATTCATGGTTTCTTAAAAACGAAAAAAAGGAAGTGCGATAAAAAAGAAAAGAAAAAACAAACAAATGTCTTCATCGCGAGGTGAACTTTTTTTTCAAATTCTCTGTTTCGTGTTTCCTTTATTGTAAATGAATAAACTCCAAATTCAAACACTAGCTCTATCAAGGAAGTTTTAAAACTCTTTTGTTCAAATTGATGGCATTATATCATTTCTAAACAGAGGTATTTATTTCAAGTTTAGACCAATAATTATCAGACGCTAAGTGATACACTATTGTCGCAGTAACCTATCAGTCGAATGCGGTTTGTTACCGATTACGTGGTGATGCCTCCCTCAAGCTGTTTCCAAGGATAACTTCAATGACATAATTTTTCAAGAATTTTGTAAACGTAATTTAACAGTGTTAGGAAAACTGAAAAATACTTCTAGGCCGAAGGGATTAATTCGATTTGATTTCATGTAAACCTCTATCGAGACCTTCACGAGTTGCAGAAATGTATCTCACAGCACAATTCTTACGTCTGCTGTTGATTTCAATTTTTTATAAGGCTCAGCGTCTTCAAGGTACGTAAAGTGCTTGTTTTGGTGCTGATGAAGTTTATTAACGAAGATGAGGGTATTTGATTTCAGTTGAAGGTATTCTTCAGCAAAGAGGAGTATATTTCCACGTAAAAGAACTAAAACATTATTCCCGCTCGGGCTCCTCGTCTGTTAGATGTATGATTAGAAAATACTTCATTGTTGATCAGAGTTAAAACTAAGTTTGCCTAAACGTTGGTTTAGTCCTGATCAAGTTCCTTTTACTTTAAGGTGCTGTCTATTTTAATTCTTCCACATATTTTCCGTTCACAATATTCATTCAAAAATTCATGATAAAAAGTTTGGTGAAAAATAATTTTCACCCATAACTTCTCCAGTGCGATCAGTGATGTTATTTGAGATCACTTGAAGAAGAAAATCAAAGCAATAACATTGAAATAATTAAAACAGGTAAAGAAATTAACCTTCGAAAATTTTCTTCACCAAAAACATATGGCGTCTGAGGCACGGGTTCGAAACCCATGGAAGTCGGAATTATTGCAGCTTTCTTTCCTGTATTTTGTTTTTTACTATTTTTTTCGCAGTTCACCTGCGAGGATCATTCTTTACCTGTTTATCATGCGCAGGTCCAAATAGAATTAATTTTACACAAAGAACCCAAAAAAATTTGCCTCGCTCCCAAATCTCAGGGCTTTGTTACTCGGTGGGTAGTAGCGCTTAAATGGTATCCAGGAGATGTGGATGCTAACCCTGTTGATTGATTTATTTAATTCAATTGTGAATACTGAAAAATGAAACAAGCCTCACGTTTCAGAGCCGAAAAAATCTTCTTCTACTAAAGTAAGCTTTGAGTAGAGAGAAAAGGCGACCTTGAGACTGAACAACTCATGATCTTTGAAAAGTCTCATCTTCTTTTGTTTATCTCAAAATGTTTTTCGAACTATGTTTATTGCAACTGTGTATCGAGATTAAAGTGATTTTAGGTAATTAATCGTTAAAACAGGCTTTAATTTTTGGTGAAAAATCTCTAAAGAAGGTGGCGTTTGAGCCAAAATTATAAATAATTGGTTTAATAGCCAGTGATGACCGTGCCTGATTATTATAACTGTCATTTTTGATTCCCTCACAACCATGATCTTTATTTCAACTCTCCTTACCGTCTGTTATACATTTCGGATAATTTTAGTTCTGAGAATTTAGAGGCAAATCAAACAAACATTCTCTGGTTGATATTTTTCTTTCTTCTCGTTGCCTTTCTGCGCGACACAGTGTTGAAAATGGAAGGAGAAATAATTATTGATTGATTACTTCTGAGGGAGTTGAGACAGTTCAGGAAGTAGAATGGACGCCTTTCAATGTTAGTTTACTTTGCAGTCATGAATAACGTTTCTGAAAATTATACGTTATTTTTCGTTGGTTCCTTTCTTTCAGCTCAGGTCAATCAAAGGCCAAAGTTCAGTGAAAATCAGTTTATTGTAACATTTAAAGAGGAAGAACCCATTGGTAAGTTCTAGTCAAGAAGGGTATCCATAAAATGAGATGTTGATTCTTGCAAGCACCAAGTCGTCATTAAGAGAGCTTTCACATTTCTGGGTGACGAAACTGCTAATTTATATAGTCATTATTTTTTATCACTGCCTTACATGCACAAACGATTTCCCCCCTTTCTCGGTCTTAACTTTATGTTTTTTTTCGCTATTTCAATTAGCAATAAATTTCTCTACGTATGTATCAGTGCATTGCATGCATTTTTTGCGTGCATGATTTAATGGAAAGTTCGTGTTGAATGCAGTATTGCTACACTAACCAGAATCCCGTGAAATGGTTAGAATTTACCAGTAAATGTACCCTATGATTAGATTCTTAAGCTCTATAACCAACCACAATAATGGAAACGAACCCTTCTCCAAAATACTGAATACCCAAATTTCACGTCTTTCGTTTCGGGATTATTTTTGCTCCGTCTTGAAGTTTTGTGTTTGCTCCTTTGATTTTGTTTTTACTTTGAGTAAGCTGTTCCGAAGTTTTGTCTTTCCTGCAAGAGTACGATTTCATATAGAACAGTTTAGAATCTAAGTTATTACTTCTCAGGCACCAGAGTGACTCAAGTGTCTGCCACAGATACAGAAGGAAATACGATCAGTTATGAAATTGGCTCAGACGCTAACGGAAAATTCAGCATCGACCAATCTAGTGGGTGGATAACATCTAATATAAGCATCGACAGAGAGGTGGGTCTGCATCGAAAAATTCTCAGTTTCTTTCTAAAAAGGTCTTTGCGTTTTGAGATTTACTAATAAAACAAATGCTTGCTTTCAAGCTCGGAAATACTTAAGTAGAGGAAATGTATTCAGTAGTGAATCAAGAAATGCAACGATGACCTACTTGGTGTGTTTTTCTGTCTATTTTTCTTTTAAAACAGACTTCTCTTGTTCAAAGTATCCAATTCACAGTGTACGCTTACGATGATGCCAATGGACCTCAGGCGAAGGTAGGTCAGCTTTGAATCAGAGCAAACAAAACAAAGAAACAAATTAGCGGACATAGCCCATACTAGAAAACAAGCTAACAAGTACATGATTAAAAATGGGAGTGGAAGAACAATCAATTCATAGTGAACGAAAATAAGATAAAAGAAGCAACAAAAATGCAGAAAAGTAATGCAGAAAAATGTAAAACATATACAAAGCCGGGGAAAACAAACAAATTTGGGTCAAAAATAATTGAGAAAGCATCATATTTGCTTTACTTGTATGAAAATCAATGTATATTTTCGATTCCTCTCAGTCGACTTTTTTCGAATATGTGATCTTCTCAGGTTTCCGCGACGGTGTCGATTACTATAGAGGACATCAACGATAACACACCTGTTTTTCAGAATGCTCCTTACCAAAAAAGAATCAGCGAGGTGAGATTTGACACTATAACATAAAAAAATCATAAAGACAACGTTTTCATATTTCTAGCCATTTCAGGCTTGTACGAATGTAATTTTTAAGATCCTTTAGGAGTGAAACGCGAAAAATCTTGGTCTGAGAATACGCGAAGACGTACGGGAAGGGGCAAGCTTGATTTGCATCAGATAACGTTCTCTATAAAATTATGTGCACCCCTCTTTCACGGCTTAGTTATTTGTGCAAATTCAGGAAAAATAAGTTAGTGAAGCAAGATCTTTGTTTCCACTGCGCCGAATTGAAATTGTTTTTTCGCTGATTTCTGTGACTTGCCTAAAGGGCTGAGCTTGAAAAGAAGAAAATCTAATGAGCCAAAAATTTCTCCGTCCGGCACTCTTAGACAACAACTATACAGATTGTGTCTCGTGAAGTTAATTATAAGGGACGTTTGAGTTCATTTTAACGTTTTCAAGAAAACTCTCTTTTAACTGCAGGACGTCAGTTCAGGCAGCACAATTTTTACTGTGACAGCAACTGATGCGGATATGCCGGACCCACCAGCGAAGGATCTTCTCACGTTCACAATCGTAGATGGAAATGTGGTAGGTACACTGGTTAATCGTAGTAATGATTAGCATTAAAATTAGTATGGCTAATGGCATGATTTCGAATGCAATTTGGTGTAAATAAGCACGAGTAAATTTTTCAAAGACAACAAAATTGTACGAGTCCGTAGGGCAAGTGCAATTTGTAGTCTTTGAAAATTTTACGGAGGTTTACATTACACCAAATTACAAGAGAAATCATGTTATTACTTGTTAATAATGTACATAAAAAAACATTGTAGAAAGCCAAGACAGACGAAATTTTAAAAGCATGCATTTGTATTTGTAACTTGCACCCATGTTACAACTTTGCACTCTTGTTACATGAGAATGTATTCGTTTTAAGCCAATAAGCAGCGCGTAATTTTTTCATGTACATTATAAACTAATCGAAAGATACTGCTTTCATATCTGAGTCACAGGTTTAGTCACAAATCGCCCTAAAATCGCCCTAAAAGACTCTAAAGCGCATGCTTCAATGCAATATTTCAACACGTAGGCTTCACGAGCTTATGAAAAATCATGTAAAAACTAGGTAAAAGGGATAAAAAAAAATTTCACAGCCTTTTAAACTGTCTTCCATGGGATAAAACTACGGTGAAAATCGCTTAAATACAGTTTACCTATATTTTGCCGCTGGTGGGAAGGTACAAGCGGAAACTTTACTGCCAAAAAAATCAATCTTTAATGATAGAAGTAGTTAAGTGTTTATACAGTTCTTTAAAAGCTTTATTCATTTTGTTTCGATTGACAATTTTTCTAGCGCGGCAGGCATAATTCTCATTTAAAAGTATATGAAATGGCGATTTTTGCCGTTTTTGCGCACGGCCACCTGTTTTATTTGACAAAGAAGAGGACCAAATCCATATTGCAAACCACTATCAGTTTGTAGTCCAGTCAATGACTTGGGTATTTTTTTCCTATTCAGGGAGACAAATTTTACATCGAATTATATGGTGGCAGTGTAGTTGTCACCAAAAAGCTGGATTATGAGTCGATCAACAACTACACTCTGAAAATTCTTGCCAAGGTTGGTCGAGTCTCACTAACTTACAAGCGTATCTTAGCGGGCCACTTAAATAACAACAACAACAACAAAAAAAGCACAGATCCCCCCACAAAATATATGTCATTCATTCCTAAATTGGATCTTGTAGTAAGCAGACACAATTGATTTTTCTAAGATTCTCTAAGCTGCCATAGCCATTTATATCAAAAGCAATCAAGAGTTGCTGTAATTTAGGATTGTAGTTTGATGGGGATCGCACGATGAATTGTTCTGGTTTTGCATGCCAACTAAAACCAACACAAACCTTGTAACTCGTGTTTTATCGCGTTTGTAGTAGGCTATTGTGTGTTTACTTTGAGTTTTCAAGGGCTTCATAAAACATGTCCTTTAGTCTAATTGGTTGTTGTGATTATCTTTGGTTTGGTTTTATTGACGACAACCAATCTAAAGCACTCCTCTGAAATTGGACATGATTTATTGCATTTTTTTCATCAATCTGCTTTAGGACAACGGGCCGGGCAATGGACTTAATTCAAGCACAACACTGAATATTCTCATTGATGACGCTGATGATCTCCCGGCCGAATTTTCTCCTTCTTCATACGAAGCAGAAGTGCCAGAAAATGCAGCTAAGGTCAGGACGGAATTATTAAATAGTATTGATACTAATTCCAAGTTGCATTTGTTATGCACAAACTCAACTCTAGATTAAAGAACGCTCTTTTTTTCTAATTTCAATAATAATAATAATAATAATAATAATAATAATAAATCAGTCAAAAAAAATAATTGATGCTAACCCACCTCGCAGATATTTTTCGTACACCTCTCTCACAGAGTTCTGCTCGGCGCGCTAACGTCAACGTTTTTTTTCACTGATCTTTTTTTTACTCGAACGACGGACTTCGCCGAAAAGCAGGGGCTGCTTCTCTGCTCTATTCTAATTCAGCATTTGATATAAAGAAGAGTCTTCATCTACCCCAGATGATAGGTCATTTATTTTTCAGAAATATGTATCTTGATAAATTTACTTCACGGTGATCTCTTCCTCCACAATTATTTGATGTACACACTTTACTAATTATAAATACCAGAGAATTACCTTGACATACTTATACCGAAATTGTCTTTGCGCGTATACTTCACTGTATAGGGTTATTACGTCACGGCTGTTACAGCACGTGACGGAGATGAGATGTTGGATGCACCAGTGGAATACTTCATAGATACAGGTAAGGAACCGGTTGCGGTTGTTATTTATCGACGGGGAGGATTTTTCTTGTGTCGCGATAAAATTACCTGATCTCCCCATAAGGCTTTGTGGCATTCTTATGGTCCTCCCACATTGGCAGTTAGTCGACAGTCAGTTTTCCATAGTCCCCCTTCATCCTCTATGGGCGACGACTGATCCCCTATGTCCACAAAATCTTGAACACGGAAACACGGACTAAAGACTGAGAATCATACACACGATGACCTTTGATGACTACTTACGCGTCTTGTAGGCTATAACAAGAAAAATATTTGATAATGTTGTCCGATCGCCTGGGTGACATTGATCCTGAAAATGAATGGTTTTGCTACAAGAGAGGATTGAATGTCATCCTCATCAGTGATCGATGATGATATAACCTAAGCAGAAGTCATCTTTAGCTTCAAGTTCCTAAACGCTGCATAATGATGATTTTCACCCATTTCCCGGTGCGGAAAGACTTCTTCTGTATTGATTGAGTTTATCTTATTTTTCCTCTTTAAGATACAAACCCCAACAGCGTATTTACCATTCTGGGCTCATCTGGAGTGATAACTGTGAATGGCTCGTTGGACAGAGAGACTAGGGACTCCTATAACTTAAGAATTGGGGTGAGTAATTTTCTGGAAATGTCCTGGCTGACTAGTTAGGTCCATTCACTTGCGTTATTATTCATTCTCTGACCTCAGTTGGTGTACGAAGCAACAACGCGATTCATCCACCTCGACTGGGCCTGCATCAGACCTCCCTTGCCTTTCCCGTAATGTCTTCCCCATCTGTCTCATTCCTTCTCAACCGTCCGCCGCTACACGATCTTTCGGAGGCCCTTCGCTCTCTTTCTCTCTGGCTCCCAATGTAGAGCAGTCTTATAAGTGTAAACCACTAGGCTGCTAACATCATCAATTTATCATTCCATATTGATGTCAATTTAGTGGACAGTTTATCTATCCCCAGTCTGCTAAATACAGCATGTTTCGAATTTACCAACAGTGTCTCTTGTGCCTGAAGAGGACTGGCTCGGCCGCTGAGATATGAAACACAAAGTCACCACAAATCTACATGGCAATGTCTCTGTTTTCGTTTTCTCCTTCGCAGCTGTTTAGAAAATGTGCCGAAACGAGACGCAGGAGAAAGCGTCTTTGCATCACAAAAACGAGTGCGATGAGGAGACTGAAAAATTCTCAATTTAACTCAAATTTGTTTACAATTTTCGTCTTGCAGGCCACTTCCACTCATCAAAACCCTGTTTATGCGAACGTAAAGATAACTGTGAAGGATGTAAATGACAACCCTCCTGTATTTATCGACGCACCTTATTCAGGAGAGATTCTGGAAAACGCATCACTTGGGATGACGGTTATGAGAGTTACAGCTGTGGATAAAGACGAGGTAAAGTCGCACTGATATTTTCTCAGTAACCTCTCTTACTGATCCGATTTTGATTTAGTTTTGTGATGATTGAAAAAAACTAGTTGTTTGTGTACAGTCAGTGGAATGTGATTTCATCGTGGGTGACAATTAAGGTGGCCTTGTAGCACTTTGGATTTCGGGTTTAAAGGTTTTGGTTAGAGTACTGGCTGTTTCACTGCGTGGTGTTAGTGAGCAAAACACTCAACTGTCATAATGGTTGTAAAAGCAAACTATGAGTGAGTCATTGTTCTCCAAAAGCACCAGCAGCCGGCGTTTTCACTAGATACTTGTTTGTGAAGACTTGTCTTGACCTGAAACGTTTGCTTATATTTTCGTATAGAATGGATAGAACAAGAAAAAAAGGAAAGAAAAATAAGTAAAAGCAAGAGGAATCGATGCTAGCGAAATAAATGCTCGTGCCCTTCGGGCACTCAAATGATTACCGCCAGATGACCACTGTTTTCTATGGCTGGTTACTAAAAGACCTGACGATGACTTTGATGAGTACCAGAAAAATTTTGACTGAAATGAAGCTTTTGAACTTTTGACGGTTGTCTCCCCTCCCAATAAGTAGAAATAGCGATACTCCTGGTCACCTCTTGCTGAATAAACCGGTATATGCTTCCAGCTCTTCCAGTGTGAGCTCCCTGGCTTTTAAAAGACTTAGCTTTCTGGCTTCATCATTTTATTCATGTTAGGGAAATAACGCAGTGTTCTCGTACAGCCTGGAACGTGCTGGAGGAAAGTTTACCGTCACGCCTGCCGGGTATATCTTGGTAAACGACGAAATCGATCGCGAAACTGAGGATGTACATTCATTTCAGGTCAGTACTACGACTTGAACTTAATCCTTTTGTAATATTTGTGAGCGATTAAATATGTGAGGAAAAAAATTATTAAATCGATAGGAAAATGAACCTAAAACAAAACAACAACTAAACGAACAAAACAAAAACGGCATCAAGAACAAAAACGACTAAGTGAGTGCGTTTCTTTTTTCTTTCCTAAAAGAATAGTAGGGGTACGGTCGGGCGGCTACTAATGCTATTTCCAGACCTCTCTCGGTAAACTAAAATGGCGTAAGAACTTCCTTGCGCCAACTGGCAACATGCACCGCGGAATTATTTTATGTCCGCTTTCCACGACCATTCTGGGTTCCTAGGAAAAGCTCCTTATATAAGAAAAGCTATCTACCTTCAACGTATCTGCGATTCGGTACGCGATCCCTCGACGTGTTACCTACGATGCAACCTCAAAGCGACATGATTTAATTTGAAATCTTAGGTGCTCGCAAAGGAGACTAAGACATCGGAAAAGCGTCAAGCTGTGGCATCTGTTACTGTTAATGTCACAGACCTGAACGACAATAATCCAAAATGTTCCCAAGCTGTTTACAGAGTTACTGTACCGGAGAACAGACCAACGAACACTTCTGTAGTGAAGGTGAGATACAGAGTATAATTTTATTCGCTGAATTAAGATTTGTTTCATTTTTCCTTCGTTCTTTTTGTTTCCAAAGTGCACTAAAAGTTCAGGACCGATTATTGAATTTGGAAACTTTCAGGTGTTGGATCTAAGGGTTACGCGTTGAGATCTGCAAATATCTCAGCCACGTTTTTTTATTTGTTGAACGGTTTCTTTATTCATTCATTTTCATCTTGTATTCCTTTAAAGTGCGGCAATTTCACAATAGGCTTTCCCAAGATTTTAATAACAATTCGTATGTCCCTCTGCGAAAAGATACCTCAAATCATAGACATTATCAATAGCTCACAAATTACTTAGGTGCTGCACTGCATTGTGTTACACTTCCTGAAGATATTCTGAAAACCAGAGTCTTGTCACGCAATTTACGTGACATCAACAGTTGAGCATAATTTGATTGACGCTGAATATATTTTTCATAATTTTTTTGAAATTATAGATTACTGCATCCGACCCTGATTTGGGACCAAGTGGAACGATCCGATTTAGTCTTGTTCCAGATGCTACTGATCATTACAAGTCTTTTGCTATCGATCCCATTAACGGCACTATTTATACCACGGCTAGTTTTGACCGCGAGCACCTTGCGCTTTACAGGTTAACCACGCGCGCCACAGACCAGCCAACTAGCGGACAAGCAAGGTAGAAATTGCCCTTCAAATAGTAGACTACCTCCATCCCTAGATCAATGTCAGTATCAGAGAAACTGCGTACATACCTCTCCCCTAATCCAACAACAGTCGACTGACAACAAGTTAAGGTTAATGTTGGGTTAGGGGAGGGGAAGGTGTGAAGTTGCTCAGACACTGACATTGAGTTAATTCCTCTTAAAATTGCCAGCAAAAATTAACAATTTATAATAAAGGAAAATAGTTACTGTAAAATGACGTGACGTTCAAGTAGTGTATACGAAAAAACAGGGAGAAATGACGTCCTGGAGTTATTCAGACTACACATGTTCTCTTTTTTATGACTGGAGGTGAAATAAATACCTGTTTTTATGCAAATGCCCATTTACAACCTATAATTACAATTTCTTTGCTGCAAAAACACTTGGGTTTATTTTATTGAATCCTCAGCCGGTCCATGTGATGGTTACCTAAGGAATTCCAAGTTATTCTGATCTTGTTTGAATTGTGAATGTATAATTCTTCTCTCTTTAGATTCGGAGACTGCCAGGTTGAGGTAACCATTGGTGATGAAAATGACAACAGTCCAAGATTTACAAATTTACCAAACGAGACAAGCGTGTCCGAGGGAGCATCCGTAAACACTGTCTTTTACACGGTTCAGGTAATGATTTTCACCTAAACAAGTACAGATCATGACACTTTAATTGCCATAATCTTTTTTTTTTGATGTTGATGAGAAGAAAAATGATGATGACAGTTATGGAAGTGGCGATGATACAGATGTCGATAGTGATGTGACAGTAGAGATGGTAGTGACAATCTGAGTGGTCTTAAGTAGTCGTTTCACTTGAATATTGTTTCGTGATTGGTCACATCCCAGAGTACCCTCTCCCTGTTATTGATGACAATAATAGCAATGATAGCGACGGCGACGATGATAATGATGATGACGGTAATGGTAATCGACCTGATTGATAATCCTCTTAATCATTGACTGATAATGTAGACCGACACAATAACAAAGATCTTCAAATGCACGCTTAGACCGTTTTCCCAAACTTTATCCTCACTGATCATTACCATTTTTTGGTGTAAAAATCCATCAGCGAATACCCAATCGATGTGAAGTCGCTTCAAGCAACTGACGACCTAGAAAGATCGAAAGTCGCGATGGATTAACAGTATTGACATTGCAATGTTTTTGTTTGTTAGGCCGCTGATCCTGATGAAGGTGTGAACGCTATTGTAAGTTACAGTATTTCCGCTGGGAATATTGACAATGCTTTCTCTTTGAATATTAACAGGTAAAAGCACCATAAAATTCATATAAATATCTATATTTGCCAAGAATCATCCTAGAAAAAGCTATTTGAAGCTTCTGTGGCTTTATAGAAACAGACTTTTCCTTAGTACATTTTCATCCAATCACCCATGCTTCGTTTGTCTGTCGCAGTATAATGTGTGGATCCAAGCAAAATTATTTTTCTAACTGATCAAGGTCCTCATGGACTGAGAAGTGGGAAGAAAACTAATCGAAAGAGTTGTGAACAGATAATCATCCGTTTTGAGATAATTGTACATTTTTTAAAAGCGAGGTCATAACCACCTCATTTTTGCATGTTTTGTTGCTAGTTTTTGCTGCTTGCACTCTATCCGAATGTAAGTTTTTTCGTAGAGATTTATTATGAAAAACTTCCTTTTGATCTGTCACGGCAGAATAACGTCTTATGTTCTCTAATTATTCTTATAAGTAATGCTTGCCCAGCACTCAAGATTGGACGTGAGTTTTCTCAGAGATCATAACCAAGTCATTCCAAAAATTTTTTTTACTTTTGGATTTTAGCGGAAGTCTCTCAACTCTTCGAAAGCTGGACAGAGAAACTAGTGCCCAGTTTTCTCTTCAAATTACAGCCGAAGATGGAGGAGGAAAGGTTAGTAACGACAGATGGATAACTCAGAGATTGTTTAAAGATGAAATGCTTAAGGTCCGAGGCGTCTCTCCACCTTTTGAGCTTCACTTTTGAATTCTTTACAAGTTTCTGATGTAGCTTTGTTTTTGTGCAACCCCTCGACAGCAACTAGATTTACGAGGAATGTTATAAACAGGAAATTTATCGCGTTAACTTAAAAAAAAATTGTGTTTCCATTAATTTCGAAGTTTTTGGGTTATTTGATTAGCGCGCGGCGAATATGACACGACAAAAACAAGGGTTTAGCGGAAGGAAAAGAAGTCCAGGAGCGCCCGAGATCCCCCCATCGTAAGCCTGTTTTTGACGCATTAAGTTAAACACGGCGTGGAGGTCGACATGACAATCTGACGAGTACCCTCTGTTTGTCTAAGTGTAACCCTTTGAAAAATCCTGGCTCCACCCTTGTGCAATAATGTCTCATATAAATGTGTGGAAATTTTCACTTTTATCTCTGAGATGGCATAGACTAATACTCCCGTTCAAATAAAATTAAGCTGAGCGATTATTTTGTAAATGAGATGGGGTATAACAGAAGATCGGGATTCATTTATTAATAAGCCGTGAGTTAGTAAAGACCAGCCCCTACACCCTCCTAGACAGGAGGTTTCTTTTGTAAAAATCTGATTCCATCTCAACAGTCAACAACAAAGAGTCTGGTTGTTCATATCTCGGATGTCAACGACAACTCGCCGGTATTCACCGAACCAGACGGTTATTACTTTTCGGTGGACGAGGGAAAAGCTGGTTTAACTGTCGGAATGGTCAAGGTAAGTGAGAGTGGGACGTTTTTGATTCTTGTTCCTGTTATGTTCAATAACGGCTTCAGTTTGGTCCTCACGAAATCATTTTTTTTTGTTTCAGTTCAGTTTTTTTTTCAGTTTCAATACCATATCACACATCAAACTTGGCTGTTGATATTTAAATTTCTTACTTCTTCAGGCAATAGACACTGACGAGGGCATAAATGCAGAAGTCACGTACAGCCTTAAGTCCGTACAAGATTACTTGAAGTAAGATTTTTATTTAAAAAGAATGAAGGTGGTCAAGTTAAGGCTCATGCATTTGGCTATAATTTGAAAAAGAAACTCAATCCATTAATATGAAGATCTATGAATTCATGTTTGATACATAAATCCATTTAGATACAGCACCATATTGAAGTAATATTTGCCTCTAGTCGCAACTAGTTTACCAAGCATTTCCGTGCGACATAAGGTAAATATAATAACAATGTGCTAGTTCAGAACATGCATTTCATTTCTATCTTTAATTTCTATCTGTTTCTCAGTCATTCACTGAAAAAAAGCTCTTCGGTTTCTTTCCAGATTTACCATTGACCAGACATCTGGTGAAATAAAGACAACTACTGCATTAGATCGTGAGTCTGGTGACCAACATAACATCCGGGTTCTAGCCAAAGATAAAGGTCTTTCTAATCTCCAGGCTGAAGTTCATGTTGTGATAAACGTCTCTGACGTCAACGATCATAGTCCAGTATTCAGTCAGCGGCATTACTTTGTAGCAGTGGAGGAGCAACTTCCCGCGCATGTCATCTTGAATTTGACGGTATTTTGAGTGGCCTGGTTTTTTTTCATGTTTTATTGGATTTATTAATCCATTTTAATTAATCAATATCGTTGTTTTATGTAATATACAGAATTTTTGAAAGTATTGTTATTCCGAAGGAAGGCCTAATATATCAGCTCGCTAACCGTGCGTGGTACTAATTCCGACAGCGTCCGCCTGATCCTTTACTAGAACCTATCAGAACTTCCAACTTACTTCCTTAGTTTGTTCTGAACTACTGTAGCTATTGTAAAACCCTTGCCTTGTCATAGGCTGCCTAGGCTTCTTTGCATATTCATTTGGTAGCAATCGTTTTTGTAGGGTTTTTAATGTCAGTTCTTTCCTCGGCATACGCCCGTCTGGACGTAAGCACCTAGGTGGTATCCCCGTCCCTTCTTTGAATTGTTCCTGTCATAAAATCGCATTGGCAGAATATTCAAAGCAAGATGAATTACAACCAACCGTGGAAAACGGGGCAAAATACCAGCTTCTCTAGACGACCGAATGGTACTCCTGGAGCTCGAAAATTTGCTGTTTTACTAATCTAAAAGTTATTTACATCGTTTGCTTTCGTTGCGCATGTTTTTTTTTAACTGAACCAACTAATGTAACTTCGCTATATAGGCAACTGACCGAGATATTGGCATCAACTCGGCGTTCTTGTATTCAATACTTTCTGGAGATGTTGACAACAGTTTCGCCATCGATCCTGCCAGCGGTGCTCTTTCCACAACACGACCCTTAGATCGAGAACAGCAGGATTCCTACATCTTATTGGTTCGTGTGTCCGATCTCCATGGTAACCACAGTTATGGAGTGGTGTTTGACGATTCTACTGTGGTTCAAGTTGTCGTCGAGGTAAGGCTTTCCTGATCCCTATTTTCTTCTATGGTCGGTGCACTTTGGGATAAAAATCACCTTGCTTTGGTAATGCTATCGTCACTGACGATGAATTCAACCCAATCACAATGATGAAAGTGATATCTTGAGTATTTCTTTTGAACATTGGGCTTCTCATGCAAGTAAACGCCACACCTACGTAGAAAGTAGAGAGCCTAGTATAAGACCGTGGTACACTTCTACTGTCACCAAAGGGTTTTCACCCATTAACCCCTACGAGTGTCTGGCTTCTAATTTCTCCATACAGTATCACCTTTAAATCAAATGTACAGGTCATGAGAATAAAGGAAATGATCATCAATGTAGGACGCTCCTGATTGTCAAACAAATTCTCCTCGTCAGTACCATAGGAAATGTTAAGAGAACAGCGTGGAGAATATGAAAGATAATTTTAGGGGGGAGGGGGGGAAGGGGGAGAAGGGGGAAGGGTGACAGCATCGGAGATACGCCCCAGATGCGTATTTGGAGAATGTCGCTAATGAGCCCAAAGGGAAGACAAAATTGAAATTTCAGGGTCCGCAGCTCAGGACGATACCCTGTACTGCATTTTATGCTTCCCATAACAACGGAAAGCGGTCATTTTTTTTACTGGTCTTAATGTCGCTTGCACGCGAGAGATTTAAGATTGTAGGGCGTATCGATGTCTCGCAGTTTTCAATCTTGAATTCCCTTCCAATATGAAATGGACGGCTGTATGAATGTATGGAAAATTCATTTTTTTTCTTTAGAATACAAATGACCACAGACCATTGTTTGCAAACCCTTTGTATCACGTTGAAATATATGAAAACATCACTACTGGTACCGCCATCTTACAACTCTCTGCCCAAGATCGCGATGACAATGTAAACATGGCTCTGAGATACTCCATTGTCAGCGGTAATAACCTTGAGAGGTTCTTCATTGATGTCTTTAGTGGTATAATTTACGTGAAGAGTCCCATTGACAGAGATCCACCGATGAACGAGAGTTCTTTCTTACTCACGGTAATAGTCCATTTTCTTGATTTTGAATTATTTCCGCTGTCTTATCGTGGACTCAACGTTACAAAACTGTTAGCTTCGTAATCTCTTTCAAACTAATGTCTACTTTTTCTTGTTTTCTAGATCATGGCTAAAGACCAAGGAAAAATTTCATTAAACTCCACCACAAGGGTGAGGATTACCATAGCCTATATAGAACATTTGAATGTGCTCAGATGTTTGGTTCAGTTTCTGCGATCGGGAAGAAGCCGGCATGTAGGAGAGTTTTTTTTCTTTTCACTTATTTGTAGAACGTTACTTATTAGGAACGTGTCATAACCTGATGGAAAGGATCTGGAATCTTTTATTCTCAGCGAAAAATTTACAAAAGTAATTTTGCATTTGTGTGCTTTGTTGCTAAGCCTTTGTACAGGAGCGAAGCTTTTGATGACCTTGTTTTTTGTGGAGAAGAAACGACATAGCACGATAACAGAGGAATTTAAAACTTTAAGCAACAAAATTTATACCTAAAGAGTGTGACCTTTCGCCTCCCTTCCATCCAAGTCGTCGCTTTTCTTGTCTAATGTACTATTTTGTTTTCCACTATTCATTTTCTCTTTAAACGACAGGTTAGTATCACTGTGTTTGACGTGAATGACAGTCCACCGTATTTTGAATCTGGTAGGTCATGTAATACTTACTAAGACTGAGTTGTTTTTGAGTTCGATCACCAACCTTTTTAAACTAATCGTTACCTTGGCACTTAACCTATGTTTGAACTAATCAAGCCCTGAAAATGTTAGCCCGGCCATTTTTCCAATCTCCTTTTGGGATGTATTTTTTAATTTTCGTTCTAAGCTAAGAGCAAAGAGGAGCACTAGTCAACTTAGTCACTTCCAAATGGATGAAGCTGTGCATATCGTACCTATGTTATTTACTGGATCTTCTTTAAAAAGATAGAGAAAAAGAAAGAATTTGCAACTATGCTTCAAGCAAAGTATTCTTCTCTAAAACGATATTCTCTTTATCCAATCTTCCTCTGCAGTTGTATGTTCACGGCTATCATGAGTCATGATAACCGTGTCCATACTACTGCGTAACGCATTCTATGTCCCACTGCCTTAATCAGGCTATTAGCTGTGTACATCGTAACGCATTCTTTGTCCTACTTTATCAGTTGTATACACCGTGACAGTTCTAGAGGATACCCCCAAAGGAATTGTTGTTTTACGTCCTGTAAGTAACGACCGAGATACTTCCACCAATCAAGAGCTGAGTTTTGCCATCACTTCAGGCAATGATCAGGTGAGCAAGCGTTGCTTTTCTTGGATTAGTTAACATAAGGAATACTGACAGGTAACTCTCACAAACCAGTTATCTGCAAGCACAGCTTCATAACCGACGCAGATAATGTTACAAGTGATTCCTTTATGTATCCTACATCGAAGAGCAAAGACGAGGACTGGATGGTTTTGTGTACTTGTCGCTAGAGTTTTTACAGTCATCTTCCCTGCTGCCCGTGTATGCATCCGTGTATGCTGCCCGTGTATGCATCTTTTCATCCTTTCGAATATTTTTTTGATAACTCCTCCTCTTTCTTCTGTGGAGAGAATTTATCCACCATTCAAAAGAATCCTTCTCTTAGTCAACCTTTAATGATACCGCAGTAAAAATTTTCTTTTTGGACTAGAACTATTTTTTTTAATCATAGGTTCCTCCTCAGTTTACTGTGGACGGTTCGAGTGGCGTTATATCAAGCCACCAACCGTTTGATTACGATGTAAAACCAAACACATACACACTGACCCTTACAGCCACAGACAAAGGGATGCCTCCGCTATCAGGGTCAGTATTTTGGTGTTGCCCGATATGGCCCTAAATAACAAACTTGATTATCTTAAAGGATGTGAAATATCTAATTTTACCCAACGAGTAGGAAGGAAAAAAGAACCTTTCGTTGCCACCCTGATGCGTCCGCTTACGTCAGTCTCTTTTATCTTTTAACAATGTATACTAGCAACCCTAGACATAGACTATAAAGAAATAGCAAACAATTACTGGATCACTTTCTTATCGGGGAAAGCTTGAGGAAAGCACTAGAGACAACAGAACTTAATCACAAAGTCTAACAACGAACTACCAATTGTCTATCTCTCCTGGAAGAACTGATAGAGAAGTGTGATCTCCGTCCAGATGACCATAATGGCTACAATATACAGTTAATCTAGTCTTACATATCATTTCTTCTAGGAATACCACAATTATAATTGAACTTGAAAACGTTAACGACAACACTCCTATGTTCACTCAGAAGAAGTTTCTCTTCAGCGCGTTAGAGGTGGGTTTGAAATATGAGACATTAGTCCTCAACACGTATCGTGGCCTGAATCCTCTGATCCCCTCCCCCAGGGGAAAAATTAGAAGGACTGGTACCTTAGTTCTGGCTTGAAGAAAGATTTGAACTGAAGAAAAATCTCATCTAGGCTCATTAAAAGACAACATCATGTAATGCAGACTTCGTGTTGTTGTTCAACCGGCTACCTAAATCATGTTACACTGTTTTAGCTTCGCGTATGGCAAATTGTTCAAAACTGGTCTCTAAATCAATATCGATCGTTTATTCGCGAACGGAATATCTTAATCATTTTGTGTTCTTGTATACTGTTTTCTTTCGTGAATAAATCTAAGATCATTGGAAGAATTCATCCTGTTACTTACTTCTCTGGATATCAGGGCTCTTACGTGGATAGCAGCAAAGTTGTTGGTGAAGTGACTGCCGTCGATAAAGATGAAGACGATAAGAATTCTGCCTTTGGTGAATTAAACTACGAATTTGTGAACCAGACAAGTGAGTTTATTACTTTAAACATTGTTTAAATTGTTAGTCCTCATCACTGTAGTTGTTTGACGTTATTGGATCATATCTGTTTCCTTTATGTCCCACATTTTAGCGAGATAACTGAAATCTTCTGTTTTTTCGCTAGTTGGAATGACTCTCAGTGTATTAAAATAAACCTGGCAGTGGTTATTGTTACTAGTTCACGCGCATACTCTTTCGGTTTTTGAAAAATCAATTTCCACACGCGAACTCGAATTAAAATTGAGACTTCAAGTGTTCACAGCTAAAACGACTTAAATCTATCGGCGGTACATTGCTTATTCTGCCTTACGCTCTTGTGCTAAGAGCAAAAAAAATCTTTCTCTGCAGTTTATTTTGATGAGAATCGGTGAGAATGTAAAGATAGGTGTTGAACGTAATTAGAGGTTTGATTTGCCTGTCCAAGACGTTCAGTTATTAAAACGGAGTGCAACAGTGAATAAATGTCACGATAGTAACGGCGGAGCGAAAAAAGCGGGAGGCTTGGGTTTGGTCGCGAAAGGATCACGACACTTATTGCAAAGTGCCAGGTTTGTAATGGGGCGTTGCTTTTTTTTCTTTTTTTCATATACTCTAGGTTTTTATCGTGACCACCAATGGCCACTTGACCGTGGGGATGGTGGCAAGGTTCTGGACATACGCGGTGGTATCCAAGGGGAGTTAAAAAACGGTGCGAAAGTAGTCTTTGACCCAGACCTCGGCAATGTGGTGTCACTCGAAGCATCTGAGGGGTGGTTACTAATGGGGGACTTTAAAGGTATTTATTTTCTTTCCCATCCTATCACATAAGTATGCTTTCCTGTCAGCTGTCTCTTCTTTTCTTCATGTTAATACAACTAACTCAATTCATAGAAAAGTGAAAAAAATGTCTACCTGGCTGGAAAGACATTTGTAATTTTATCTCTGAGTGAAACACTTTTGTTGCATGATTGTTTGGTTGGGGTCAAAGGAAGTAAACCGACGGGGTTTGTGTTGAAACATTTCTTTTAACCATTGCTACAAACATGACCTTGAATGAAGCCCTGCCAGCTAGCAAAAGCTCCAGTGATATCGATGGAATACATAACAGGATAATGATGGTGAGGAAAGAAATCTATAACCAGTGGCGGATCTAGGGCCCCCCCCTTATTTTGAGTAAAAAAAAAAGGAATCGCAGATGAAAGGAAAGCCCGCAGGGCAAGCGACAAAAAAACCGCTTCCCTCCCCCCCCCTTTAGCTCAATGTCTGGATCCGCCTCTGGTAACTAAGTGTTGCAGCCCCCTGGCCAAGTATTTTCGCCATAATTCGACCTTCCAGTTTTCTCTTGCCTTTGACACTTGTATTTGTATTTTAAGTGTTTCTGCACATCATAAAAACAAGACGATATCATTCTCGCGTATGATTCATTTGGTAAAGAAATCTATCCGTGCGTAGCTTCCAATGACCAACCTTCACCATCTCGCTTCACGCTTAGTTACTCGAGTCTTTCCAAATTCGTTTTGATTTCAATTGCGCCTGCGTTAATGCATGTAAAGCACCACAAGTATAAGATCAATAAACTGAAAGATATAAATATCTCTATCATCAACATTAATGTCGAGGTCCGGACGGTGGAGGGTTATCCATTAGAATTGAACACCCCTCCTCCTCTCCTTAGACCTCATGTGTATTTTGCCATCTGTCGAAAGATCCTTACAGATTGGAAAATAAATTATTGATTGTCAGAATGTAGTTCTTCCGAGCAGTTATTTCACTGGCATCTATAAAAGGCATATCTTGCAATTGAAATATTCATCGACTGCATAAGGCAACAAGTATGCTCAGAAAAATGGAAAAAAAACATGAGAATTATAGGCTCGATAAGAATGAAAACTTCTTACATTACGCTTTAAGCAAATCAAATGTTCCGTCGTAATCCGCTCGAGCAATAAATCAACGAACCTTGTCAAAACAATCAAACAAATTCGATGTTTGAATATGCTATTGACAGGAACTTTGCTGCAAATCCCGGCCTGCGTTAACTTTGAACTGTACCGATAGGAATTGTAATAAGCTTCAAGGCAGCCCTCAAAACCAGGGAATAAAATCAGGGAAATGTTGCTACGAAAAAAATAGAGTCATTTGATAGTTTCATCTGCACCGTCAGAGAGAAATTCAAATTAGTGTGTTATCATTTGGTTAGCGAGAAAATTCAGCTGTTCTGACATTCTAGTTCTTGGCGCTAAACGTAAAATTTTTTGTCATTTTTGAGGTTGAAGAATTTAAGAGAAAATATCAAAAACAGAAAGAAGTTTCAAAGGGAATACTAAGAAGGTAGTGCAATGTTTTATTTCAAACATTCTGCGGCCTTTCGAAAACGGAAGCGGAAGATCTCTAGTGATTGCGTTATCTATGACGTCAGGTGGTTACCCAGGTTACACTTGGTCCTCGGTTTATTTGTTCCAAAACGTGACTTTCATGCAAATACGACTCATAGGCTGTGATTACTGAGAACCTTATTTCGCTCGATCTTTCGAAAGTAAGCCGCAATGAATACAATGATTTTTATAATTCTACCAGTGGATTTAACTTTCATCAAAACTGAACTAGTTTTACATTCGGTTGCTTCGAAACAAATTTTGAGAATTTTTTTTTTTGTGGTCTGTCAGAGCATAAAAAATTTGTATTCAGTTCGCGTCTATTTAGCAGGTCGACCTTTATTGTGTCGTAAAGTTACATGACATCGCTGAAAGATCTGAACGCGTTTTTTAAGGAGGTCCTGAATAAAGCTCTGAGGAAGCTTAAGAGGCCTGATTTGAATTCTACTATGAGATTTCTTTAATTCTACTAGAATTTAGTTTGAGTTTTTATTTGCTCAGTCTCTAACAGGAAGTCAAGAATTAGACCGCAAGGTGACTCAGGGGCGGTAGATCCGAATAACCGAAAATGTTTTCGGTTTTTTCCCTTTAATTTTGTTTCGTCAGATAGCATTGAAATCTGTTTCGTTTGGCCAGAATTGATTGGTCGGAAAACGCAGAGGCCACACAGAGGGAACTATTGTCTATACTGCGCGTGTTCACATATTAATATCCAATATTTTGCACCACAATTATTGAATCGTCAGGGGAGGAAGTTATAAAATCGGCGTGACCTGTAGTCTTTATCGAGGTCCGTGTGAGAAGGGTTCTCAATCCTCCCTTATACCCTTCTCATAACTTGACTTCCTATCTTATTTTCAACTATCTTTTCCTTTTCGTGTTACTTCTTTCAAATTTATAATTGCGAATGAAAAACTGAAAGATTAGTGTTTATTCCGATTGAGAAAATGAACATAAACCAATGCATGTTAAAAGAATCACGTTGCCTGTATAAAAGTAAGAATGAAGTTAAAAAACATTTCACAAAGAAAAAAAAAAACGAACAAAAACAAAAACGGAAATAAATGATAAATGGACGTTGAATTTTAAAGGAGCGAATAGGAAGCTACTGTTGCTATGGCTTCCGCTCGGCTGCTTCGAACGAGTCTCTTCCTTAATACTTAGTCAGACACCTTGGGTTTTCCCTGAAAATTATTGAAACATGTTAAAGAAATAAGAAAATTTTGATACGGTTATGACGGAATCCTTACGTGTATCTCGTTCTTATAACACAAACGAGTCAACCACACAAAGTTTTTTCATCGCACCGTTTTATGAACCCTTACCAGCGCGTGCGTGAGGAAAGCCATATGTTTATATACATACCATAATCACCGGATAGTCTAACCTGAACCATCTATATACGTTAAGTCACACCAGATATGTCGAGGTCCGGACGGCTGAGGGTTATCTCACATGAATCCGACACCCCTCGCCTCTACTTGACCTCATCTTTTCGATTTTGCTCTTCATTTCCTTCTCATAAAGTGATTTGTCTTTCATTCGTCTTCTCAAGCAATGTTGCTAGATTGATCTGGCGTCTTGTAAGGGTTTGCAGATTACTTGGAGGGGAATGACACGCTTCAGAAATCATGATTCCTTCAGGATGCGTTTCTCTTCACATCATGTTTTGGGACAAGATGAACCTACTGAAAGCCACCGACGTATTCAAAAGGCCTCATTAGCTAAAATCTCTATTTCAAATGAAATTGTGTTTATGATCATGCCAATAAGTTCACTAATGATATCTGCATTACAATATAGAGATAACGAAGGAAGGAGTAACCACAGAATTTTCTCTTGCGGTAGATATTTAATGTAAAAGATCTAAATACATTTTGCTCAAACAGGAACATTTGTAATGATTTCAGAAACGCTTGTGTAAGGACGAAAAGACGAGTTGAATCAGTCAATGATAGTAATGCGTGACCGACATCTAAAATGATATGTTCCCCTCGTGAATAAATGATCAAATCTGGTGAGTCATGAATAAATAAAGATTCGAGTCGAGGTTTTCGTCACATCCGTATCTATCCATTTTACGGGGAATTTGTAGCACAGATTTAATTTGAGATGTTTTTAAAATAATTTTCTCCTTTTCTTACTGACAAGTTTTCGGTGTTTGTGTATTTATGACTTTAAATTACTTCATTTCCTCCTTCGTTATGCCAGCGTGTGTTATTCATGCATTGCTTGCGGGTTCATGGGTGCTCACGAGTAGTCACGCTTAAATAGTCACATAATCACAGCGATGTTTTTATAGGTTGATTTTAGCGGCAAGTTTCTTGAATGGTCTTTTGATGGCTGTGGCTGTTGATGAATCTGCTTGGACCCTTGTGAAAAGATAAAAATGCTAAGGTTTTCATTTGATGAAGTCTGCCTCTAAAATGCCTTCATTATTCAGGCTTGTCAGATGATTTAGACCCTTATATTTTATGCCAGAGTTTCTACTAGTTTCCTTCTAAAAGGATGGTTACTGCAGCGGAATGGGTTCCACTTTTCTCACGGCTTACCATCCCATCAGCACCATGCTTCTTGTTGAAATAAACGCGTTTATCTTTATAGCCGTGTTTGTTATTGCAAAAATTTTTAGCCTCTTCCAGGCTTTTACTGAAATTGTCAACTTCGAGTGGAGGCAATATTCTCTTCTCTTTTCAGATATTTTGAAGGAGAAATCTTTTCTTGCCTTTGTAAGAGATTTGCATTTCTCTCTGATTTTGTTTTCTGAAATGGAACATAAAATTCCTGAGTCGCAGCTCATTCTGTTCCGCCTTTTCCTGTTATCTTTTTTTCTTTTCATATTTCCTTTCCCGGAAGTCGGAGGAAGCGTGAGACTTTCTTTCGATTTATATATTGTAAAAAAGAGTGACATCTTTAAATTAATGTTGTGGTGATAAAATGAATTTTGAGAATGTCATGGAGGGCATTTGACAGTGGCTTTGGAAGATTGGAAGCTTTGACAATAGCGTTCGTTTTGGCGCTTTATTCCCATGCCCCGCTCTTTCTTTCCGAGTCTTGTGACGTATAGTAGCTTTCCAAGCCTTACAGGACTGAGGAATTTATCAGTGAGGTATTCTATAGTCAGTTAAAACCTGATACAGGCAAAAAAATAACATCATCATCAACAACAAAAACACAATTATTTGCATCATGTCTTAACTTTCGTACTACTTTCTAGATGACTGCATTAGTAACCCGAGTTTGTGCGTAGAAGGACTCTCCATTGCTTTCTGGCTGAAGTTCGTCTCTGGTCAGTACGTTATATCATCAGGCGGAGCATCAGGATTTGCCACAGGATTCGATTTTTATCGGGAGTCAGCGGCTGGTAACTTTAGGCTGATTTTGGAAACCTCCACCAGTGAATGGAGTCTAAAAGTTAACACCATACCAAGGGTAAGATATGGTAAATCAATCTTGGAACAGTATCCGACTTTGTTTACACGAGAACAGAGCACTTGAACATCTAGATTCAGAAAGTTACTGCCTCACAGAACCAGTGAGATATCAAAGCAAATGTACAGTAACACCTTTCATTATCTTGTTGGTCGAGACTTCCAGTGGATAGGTTCAGATAAAGTTTCAGGATAATTTGAGTGTTATGCTTTTGAGTGTCATCCCTGAAATCATGGCATTATGGCGTGACTTGCAAAATGTTTCGTTATGCTCAAGTTTTTAATTCAGAATTATAGCTTTTAAGAGCCTTCTCCTCCACTCTTACCACCAACAGTCACAACTTGCTGAAAATAAAAGGCTTATCCGGCGAAGTCCAGTCAGAACATAACATTTCACGGGATCAAATTCCTCTGACTATAGTATTATGCCCAAAATTATGTCGACATAAATTATCTGACCCTAGCAGTGGAGCAAGTTTTTCAGACCAAACACAGAGCGAGGTGAAGCAAAAGAAAATCTTTGACCACTTTCAAATTGAATAAAGTTGCCTTTATTGATATTTAAAGGATTGGTTTTACTTCACTTTTACATGGAGTGTCGAGGCAGGGTTACGGTACTTTCAAGACGGACAACTGATTGCCTCTACCCAGGCCTCAGAGGATATAACACGTGGAAGCGATATTTTCACCCTTTTGAGCATTGGAAAACCTAACAATGTTGAAAGTCCGCAGTATTATGGAAACCTATCGGTCAGCGATCTTCTCATTTGGCGCAAGCGCCTTAATGACGAAGAAGTGCTGCATTCTTACAAAATATCACGTGAGTGTTTACAAAAAATATTGCATATACTTTACTGTAGTTTACAGTCAGTCATTTGTCCTTCCCTCAGAATCCATTTGACCCGGCTAGTTGCTCTGTGGGCCAGTCAGTTAAGGTTATACAAAATTATTGATTGAAATTTCAGGACATGTTACAGGCAAAGAAATGCCAAGCTCTCCCCAGTACAAAGGTAAATTCGCGCTTTCGGACAACGGAGTAGTAAGTGCTATTGGAGTATTGGATCGAGAGACCAAGGCGAACTACAGTTTCGAAGTACGTGCGCTCGATTTAGATCCATTTCACCCTCGATACAATACAACCGTCGTGGAAATACAAGTCTTGGATGCGAACGATAACCCACCGGTATTTAGGAACGGAAGCTACCGCGCTGATATTCCAGAGCATTCCAGTGTAGGATTTGTGGCGTTGCAGGTGAAGTGAAATAAGCATATCTGTTCAATCTTCGCAGATGTAACTTGCATAAACAATTTTTGCATCTCAAAGTTGTGTCTCTGGTCGTGGAATTGTTACAATGCATCACAGCAATTGTACTCAGGATTTTTTTTTTTGGGTGCTAACAGTCAAAGTCCGTACTTGAGCCTAGTTGTACAGCAGCTTATCCCGTTTTCCATATTATGAAGCGAATAGGAATATTGGCACTCCTCCTACTCCGTCTATGAAGACGAACAATACCTCTAGTGAAACTGGGATGAGCCTCGGCATTGGTGTACCACTAGAATAGACATTTCTTAATAACGATGATGTTTTGAACGAAACACTTTTTGTTAGGTTTGGGCAGATGACGCTGACCAGGGTTTGAACAGCGTAGTGTCTTACATGATAGTCAGCGGTAATGTAAAGGATGCGTTCACTATCGATGAGAAGACGGGAGAAATTAAAGTCGCCAGGGATCTGGACCGAGAAGATATATATCAGTACGTGCTGGGAGTGGAGGCCAGTGACGGTGAGAAATCTCTTTTAAGATAGGCAGTGAAATGTAAAAATAGGTTATGATAAAAAGGATTTTAGCAGCGTTCAAGGCGGAATTGATACTGCTATTTTAAAGTGTTCGTCACACAAAGAAAAGGAGCATTATATTTAAAATCAGAAAGAACGCCCATATAGTATTGTGATGTGCTAAATGGTTCTCCAAGGATAAACGTTCTAGAATGCATTTAGATGCTTCATTTTAAAGTAAATGGTTTGAACCCAGGAGTATCGGTAGTTCGTGCAGTGTGATCGTCCGGGTGAGTGTAGTTCTGAAAAGAACTGTTGTTGGTGACTGACGTTTCGACTACCTGTCACTTGACTCTGAAGATGACTACCGCACAGGTAGTCGAAACGTCAGTCACCAACAACAGTTCTTTTCAGAACTACGCTCACGCGGACGATCACACTACACGAACTAATGCTTCATTTTATGTTTTACAGTCATCTGAAAGGAACATATCAGAAGTCGCGCCTTTTCTTCCCTTTTTTTTTGTTTATTTATTTTCTTTTTTCCAATCTATAATGCACATCTGATCGTGGATGATCTCTATTATATTATTTACGGTAAAGAGGGAGGGATCTTATCACGTTTACCCTATGCTTTTCTTGCAGGTGGTTCGCCGTCATTACAGAGCACTGTGCAAGTGACAATAAACATTGCAGATTTGAATGATAACGCCCCGAGCATCATATCGAGCTCTTACATTGCAGGCGTCTTGGAGAATTTACCATCTGGTCAAAGCGTTCTCAGGGTAAGTACCAAGGGGGCGATCTTTGTATGGCATACAAAGCTTTTTGCAGCACCAAAAAGGGTAGTTTTGGACCCCTTCAATTTGTATCTTGTGCTGTTTTTTTTGTTGCGAGAGTCATAAGATTAACAGAGATTGACGTGCTGTTCTCCAGATTGAAAGGCTCTTAGCTCGAGCCCTGGTCTGGCCGGGTTAAGGTGTCTTACCCTTAAGCAAGGACTCGAAAAACAAACTGCTTTACCAAACATAACTTTTTCATTCGCTATGACGATGGGCTAATGCTCGAAACGTCAGCTTTGAAACTCATTACGGTTGCCAATTTACCACATCAATTCAGTTGATGATGCTAAATTACCTTGTTATATTCTCACACCGACGCAAGTCCACAGTTTCTTTGGAAACTTACCCTCTTTAAAAATAAGTTTGTTTGTTTAAATGTTCTTTGATTCCTGTGCTTCCAGGCGTTGGAAGATCTGATCATAGATTTCTACATTCGAGACCTTTTTAATAATCTTATTTATCAGTAATGAAACTCCAACGACCCTTTCGCAAAAAATTTAATTTTCAATGTTTTTTCCAGTTATTATACAACAATTTTTTTACCTTTTTTTTCATGTAACTTTTATCATGAGATTTCCGATTTAGTATGTTGCCCACAAAACAATCCACTCTGTTCATCAAGCCATAGGGTCTTTTTGTTCATGTTATATGCTTCCAACTTCCTAAGATATCCCTTTCTTTTTTCCAATGCAGCTCTCGGTCGAAGATGCCGATCATGGCTCAAATGGACAAGTTACCTTTTCTGTGAACAGTGATAAGTTTGCTGTAAACTCATCAACTGGCATCCTTTACACAACTCAACCACTGGACAGAGAAGAGCAGGCTCGATACCAATTGACTGTGCTGGCTACTGACGGGGGAGGAGATGCTGCAAAGGTTTGGAACTGAGTTTATTCATTGGCTGCATGCCACATAAGGAAAGTAAAATGGGATTAAGGGCCATTACATGAGAGATGCGTCTCTTACTCTACGTTTAGAAAAGCAGTGATGAATTACAAGTATAAGTTTCAAGTTTTTGAAATATTAATAATCAAAGAAACAAAGAGAAAACGTTTGTTGAAATAAAATCGGCACATTATCAAATACAGAGGGAGAAATAACCCGTGAACAATAACCAAATTAGCTTATTGCTTCTTTTCTTTACACATTCTTCTGTCATTTTCTATTTATTGCCCTAGATTATTTAGACACTTTCAAATTACTCTTTTGACTAGCTGGTTGCCCTTATTATTTTATTTTAAAATGCACTAACGATTGTTCCATATTTTTATTTGCGGACGATATTGGAGGCGGTAAGGAAAAGGGTTTCTCTTCTCTGCGACTGTTTCACAAACATGTGTAAGGTGGACGAAAGGAAGAACAAGCTCTTGCTTAAATTGTAGTTTTCGACATCTTAGTCATTTTGAAATCTATCTTTCTTTCTACAGAGCACAAGTGTGTCTTTAGAAGTAAATGTCGAAGATGAAAATGACAATCGACCGCAATTCACTGAATCTGTATACCTTGTGGCCATCAGTGAGAACGCCACTGTGTCGTCATCTATCATCCGAGTATCAGCTGATGACCCGGATTACGGCAGTAACGCTGATTTGATATATTCTCTCATGAGAGGGGATGGGGTCTTCGCGATCAACAGGACATCTGGTTAGTATGCCAAATTTTTTTAGCGTAGGAAATCCTGTCTTAAGTTGGTTTTACTTTACCCTGGCTACCACCTGGTCTAGAAATTCACGCCACCTTCTAGAGATAGAAGGAACTCGGTAAAGCTTACAAACGGGAACGCGTTTACTAATTTCCTTTCTTTTGATTGGTCATTGATTTGTTCATTGGTGGTATCCCAACACTCAATCACGACAAGTTACGAAAACACTTCCGTGCTCTGAACGAAGTGAAATTGCAGCCATCATCGAAACTGGTTTTTTTCACCCAGAATTTACGAGTAAATTTCCACCAACTGAATGTCGTGATAGCGCCGGAGTTATATCCCCTGGATCAATAGTCATAATTGCAATTTATTGAGACCATATTTTGAGAGCTTTTTTCTGTTATTTTAGGCGTTATCAGCATTGTAAGCAAAGTTGACCGTGAAACGAAACCCGATGGCTATTCATTAATTGTCACTGCGAGGGATCACGGGTACCCCATTCCTCAGTCTTCCACGGCCTTGGTTAACGTAACAGTATCTGACGTAAACGATAATGCTCCTCGGTTTGATAAATTTACGTATTTGGCCGAAGTCAGAGAGGACAGTGATATCAGCATGGTTGTTACCGTAGTTCATGCGGTGGATGGCGATGAAGGACTGGCTGGGGAGATTGTATATTCCATCACAGGTCTGATATTTTACCAACGATTTGCAAAATCTGTTTTCAAAGCTTCTGAAACAACTAGCAACGAGGTAAAGCAAACTTATCAGCCAATTAGACTTTGTTGCTTCACCGATATGATTTCATACGAGCAACTTGCAAATATCCATACAACAACAAAAACTAGAATTTCTATGCTGCATAAAGTTAAAACATATACATTCACCAAAACAGTATATGATTGGGATCGTAGATTCTTGGTGATTTCTTTTATTTTGCTTGAAATACTACATTTTGCTTAACATGACCACGCGGAGAGGCGACCACAAAGATCGGTCAAATTGATTTGCATTCAAAATACTAACAACCTCAGGGATTCTATGCCGATTGGGAAACGTGAATCATGAATCAATTTTGTTTAATTGCTGGTGCATTTTGGGACTAGCGCTTCCTTGATTTTAGCTGACATTTCTATTGTTGTTGGTTTTTCGTAGCCGGTAACGATGGAAGCGTGTTCTCCATTGATTCGTCTGGAAATATAACAGTTGCTAAGAAGTTGGACAGAGAAATGAAGAGTGCTTACGAACTGACAGTTGCTGCTCGTGATCGTGCAGGTAGGCCAACGAATAAGAGTTTATCTAGTCAAGGTAAAATGTTCTGGGTTATGGTATATGTAAAAAGGTTTCGGTGTAATAAAGGAATAAAGGGCGTACATTTCTAAAGACACTGTGGTACTGCGTCGGTGGGAGAATATAACGGGGTAATTTAGCATTGCCAACTGAGTTGATAACGTAAATTGGCCACCGTAAATAATTTAAAAGCTGTGTTTAAAAGCGTTGTAACAGACACGTTTTGCCCCCAAAACGTTCTTTTCATGTCATTTACATGTTTTTTCAGGTGAACCTAAATCTACAAGTGTTGAAGTGGATATCAACATAGCTGATGCCAATGACAATCCACCATTCTTCCGCGCACTACCGCAAACCATTCTGATCAGCGAGTCCGCACTTCCCGGCATGCCTGTCTACACGTTGATTGCCGATGACCCCGATGTTGGCACCAACAAAGTTCTCACCTACGCAGGGAACTCACCTGAGGGAAAATTTGCAATCAACGCAAAAACTGGAGTAATAACAACAATTGGAAAGTTGGACTACGAGAAACAACGGAAGTAAGTGAGGCAATATTTGCGTCCTAGACTCCTGGTAGGAGGTAGGAGGTTGGTAGGAGTCACATGATATTTCAATCAAATGCTACTAACTTTTTGCGCATAAACACACATTTATAGTCGTCGGAATTTCATCCAGCATTTTCATCCCCGATTTTTTCTTCCTCTCTAGTTACACATTCTATGTCGTGGCAATGGATCAAGGCACTCCACCGCTTAATAGCTCTACACTTCATGTAAACATCTCCTTGGTAGATGAAAATGACAACAATCCCCAATTCGAGAAGCCCATGTATAGTGTGGAGGTCTGGGAGAATGAGACAATCGGTGGTCACGTGGTTCAGGTCAAGGCGACAGAGAAGGACTCGGCCATTGGTTCTCGTATTGGGTATAACATCTCGGCTGGTGATCCATATGGACAGTTTAAGATATTTTTCGACTCGGTAAGTCGAACACTTGCAGCTTTGAACAAAAATCGCCATCTTCAGATCTACACTGATTTTCCGCCAAAGTGGCATACTGAAAAACTAAAACTTCATTTTTTTAAATAGGGAATCATCGTAGTTCAGAAGCCTCTTGATAGAGAAATTATACCAAACTATACGCTTCGTGTGACGGCTACAGACAACGGGAACCCGCCTCGGTACGGTGAAACATCGGTGAGTAACTCTATAGGGTTAACTTGCTGTTAGAATGTAGGTTAGCAACTATAAAAACAGATACGTTGACTTTTAAGACATCGTCCAATTCTTGTCTACAGTGAGGTCACTCTGTGCCAGTGGGGCCTATAATAAAGTTTGTTTTACGTTAAGACCTTGTACTACTTTCTTGGCTGAAGACCGGTGGATATTAAAATTTAATTTGATAAAATCAATTTGTTTCAGGTGACAATTTTGCTGAAGGACATAAATGACCGCACTCCAGTTTTTAAATTCCAAGATTATCAGGGTGAAATTTCAGAAGACAGTTCTGTAGGGACCACTGTGACAACAGTAGAAGCGACGGACAAAGACAGCCTGGAGAATACAATGGTATTATTGCGTTTAACCTTTTCCACAACAAACGGTCTTTAAGAAGTTGACTAGAAATTATATATAATACATTATGGTCTACCACTTGGTGAACTGCAATTAAAGCAATGGCAGAGAATGAAGAAGAGCTAAAAAGAATGTCGACTTCGTCATGAATGGAATCCGTACCTTGCTACCAGTTGAGCTCTACTGTTAAGTGAATTGCAGAAGCCATATGTTGGAAACGGGGCTGATTCAGAATGCCCACCAGTTTTTTTTCCTGGAGAATCTTGTAATGTTAACCAGGTCTCAATCATCACATATGGTAGGGTTTATCTTTCAAACATTAGTTTAGCAAGTTGCAATTTGGAATATGGACAAAAATTTTCACTATTTCTTGTTAGCTATTGAATTACCGACCTGAAAATCAAAATTTGGCTCCGGTTGCCTGGAAGTTGGGCAACTCCAAATGAGGGTATGTTAAGAAATTTAAAATTTCTTCTCTTTAAAAGCGTGTATTAGCTAAAGGCAGAACTAAGGGATAATGTGATTGAAGCAGGAAAAACTTTCTAGAAAGCCACGAAACGATTTCCAGAAATCCTAGGTTAGCTTCGCTGGTAATATTTCTGGTTTTCTGTTATTCCAGCTCACTTACAGCATTCTGAGTGGGGATCCAAATGGCAACTTGGGCATGACAACATTCAAAAGTGGCGGGAAATACCTTGGGGTGGTAACCGTGGCAAAGCCCCTGGACCGGGAAACAAAAGATCTTTACAAACTAATCGTAAGTAGACCATGATATTGAATATTTGCTCTATTTATATCATAGCTTGCGTTCTCAGTCTAGTTACTCTTGCTCTTGATTGTGGAACGAGGGGTCCGTTTTGAGCCCAGGATGACGTTACTTTGTTATGTTCATGGGAAAGAAACTTTAAGACCTAACTAATCCTCCTCTCACCACGATATGATAAAATATTTATCGGTAAACTGCTGAGGAAAAAACAAACTAACAAACAAACAAAAACCAAAAAAAAAAAAAAGGAAAAAACGATCAAATGGCAAAACCATCCATCCATGCTAAGGTCCTTGATGCTCCGGAAATCGGGTGGTAAGCTCCAACAATGGTGGTGCTCTTTACGGCTCTTAAATTTTCAAAAATGTTTATCACACCTTTTGAGTAACTTGCTTGACTGTAATTCTCTCCATTCGTTTTAGATATTTGTGTCAGACGGTCTCCACAACAGTAGCGTGATGCTGGACATTCGACTCATAGATGTAAATGATAGGAATCCGGAGTTTAATTCCTCAGTTCACTATTCAGCATATGTACCGGAGGTGAGAGGCAAGATCAGTACCTGATTGCATGATTCTTTACAACGTTTGAGTATCTGAAACGACGGTTAGAGCGCAATTGCTCAAATAAGGAATAGTTTGTCTTTAATTAACTTTTCCTATTTTAAACTCGCTCTCATTCTTCTGTGATTTTCATCTGATCGAAGACTGTATGTGAAGTAGATTCATGTGAATACAAATATCGATTTTCGTTCAAACAACCTAACACAAGCAATCTTACACACGGAGCGTTGCTACTGGAATTTACTTGGGTTTCTCTTCAGAGCAGATTCAAGGAAGTCAGTTACAATGATGAAATAAGTGTTAGAGAAATTTTGCGAACCTGAGAAATAAAAAAATTTATGAAGAGCGGCGCCTAAATCGTCGTTTGCTCCTATTCCATTTGCTATTGTCAAATTCTTTCGTGTCGCACACAGAGGTTCTAATTTTCCTTTCCTTTGGTAGATGTCACCTAGTGGACTGTTTGTTCTCCGTGTGCGGGCAAGTGATGCGGATCTCGGTGACAATGCAAGAATGACTTATAGCCTTGAAGGTAATGCTAGCCTTACCGATTTGGTCACTACGCAAAGAGTCAACTTTTTTGTTTGCTTACTCAATGAGTTTGTCAATTTTGTGCGTCAAACCCGGTTAAAGCTCTGGTATATTCGTTGAGGAATAAAATTACCCAAGCATCTCTAGGACACTCTAGGCTAAGTGTATGGCTTGCGATGAACGCAACAAAGGTATCATCCAAAATAACCTCGTACTAAACGTTAATTTGATTGTTGCACTGTGATACACTAATAAAGATTTGTTATAATTTTACCGTGACAGGATCAGATGGTAAATTTATTGTTGATGCAAACACCGGTGAAATTAGGACAGGTCCAGCGTCTCTTGACAGAGAGGAAAAGAGTCTTTATCGAATGACTGCTGTGGCAACCGACACAGGAAACAAGCAGGTGATGAAGAAATTTAACTGAAAATTTTCTGACTTTCCTCTGAAAAAGCACCTCTACTGAGTTCCTTTCAGTAATGAAATTTATAAGTTTTGGTTCATTTCAACTGACAATTTTTAATGACCATGTTTACTTCAGAAAAAAAGCCTACTGCGATGAAAGAATCGCGAAAAATTCAGTTTTAAAATTTTTTGCCCTCTTCATTTACTAGGGTCGCAAGGAAGTAATTGTTCATGTAACTGACATAAACGACAACTCTCCAGAGTTTGTTCGACCAATCATGACGGTGACGCTTACAGAGGGCAACGACACGGCGGGAATATACGTGATACAAGTGAATGCTACTGACTTGGATGCTGGGGAAAACAAAAACATTACGTATTCTATCAGTGGAGGAAATCTGGGAGATGTCTTTCTTATTGATGGAAATACGGTAAGATGAAAGGAGCCATAAAATATAAAATTTGTAAAGGCTTTGAGCGGAAAATCTTGTTTTTATTTGCAACGCAAGTGTAGGTTTATTTTCATGTACGAACAAATAGTTCAGTTGTGCAGGTTTAGTCAATCATTTTACGAGGCCAGATATTACGAGCAGGATAGGAGACCTTAGACTAGGCTGCTTAGGGGATCAAGCTAAGTTGTTTCTATTAAGAGAAAAAAAAACAAAGTCACCTACACCGTCAGAGCCTCTTCCCCATATCTGCGCCCTTGGAGTCTGCATGCCATTATTTTAAAGTTTGTGTGAAAATGGAAGGTCAAACTGATTTCGTCAACGATTACGATAAGCAGTCTCTCCTTTTATTTTATCTTTAGCAGATACATATGAACGCAGTGGAAAGCAAACATTTGATCGAATTTAATAGAAGCTTGGAATTTTTCTTGAAATAAATAATATTAAGTTTAATCTTCACTCATTATTCACATATGAATATGGAAGAAGGTTGGTCTGTTTGTTATGTTTATTCAGGGTGTGATCACGACTAGCAAAGACCTTGACCGGGAGGCGCCTGGAGTGGCAGTCGACGAGGACGGTAGAGGCGTTTATACGTTATTGGTTGATGCCACTGACCATGGTTCACCTAAACAGCGAACTACTGCTACGGTAATTTCTCAAAGCTCCTTTGTTTATGAGGTCTTTAAAATTATATTACATTTACATGATCCTCGTACATGCATTTATTGATAAACGTTTTGATGGCTCTGCGGTGCCTAGTAGTTTTGCCGTTAATGGTAATCAAAACTGATCCTTTTCCTCCATCTACATTTTCTTCAGCTCTTTTATTTCGTGAAGTTTTTTGTCTCAGTGTGGTTGTGTAAAAGGATAATGAAACATAAAATTATTTTTTTTTTCGATATAGAAAGGCGTTTTGAAAATCTGACTCGAGTGACTATGATTCTATCACTATCATCGACAACAGTTCTTTATAGCGCTAAAACAACAGTCACACTTCACTTTCGAAAACCTTTTAATCCGCAGACTGTAAGTTTACAATCGAAGTTTAAATAAAAAATATTCTGAGAGCTCAACTATGGTTGATTTTGTATATCTTATAGACAATTAATTATTACAAAGAATTGTTTGCTTGCTTATCGATACTAGAAACTCTCCTCTTCAGGTACGTGTGCTCATTGAGGATATAAACGACAACACACCGTTTTTCCCACCCAATGGATACAATGTTAAGATATCGGAAGGAGCCAAAGCTGATAGTGACGTCATTGCTGCAGTGGCTGTTGACCCGGATGCTGGAAATAATGGAAAACTTGTATACGAGTTGATATCCGGTAACACAGGAGGTATGTTCGTGCTCTTTCTAATTTGTAGTTGTTGATGCATGCGATGAGTTCCAAAAATTGAATTCTTCGGTCTTTGAACCAATACAGATCTTCAATCATTTTTTAACTCCGATTTTCCTGGTATTTACCCTATCTAATGTTTATTGTCTATCACATCGTACGAGGGACTTGTGCACATTACTGACGTTTGACTGACGTTTCGATTAACTAACGGAAAGTCTTTGCCAACTTCAAAAGGAGAAACATGTACTAATGAAACTATCACACACATAACATAATTGAACCCTTCCTTTTTTTAAAAGGCGATTTCTCGCTGGATCCTCAGACAGCCATGATCAAAACTCGTAAGAATCTTGAGCGTCAACAGACATTTTCATACACTCTAACTATTGGTGTGTCGGATCAAGGGAAACCTTCACGAATTGCAAAGGTAGGTACAGATTTTCTAGCATCTTTCACCAGTCTTCAGTCATTTCCTAAGTAAACGCGCTAATTTTTTTTAACACACTTGTTCCCTTGCTTCACTCTACATGGCACTCCAGTTAATTTTTTGTAGCACTGAAGCTAGAAAAGGGCGCATCTATAAATCAGTGTTGCCACCAAAGGTCCACATACAAAGGGCATTTTTATTCGATTTAGTCATCTCCAATTTTTCAAAATACTTTATACATAATTCTAAATTTTTTCTTTTTATAAAACCGTCAAAATTCTTAATTTACGCATTTATTGTGTTTGCTTTTTGTGCTCGGGAGTCTTTAGATCAATACGTTTTAACAGTACTGTGTGGAGCATTCATTTCCAGATCGTTATGCATTTTACTCATTTCAGACACAGGTATACATCGAAGTTGGTGATATTAACGATAACGACCCGGTGTTTGATCCGGTAAACTATACCGTGTCTGTGTACGAAAATTCGCCCATGGGAACGCCGTTGATAAATGTAACAGCAAAGGATGCTGACAGTGGTCAAAATGCTCGGATTACCTACAGTGTCACAGAAGGGGATCCTTTTTCTGTATTTGCTGTTGATACACAGGTACACCAATAGTGATGTGTGTTTGGGTGACAAGAGGCAAAATTTTAGAAGGGAATCTATGTAGTTTTTCTATGAAAGATTTGACAAGTGTGGTGGAAAGCGATCAGTTTTATAGTTGGATTGATAGATTGAAATTGCGCAAATTTCCCTGTCTCTGAAAGAAATCGATAGAGAAGGTGAACTAAAGAAATGGGTTGGTATAGGAGAGTGAAAAAAACAAACACACCATCAAACAAAGGAAGAGCAACGAATTAACAAACAATATAATTTGATTTTATCAACTGAGAACAACTCTAGAGCAACTTTTTTTTTTTTTCAAATCGGCACTCTTAATCCCCACGTTATCGACACTTGCTTTTCATCCAACTCATTTATTCTTGTTTTTCTCTTTACTATTTCCTCACCAATAGCGTAGCTTCTTTTTCTCCATATAAACACATACACAACCCACAATTCCTCCATTCGCTCCGACGAAGGGCTAACGCTCGAAACGTCTGCTTTGAAACTCTTAACGGTGGCCAATTTACACGATCAACTCAGTTGATAAAACTAAAAACTAAAATTATCTTGCCATACTCTCTCACCTTCGCAGCACCGTAGTTTTTTTTTGAAAACTTACCCCCTTTATTTTTATCAGCAAACAACAAACGCTGAAGGCATGTCGTGTGAATTGACTTAATTTTCTGCCTAAGAAAGTGGGATATACATAAATAAACTTTCACTAGTAACCCTTGGTAATGAGGTTATTCTTTTCTGATAAATCTTTTACTTTATGTGAGTAGATACTTAAAAAATACGAGGGTAAATCAAATAAGGATGATTTAATCATTTTATCCTAGATTATGGAAACGCTCTCGTTCTTGCACTTTTCTCGTAGGAAAGTTACGGAACGGTTAAGGTCAAAAGTCATGTTGATCGAGAGCAAACGAATAACTACATTTTAACTGTGACTGCAGCCGATGGAGGAGTTCCACTCAGTAGAAAGGTGATGTTGAAGTAACGATATTCTGCACTATTAAGCTAGGTGTCGAGAGTAATTTGGGTGTTGCCGCCAAAATTATTTGGTGTTTATTTTAACGTTATTCCTTGTTTTGCCTTTTTCGTTTTTTAATTAAGTTCTTTCGTGTTCACGAACATTAAGCAATTAGTAAATTCGAATCAGGTTGTAAATCTACTCAAAGGGACGTTATTACTTACAATAACCATATCAGCTACATAGAGCGATGGAATTTTTCTCCTCGTTGAATTAAAATATTTTCAGTGGTACTCATCATGCAAAGGGTGATGTTAGTCTACATATTTCATTTATAAATTTATTTTGATGGCAATGTATATGTTCTTGAAGTTGTTTGATTCAATCCTGTGTTTCTTTGCAGGCCTTTGCTACAGTGTTTGTAACAGTACTAGACAGGAACGACAACACACCAAAGTTTTCTCAAGCCATGTATACAGGAGACATAATGGAAAACTCCATTGCTGGGACGTCGGTGAACATGGTTAGTACAGATACCTCGTGACAACTTTTTGAAGCGGAATGAGTTCATGTACACGACAAACCTTTTTCCTATAGGATAGATTTGTAAGTTTGGAATTTTTCAATACTGTGGTTTTGCTTGACAAAAAATTAGAGGCTGTTTGGCGTTCAAGCTATTGATCGAATTGAATTATACTTCATTCACTTATTTAAATTCCATGAAGAACATTGTCATAAACCGGAAAGCTATTAAACGCCTCAAATTCCGTTTTTTGTTTTCCTGATAAGTTGAGGAGCATGTATAAACTCTTCATGTTGTAATAGGTTCCCATAATCAGCCTCCAATGGATAAAGGGAGTGTTTTTTTCAATACCGATGCATTTACATGTCTGCACAATGTAACTGTAATCGTAAAAGCTGCAATTGCTAAGTAATACGTTTTGTTGTTATCGCTAGTATTTGTTATTATTTATAGTATTATAGGTATTGCTAATTTTGTATTATATGTAGCTGTGGCTTGTAAGTAATGTCCACATTGCATTGTAAATAATTTAAGTGCATTGCAAAATAAAATTAAAAAAGAAATATATTTGCTTGGCTATTACCTTATTGGTTCCAATAAGACGCATTTGGTCATGTTCACTGACGAATTTACTCCTGTGCAGTCGGAAGGTGAAATCAGAGAATACTAGGCTCGTATCACAAAAGTTATTCAGACGTTTTGTCCCACACTCCTTACAATTTTTGAAATCCATCTTTATTATTTTGCATTTTTCCGCAGCACCAAAAGATCAAGGCTACAGACCCCGACGAAGGTCAATACGGAGAGATTCGCTATCACCTTAATGGCTCCGAAAGACATCAGTTTGCCATTGATCCAATAACAGGAATCATATCCACGCGAAAATTTCCTCTACCAACACTGGACCATGAGAGGATTGTAAACTACTCCTTTTACGTGGTAGCTGTAGATGAGAAAGGCTTTGGACATGCGTCATCCGTACCTGTTAAGGTACAAGTCATAGACGCTAACGACAACGTTCCCAGATTTGAACCCACGACGAAAAGTGCAACTATCAGTGAGGATTCTCCAGTTGGTTTTTCAGTGACAAAGGTTTTTGCTGTAGATCCGGATCATAATCTTAACGGAAAAGTGTCTTATTCATTGATTTCTGGTGCAGATGGAAAATTTGAGATTGGAAGAGGCGACGGGGTTATTCGCGTAATTGGCGATCTGGATCGAGAAATGAAAGAAGGTTACGTTTTAAATGTTTCAGCTTTAGATGGCAGTTATTACCCGCTAGAAGGATTTGGTACTGTCTTTATTACATTGTCAGACGTGAACGACAATATACCGAGATTTGATAAGTTGGTCTACAAAGTTACAATCTCAGAAGAGTCTCCAGTCGGTAGTTTGCTTGTAAATCTTACTGCCAACGATCCAGATCACGGAATAAACTCTGATATTTCTTACTCCATGAACCACCCTATGTTTAAGATTGATCCCAAAACAGGGAGCGTGACAACCACAAAGGAACTGGATCGAGAAACTAAAGACACGTATTCATTCATCGTACGTGTTCAAGATGGTGGAGGTCTGGAATCAAGTGTAGCTGTAAATGTGGTGATATCAGACACAAATGATAATTCTCCGTATTTCCTAAGCGAGAGGTACAAGACCGACGTTATTGACAATACACCAGTTGGTACCATAGTGTTATCAATTGTTGCAGAAGATAAGGATGTCCATCAAAATGCCCGTATTGTATATACCATTGTTGATGCGAAGGACGACTTGTTTAGTATCGACTCAGAAGACGGGTTTATAAAGTGAGTTGAAGACATATTTTTTAAAAATTTTTTCCCGCAAACGCTTACATACAATATCAGTGATTGGCCTGGAAAGCAGTCATTTATTAAATGATAATTTTTTCATTTTATCTTACCTCGTGTCATTTATTTAATCATGTGTTTCTTGCTATTGTCAAATGGAGTACACTTGAAGTAATGAAAATGATATTTCAACACCCAAAAGTAACGAAAGATTTCTAGGAACACATAGAAAGTTCCCAAAAGTATCGTAAAGAATTCAGCTCTACTGAGATGTCCAAAGGCATTCAAACTACAGCCAACTGATCACAGTTGCTCTCTGAATTACTAATGATATTCGGGCTTATCTTATGTGGTTCAAATTGGATTGCTTGTTATTTTTCATCCAGCTTCCCTGACGGTCCAACTACATTTCAGGTTCATTTTTCCTTTCAGGGTTCACAAGCCAATCAATCGTATCGATCTTCTGCGACGTGATGTGATCGACGTCAATGGCTCCTTTATTTTCAAGGTGGTAGCACGTGATCACGGAATAGTTTCTCGGTCGTCCAATATCACTGTAGAGGTGAACATAGTCGATGCAGGCGATGACAGTCCTGTGTTTAACAGGTAAAGTCAGCGTAAGCCATTGACTTACCGACTTCAGAATCGATCGAAAAAAACTTTGGACTGACTGCACCTATTGACAGACATGATTCAATTTTACAGTTTCAGAAAGTTAAACGCAACGAGCTTAGGGGTGTTTCTGTTCAGCGGTAAATCTTTTGAATGCAGGCTCACATGTAAGGTCTTCGAGTTTACGAGCAATCTGGAAGCCGCTTTTTCGGCAGTCCTGTAGCGGTTGTTTTCAATTTTCACCCACACGTTTCCTTCTTCCCTTTTGATCAAATCGGTGTTGATGGGTACCTGGAATGGGGGGCTCATGGCTGGTTTTGGGAAATTTGCCTGCCTCGGGAGCATTATTCCATCTGCTGGCTAACTACCGACGGTAAAAGCTCCCGGGATACCTCAAGAACCTGCCCTCTATTTAAGCGAGGCAACAGTTTTTTACTAGACTTCTAAAATAGTAGACTGACGGACTGATAAACGAAAAGTGATCCAGTTACAGACTGACCGACGGATTTTATATCTCAGTGACCGACGCACTTAATGAAAAAAAAAGAAAAAATTAATCAACAAAGTAGTTGTGAGTCGGCGTTTGAATGTGAATATCGCTTGATGGTTTTTATTTTATTTGCATCGTAGATCATCTTATGTAGTTAATGTTACGGAAAACCAATCACCGGGGACCGCGATTTTGCAAATTATGGTTTCAAAGCACAGACCAGGAGCGGTCATTACATACAGTATTGTATCCTTACAGGACGAATTCCAGATTGACCAAAGCACGGTAAGGCTACTCTTTCTATTATGCTATACAAATGAAGAATGAGATATCAGCCTTCCTTTACACACTTGGAAAGTACGAGAAAATTTTTGCATCTAACAAAAATGGCATTTGCTAACTTCCTTACAGGGTGAAATTTCAACATTGGTTATTTTAGACAGAGAAGTACGAGAGGATTTTGTGTTCACCGTTCAAGCCATGGATAACGGACACACTCCGCTCAGTGGCTACACTTCGGTAAGAAAACAATCAAGGGACGTACAGACGGTAGATAATTTGTGTTTTAAGTCTTAGATAGCCGCTATCTCTACCAAAATATTCCCAGTCATTACATTTGTATTCGACTCCAGGCTTAGTTTAGTAACAGAAAGGGTATAAGCTAGCTTCCAGACTATCGTTATGGCTTGAGAAGATAATTCAAAGTTATCAAACCTTATTCAAAAGGGAACAAAATAAATTTCCTCGCTTTTTTTCGTCGCTGTCCGTGTAAAGGTGGTACTATATCTCTATTTTCGTGAGAATCAAGCTATGCATTACACTAGATCTCTAGAAATCTTGATCCAGATTTCAAAGTCTAGGCCCACTATAAGCTTTGTATTAAAGCTTCTTTCTCTTTTAAGGTGACCGTCCATGTGACTGATGAAAACGACAACGCTCCTCGCTTCCAGTTCCTTTCTCCTCACAAAATGACCGTTAAGGAGGATGTCCCTCTCGGAACAAGGGTCTGTCGTGTGGAAGCGCTCGATAGCGACGTTGGGGAGAACGCTGTATTTGAGTACGCTATCACCCATGCGAATATTGGTAAGACAGACATTTACCAGATAGAAACTAATAACTTACCTTCGGGTAGTACTGAACGTGCCTTTTTACGGCGAGTGATTGCCCTTTCATATTATTTTCAGGCCCGGGGCAGTCAATGATCTCGGTTCACTCAGACTGCGAAACTCCCTTAGGACTGGAGAATGGTGAAGTCAAAGCCAGCGACACCCAAGCCACGAGTACTTACACTCTTCCTAACGAGGATTACTCACCAACACTGGGGAGACTTAATAACAAAGTTTTTAACCAGTTTGGGATATCTTACAAAGGTGAAAAGACTATATATAAGGATTGTTCACCAGTAGCATTGCTTCACGTTTGTGATTGAAAAAAAGAGAAGAATGTGGAACAAATTAAGTATCAATGAGCGCCAAAGAATATACCCTCAACTGACAAACTTTAGATATTGTTGATTTTCTTTTAACTTTTTGATGAGTTGAATGAGTCAAAGGCTTTTCGGGTTAAGTTCCGAAAAAATAAAAAATAAAATCTCAGAGGCTATGTTAATAATAAGAAGTAAACTTTGTTTACTTCAAAGTCTATAGTAGTATCACCTACCTATTAAAAAGGCAAAAGAAAAAAAAACCAGCAACAACGTCGACAACAATAATCGAGTGAGGTAGCTACACTTTCTTTGTCTCATTTTTTCCAGGGGCTTGGTGTGCAGCCACGAATAACAAGCAACAATATCTGCAGATTGACTTTCGAGGAATGCGAAAAATTACAAAAGTTGCCACACAGGGGAGGCCTGGATCCAACGATTACGTTGAAACTTACAAACTGTCGTTCAGTTTGGACGGCAACTCATTTGAATTTCACAGAGAGGTAAGACAGAAAGTCAAAGGGAAAGCAGGTACCACAACGTCCTCACATCATATGCAACTTGTTTTCTTGTAAAACTTGAGACAGTGATTTACAGTCATGTGCAAGTACGTTTTTCAAGGTCATAGCGTTTCTGATATCATGGTTTGCTTTGCAGGTTTTTCAGGGCAACGAAGATGGTGATAGTACCAACACGAATCGTGTTCTTCCTCCATTTCACGCGCGCTACGTGCGAGTTCATCCTCAGTCATGGAATGTCAGGATTTGCATGAGACTGGAACTTTACGGCTGCGAGTCCACCGGGAAAGACGAAGGTAACCTGGCCTCTTAAATGCACTGTCGTCAAACCCTCTTGGTCAGTGCAAATGTTTATTTGGATCCCTTGGAATCAATTTCATTCAAATTGATTCAATTTATGCAAAAATTTCACGATATCGATTAAAATAACGTTGTGTGAACATTTTTTTTTTCAATTTTAGTTACTCTGCCTTTCATCATTGATCCAGACACTGGTTATGTTAGTACTTCATATAGTCTGGATCGTGAATTGCAAGAAAAGTATATCCTGACTGTGGAGGTAAGAGTGAAGTGTGATGATTATGAAAGACTTTGACAGCATGGTCGAACGCTCGCAACTTTGAAAGGGCTAAATAGAATATATGGAGGCTTAAGGTTCTAACGTTAAGATTCTAGCATGGAAACGAGACCGGATGGTCAATTTAGAGAGCCTCAGTACTACTGTCAATCTTAAAGGCCTCAGTTTTACTAACCTCAGCTAAATTGAACACACCTGTATAATTATGACCGACAAATGAATAATTAAATGAATATATATATGTATGAATAAAAAAATAAATTAATGAGCAACGGCTGCATTCTCATCTGCCTCCCGTGTGCTTAATTATGCAACGAGAAGCACGACATCAAGAAATGACACGTTGTAATAGATTTTTGCTTTGTTGTCCTCTCAGGCTAAAGACAAAGGCAGCCCTCCTATGAGAAGCAATACAACTCTTGAAGTCCTAGTGATAGATACCAACGATAATCCACCAGTATTCACACAACCAGAATATACTGCATTAGTTCCTGAAAACGCATTCGGTGGATATCAGGTTTGTTATCAAGAACAGCTGCACTAACAACATGTGATTTCAGGTTGTGCAAGGTAACTTTGACCTAATTATTTCCGTTTTGTTAGGTGATAAGAGTCACAGCTCTGGACGCTGACGAAGGTAACAACGCTGCTGTATCTTACAACATCGTCGATGGTGCGGGCGGCAAGTTCATTATTGAAGGTAAGATTAAAACTTAATTTCTTGTGAAAGTGGTGGGAAGTTTGAGTTTTCATCAACTGAATTCTTTGAAAATTTCCTTTAGAAAAATTGCACGCGGCCGTCGCTTAGAGCATAAATTTTCTATTCTGTAGATCTTCAAGGCCACTCTTTCAGCATTCTGATAAAAAATGCGACAAAAGTTGCCTTCGAAGGACCGTTGGTCTTGAAACAGCAGGACTTTTTGACAGAAGTATAAGGCAATTTGGCAAATTGTGCGCTTGAAATTCTTCTGTTGCACACTTTGACAGTTGATGGTAAACCGCGTCGCTTGATTGTTTTGTTGTTGTTGTTGTAGTAGTTTTTGAATATGTTCTTAAATAATCTAGAAATTTTAGCTTAAAGTAACTTGAAGAGACAAAGGACGCCTCAAATGTTGTTGCTACTACTATTAATTTAAGTTTTTATTTTTTTAATAGAATCATCAGGCATAGTTCGTCCCTCCGGTCGTCTTGACTACGAACCTATGGGGGACAAATTTTACTTGCTGAATATTTCTGCAAGAGACCGCGGTCAGCCACAGTTCACGTCCTATGTTCTCCTGAACATTACCGTCACGGACTTCAATGACAATCAGCCTCAATTTTCACAAAATTCCTATACTTTGCGTGTGTCAGAGGATACTAGAGTAAATTCATACTTTGATCAGATCACTGCTACCGATGAAGATACTGGAGCAAACGCAAAGGTGACGTGCGGCTTGCAGTTCCAGAGCACTGGTCATTCTTCCTTTCGTGGAGCTTAGTTAACCAGTGTTTATAAACCTCTGATTCTTAGAAAAGAAGACCCATAATCTTGAAAATTTACGCTTAAGTTAGGTCGAGAGAGTAGGCCCCGCGGATTCAAATCGGAGACCTTCCCAATTCGCCAAACACTTGATGATATGATTGACGACGAATCTCAGAGATTATCATTCTATCATTGAATCACCTCTTATTACAATTAGTAGCTCAGTATGTCAGTTGTTTGTCCGTCGAGAGCCACTTATCACCAGCGCAATATTAAATATCACAGCTTGTGAGGGTACCGCCCTTTGGAAAAATTGATAGCGTGTGCAACCGCATTTAAACCTCTTTCAGTCAATATGTAGCTAGTAGTGTACTGTCTATGATTCCCTCTCAAGTTTTTAGCGGTTAGGAAGAATCCAAACAATGCAGGCAGGAAGGTAGAATTTACCCTGGAAAATGTCATTTCAGTCGAAATCGATAACTTTCAAGCTCACGGAGTGGACACATTCCGATTCCCTTATTATTCTTTATTTAAATCCTAGATCACCTATTCTCTCAAGGATGACATGGGAACATTTTTCATTTCTCCTGAAACGGGACAGTTAAACCTTCTTCAGTCGCTAGACCGAGAGAAAAAGGACCTTTATCGGTTAACTCTTGTGGCCACTGATAATGGGGCCCATAGGCTTTCATCTGAAGCAGAGGTAATGGTCACCCATATCGCAGTCTTATCCATACAAACACGTAATTATTATGATCTTCCCTAAAAATTTAAATCTAAAGCTAATGGTGGGTTCCAACGTCAGAATTTGTTTTTTCGTAGGTGTTTGTCCAAGTCTTGGATGTAAATGACAATTTTCCGAAGTTTACTCGCCGTTTATATGAGCGGAAGTTGGTAGAAAACGTAGCCGTCGCCACTGTTGTACAAGTCGTGCGAGCAAATGATGCTGACATAGGCAAAAATGGCAACGTGCGGTACACGATCACAGCCGGAAACGAAGATGGTAATCGCTCCTATCATTGTGAGAGTAGACTTAAGTTTTTATTTCAAAATGAGCGCATAATTTGATACTGATTATCACATATATATATATTGTAGTATGCAAGCTAATTGCCTTAAGCTTCAGAGCTAGTGCAGAGAATCTGATAAATTATCTGGATTCCACATACCATTTTTCTGCAAAACAATGACGTAGCTAAGAATTGAGCCGAGACTGGCTTTGGATTCTGAGTCGGAGACGAAGCGCGCCTACCATTACATCATTGCCTCCCAAAACGTTTTAGCCCGGTGATGAATACTCATTAACTTAAAGGTTAAAAATGACAAGCCAGTAATGATTCTAACTTTCATTTCAAGGACTCTTTTCAATTCATGAAATTACCGGAGAGATAAGTGTGGCAAAACCCTTGGATCGTGAGGCGAACAACTCCTTAAAAATTAGCGTGTTCGCTGAGGATGGTGGGGAACCTAAGAAAACCGACCAATCCGAAGTTGAATTTGTTTTGACTGACGTGAATGACAACTCACCCGTCATAAGACCGAAGAAGAGCAAAGCCTCAGTCTTCGAGGTAATTAAATAACTTGTAAAATTATAAGCACCAAAAGTTACAGAAGAAGCATATTGTATATCATAAAGAATGGACGGTGAGGGGTCTTACGTCAATACTGTTGTCTAAGTTTTGCGAGTAAACGTATTATCACATTGATTAAATTTCGTTCATTAACTGCGGTGAAATTTCTCTTGGGCTTATTTAGAATGTTAACACTGGGTCGTTTGTGTATGATGTCAATGCCACTGATGACGACATTATGATGAATGGGAGAGTGGAATTTGCCATCATGCATGGCGAAGAGGGGAAGTTTGTTATTAATGCTACTTCCGGAGTTATAACAACCGCTGGTGCGCTTGACCGGGAGAAAAAGGACTGGTATTCAGTAAGTAACCTTTTTTAATCCCAGGATGCTTGTCTGGGTGTTGTTAAGCCTTTCCGGTGTGATGTCTTTTTAAGTTTTTGGATTTTAAGCCTGGATCAATGGCTAAGCCATCCACACCGAGAAACGCCTTTCATATGCACGTAAAGCGGGATTTTGGGGGGAATCAAATGGAATGGCCTTTTCAATCGGAAATATTTCGGAAATGAAAGAAATACATTTGAGGTATTCTTTTTGGTTGTTTTAACGAAATTTTTCTTTTGTAAATGAATACAATCAATCAGTTAGACTGTGATGATTTTAAGACTTAGCGATCGCATTCATTGCCTCAGCTCATCGTCATGGCACGTGACCAGGGTACAGTTCCATACATGGATTTCGGTACAGTTGAGGTGAAGATACTTGATATGAATGACAACACACCGCTATTTACTACCGTAAGTTAACTTCTAATCATTTTTCTTGTTCCTAGCCGATCAGTTGTGTGGGACTTTTGTACAGAAATTTAGACTACCTAGATTACTTCCACCTCGGTTTTATTTCCTTTAACCTTTTGTTGTATAAGTTTGTGGTGTTGCAAGTTGTGATGAAGTGTCGCTCGTAGAAGGCCTTTCGTAAACCTTTGTGAAAAGGCGTCACCATTGCCACCTAAGTCTGTGCACGGGCTTTATAGTTTTATAGTCAAGCGAGGAAACACGTCTGTTTTCTCCCCTAATCCCAATATTTGGGTTCGGAATCTTGAAACCTGTGTGTCCATAATTTTGTTTGCTTTTAAGACGAAAAAGCAGGGCTCGAACTTAACTTTTTTGTCTACTAGCAAAGTTTTGCTAGTAAGATTTTTTTTACTAGCAAAAGAAGGAACCTAGTTTGCTAGAGGATATTTTTTAGACTCGCAACTTCGAAAAACCACTCGCATTTTGCGAGTTTGCGAGTGCTAATTTCGAGCCCTGAAAAGTAATAAAAAATAGAAGGATTGTGAGTGGCACATTATCTTTTACCGTCCAGTAGAAGTAGGTCACTCAAGAATCGATAATAATTTATGCATTGTTTCATAAATAGGTTTCTTTCAAACTAAATTGAATTCTAATCGGTCTGTAATTGATATCGTTAGTACTATGATAATTATTATTGTCGTTTTGTTCCTGTTAACTTAATTTCGCAATTCAATAATGATGTACTTTAGTTTTCTATGGAGACGTTGGTTTTTTTTCCTATTGTAGACTTTCGGGCCCTTCTCGGCAACTGAAAACGAACCCGAGAATACAACGATAGGAAAGGTTTTTGCTGAGGATAAAGACATCGGAAAACATGCTGAAATAACATATTCAATAACTGGTGCGAATCAGTTAGTGGTATTTACATCACATATCCTAGTTTAGTTCGTACTTGTCATTTTCGAGAGGAAATTGTCGTTTATGAAGAGTTAGGTACGCTTTAGTTCAATAAATTGCTTACAATCTACATGTTCATTCAGTTTAATTGCTAGGCATCAACAGTCACTGTCAGACAGGGTGCGATATGCTACAGAGGAATGTTGCTGCATCATGGTACACTTCATCGTCTCACTCGAGCTTTCCTTTTCTTAAGTGTTTCAGGAGGGCACTTAAAAATATTACCTTCATTAAACACGCGAGAAACAAAAGAGTGCTGTTTAAATACGCATGCGCAGCCGCCTTCTCATCTTTATTTATCTGTATCTTCGCGATAGATAATTACTCGTTGCTCATGATGCAAATTAGTGTTTCATCATTAGAATCACCTAACGTGTCATCTATGAAGTTTATTATTATCATTATCATTATTGTTATTAATAACATGACCAGTTAATTTTCAAGGATTAAAAAGAATTTTGGACAGGTCGTAGCTAAACCTCTATCGTGCTTCGCGCTGTTATCGCTAATATGCCATTTATGGCTGAAATCTGTATTTCCTACATCCTGATTTACTTTATTCCTTCACCAGGGGGAGACACTGACAACTGTTTTGGAATCAATGGAGCTACCGGAAGAATCTTTACTAACAAGCCATTGGTAAAAATTTTCATTTACTAGTCATAAAATATAATTTCGATTAATTTTTACGTTGTTTTTTGGAATTCTATCCAAATATCAATTGGTGTGTTTCATATAGGACCGCGAGAGGATTAGGCACTACGATCTTTCAGTGGCTGCAACCAATGTCGCATCCAGTCCACCCTTGAGCAGTGAGACAATAGTGAGAGTCAATGTCCTGGACACCAATGACGAAGCGCCTCGTTTTAGTGTCCCTAGCTACAACGAGACGATCTCCGAGGGAGCCAAGGCAGGAACATCCATTGTGAAAGTGTCCGCTCAAGATAAAGATCTGGTTAGTGCAGCTATACCTCTAGTTAAAAGGAAGAGGTCTGCTTGATGTAGAATTATGATTGTCAGACCTGGTTTTAAATTTGGTCCTGCAAAGCGCTAGAAAAATTTCCCCCTGTACAGAAGTATGCTTTCGATTAAGGTACCAGTTTACAAGGTTACACATCAATGGGACCCGATCGGTACTAGAAAAAGTGTCCGCTGTATACAGGTGTCCGTTCCATTAAGGTACCAGATAGAAGGGTAATTATTGAAGAATCCATCAAAAACCACTTTGGGGCTAAACAAGTACAATTGTGATGTCACTCAACTGAAGGAAAAAGACAATTTAGTAGCTTTTTTTTTTCTGTCGAGATTAAAGTTAATGTCCCTTGAGTGGATTTACCCATTGAATGGAGTCATTTTATCAAAGGAACTTTACAGTATACACCTGTTCCCTTGAGAAACTGAAGCGTCCAAGAGTTGTTCGTGTTTGTAAAGAGATTCAGTGTTGATTTATTGGGTTTCTTTTTCGACACGCTATAAATCAAGATCAAAGATGAGAACATTTCTAAGGGGGAACGTTATTCTATATACTCCATATCGATGATTTAAGGTTAAGAACATTAGAAAATTAGAATGAACTAAATTACTTTACTTGTACGTTTGACGTTTGTACTTTTCAATTCTGATTTAAATGGTAGATAATTGCATTTGATTTAAAATTTTTCTTGAACATTACTCAAATTAAAATTTAAACATTGCTATGGATAGGTTTTAATCTTCGTTACGATGTAAACGTTACTTTTTAAAACTTTCTGTCCTAGGGTACTAACAGTCGTGTACTATACAAAATTATGTATGATGAGATAACTGCAAACGTGTTTGGCATGAATCAAGATTCCGGAATAATGACGTTAAAAAACAACATCGACGAAGAAGAATACAGACGGTTTATGATTATTGTAGAGGCAAAGGACCTTGGATCACCCCAGCCCCTCTCGTCTGTTGTTCCTGTTTATGTCATCGTTGATGACGTGAATGACAATCAGCCGAAGTTTGAAAAAAAGTTTTACAGGTATTTACTTACGTGTACTTTTGTGTAAAATGAAACCGTCCTCGCTCTCGCTCACTTATCGGAAAGGCCAGCCATAACAAAGAAACCATTCACTTGCTAAATTACAGAACCAATGAAATGTTTCTCTCACTCGGTACGTCATGCTGCTTCCTTTTCCTTCTTTCCTTCATTAAGTGCGTCAGTGTCTGAGACGGCTTCTATTGGTTGGTCAGTTATCAAGGTCAGAGCCACAGACCAAGATATGGGTCCAAATGCCGAAATGACTTACAAGATAACACGAGGAGATGATCAGAGTAAGTCGCTAGATTTACGATCTATCCTGGAGTAGTAAATTGGTTTAAGTTTTGTTTTGCAGCTTCAAGTTTGTACAAGTGGACGAATAAAATTGTCCATAAACGTTTCATAACAATTACTGAGAGAATTCAAAACATTATGTCGAGGAATTTTTTACATAATGTTCGTGGCCAAACCTTTTAAATGGTAATAGGAGAAAGATTTACTGGTTTCACTATCTTTGGTCAATGCCGAGCTCTTTCCAGCAATTGGTTTGTTTCCTTGCTCACCTTAGTGTTAGAACCTTGCAACGAAATAATGAAATATTGAACTACAGAATTTATAAATTTTTGTGTTTTTTTTTTTTTTAATATCGTCTAGGTGACTTCCGTATCGATAACAGTGGTACTGTGTTCGTAAACAAGGGTCTGGATCGAGAAAGGCATTCTGCATACACACTGGAGGTTCGAGCCTATAATTACAGAACCAAGGCTTTCAATGAGACCAGTCGACCGCGGCAGAGAAATGTAGATGGTAGGCATCGTCGTTTTGAATTGTACTCTATATTTGTTTCTTTCGTTACTACATGAATTAAACATAAGGAAAATTGTAGATCCTGTTGTAAGTTTTCAGGATCAAATGTTTTCCTCAAAACAAGGACTTTCAGCTTGCAAACGTATCTCACATGAAAGCAACTTATCGAATTTTCTCTGTGATTAAAGGTGATAAAGGTCCCATAAAAACATAGTTAAAACCCCCATGTTTTTTGGTCTCGTTTTCATATTCCTTTTTGTTTCAGCTGAAGGTTATTTGTATGACATTTCAACCCTCATCATAACTATACTTGATATCAACGATAACGCTCCTAGGTTCATCAGACCGCTCTTCACTGGAGGTAAGATCATCAAATCAGGCCGAATAAAATCATCATGATACTCTGCGGACATAACTCTGTTATGTGAGGAATACTCTACCCCTACCCCTGCCCCCACAGGGGTCGATGAAATCGTAAGCCATGTAATCATGGCTAAGGGCAAGTTATTCTTGTACATATCCTCGTTTGATTTCCTTCGTTTTATTTTATGTTTATTTTTTTCTTGGTAATCCACTTTTGCCCTGATGATTTAATACGAAAGTAAACATCGGGAAAATGAATAGCAATATCTGTTTTTTCAGGTATTGCAGAAGCTGCAGGTTTTGACTCGTACATCATGAAAGTCAAGGTATGAGAAGAAGAATATGTTGTACATAAAATTTTTATCCTAACAGCCAGCAAAATAAAATATCTTTGAGCTGGTATCTTAGTTTTCTACAACCATCTGAAAGTGTTTGAATTGGTTACTGCTCTTTACTAATATAGACACATTTACGACTTTGGCATGAATGAGATAAAATTTAAACCTTCTTTGACCTGGAAAAAACCGCGAACAACCTCGTATCTTTGTAATAAATGGACTCGCACTGATGCTATGAGCATGTACAAAGTTGAATTTTCGATAAATTTTCTCATAATTATTTCAGGCTACAGATAGAGACGCGGGTAATTTTAGTGCGGTGCAGTACAGAATATCCTCTGGAAATGATGGCGGCTTTTTCAAAATAGACGAAGACACTGGATTTATAACAACAGCCAGCAACTTTAAAGGGAAGAAGGGCGAACGTTTTGAAATTAAAGTCAGTGCTCATGACAACTACGGCAAACCTCCTACAAACGAGGCTGATGGAGAGGCCACGGTTCAGGTACTTTATTTTGAGGTGGTTACAACCAATGTAATTAGCACTTCTACGCAAACACTCAGGAATGCACACGCACCAACATATAGCTAGCATATCAACACTTGTACATGCCACCTATGTAAGTCTGTATTTAAAGTTGTTTGAAAGCTGATTGGTTTTGAAAAGTAAAAAAGAATGATCAAAATTAAGAACAACGAATTAGTTACTAAACTCAAGCTAAGAAAAAGATAGTAGAATGCTGATGGGGTTATCGAACTCGTCCATGAGTTGTTAGCATAATTATTCCATAAATATTCAACTGGGTATGAGATATACAGTAAAATAATCGAATTAATTGTTGATGCGTGCAGCTATCATTTATACGGTCGATAACACGTCCTACAGATATTTGTTCTTGTTGACGAGCAACGCGTAACTCTCAAGGCTGAAGTTGACCCATCTCTTATCGAGAGAAATAAGGAGGAATTTATAAGGTTAGAGACTACATGATTGAAATTGGTTCTTTACTCTTTTTAATGCTTTATAATATGATTCTCAATAAAGTATTTGTATTCGCATGTCGCAAGTTGCACATCCCACATCTACTTTGACGTATCTAACTTACTGTAAGTTTTAAATTTCCAGTTTCCACGGCTTTGTTTCGAACGTTAGTGGAAGAGGCCTCAGAAATTATCATATTATCTATAAACACATCCATGGACAATTCCATCAATTCCTCCATTCCACATTTCTTTCCTTCTTTGTGAATTCTTTTCGTCTTTATTCCGTCACTTTTGTCACTTCGATTCATTAGATTTAAATTGTGTTCCTATCCACAGCAACAGTGTCTTTTATGTGATCTGATCTGTGAATCCGTTCATGAAACGAGGGGATTCAAAACGTTTCCTAATTGGCTCAGCAAACTCATTTCAATATCTTCATCCTCTCGGCCTGATCACCTAGCATACCTATATTTTTCTACTGAATAAATTTCAGACTGAGATTGGCTGCCCCACTTATTCTTATCAAGGGGACTGCGTGTTGTATTCAATAGACTGTCTTTTACAGATAATGAATGCTCTATTTTATTTAATTATAATCAATTTTTTTGTGTTGTTTCCTCAGTGTGTTGAATAACATAACCGAGGCCGAGGTGAATATAGAGGCGATTTTCAAAGTTTTTTCAGAGAACTCTGAGGGTAAGCAGATCGCAAATTCTGAGGTGTTGTTCCACGCTGTTGACCTCAATACTCAGACCATCATGACCAGCAATGAAGTGCTAAGGTAAATATTTCACCATTATGGTAATGTAAAGATATGTTACTAAAACCCCATTTTTTTTTAATTTAAGAGAGACAACTAATGCTTAGCTTTCTTTTAATAATTTTTCATACGTTAGACAGTATGTTTAGGTAATCGCAAGGTTGCGAATTCAATTTGTAGTTTGTAGAAATTCAAAGAGCTTGCAAATGTTTATGCCAATTTACACCAGGCTGAACTGCTACCTACTGTTTTTCTTACGTTCCTCCTTGTTATTTATCCATTTACTACCAAAGAAACCTCAAAACATTAGGAACAACTATTTCCTTTTTACAACGAAAAAAATAGGCTATAGTTAAACGTGATTACGTTTTTGCTACTCCAGCACCATTGAAAAGCACACTGACCAGTTGGAGACCTTGTACGCCAGATGGAAAATCAGAGCTCCCATCGCTTCCACCACACAACGTCCAACAGAGGACAGTGGCCTGGGTAATGCTGAACTAGCACTTATCATCCTTGGATCTGTAGTTGGGCTGCTGTTGTTACTGGGTCTGTGTTTTGCCGTAAAGACACGTTGCAGGTAACTATATTCAATGCATTTACAATTTTCAACTGAGTGTCGAAAGAAAACGCAAAATTAAGGTTTCCTTCGTATGATTGTAACAACTCTCTAATGCCTAATTGTCTCCGTCATGAGGAGTAACGCTCACTCTTTTACGCATACCAGCCTAAGAACCATTTTAATTTTCAAAGTGAATCATAATCCTCTACGTTGTCTCTTTTTTAGAGTAAAGAAACGTGAAATGTACAATTCGCCAAGAGCACGAAGAAAGCTTGGTAGCACCAATCGCAAGTAGGTGTTTTAAATGGAGCTCCTGATATTTCAATACGACCATGCCATCGATCGGTACTATGTTTAAAGAATGTGTGATCACGCTGAAACAGGAAAACAACTGAACAATTATTTCACTACCTTAACTGGAAGCTTTCCTTTTCAGTTCTTCTTAGAAAAAAGTGAATAAAGAGTACCATCCTTTATAAATTATCAGTATTTCTCTTTAATTTTATTTGGTGGACTAAGACTTGTGATAATCACAAAGGTATCTTTATTTATGTGTAAACGTTCCTTATCCTCCTATTTCATCAAGCTTGCAAACCATGAAAATCCCATGGCCTTCTCGTGTTCAGGTATACTTTGCATTATAAAAATTATTTCTATATTTTTTCTTCTTCCAGTGGCTCCTGGTCGTATTATGATGACGTCATTGGAACTATTGAAGACAAGAGTGTAGCTTCTGTCAGGTATAATAAAGCTGTATTAACGTTTACCCACTGCTTAAAATCATACTTTTCTCCGATATCTAATTGAATTTTAGTCCTTACCGGACAAAATCATTCACTAACTGAGTGGTGCATATAATATGTTTCTTGCCTTGCTTATCTTTGTGAATTCGTTAACTTTTTCATTACGAACTTGTTTTTTGTTGCAGGATGTCTCATCCGTATGGAAGCGACCCAGGAATGTACAGCGGCTCAGATTATGTGCTCACTAAGAAAGGACGGTAAGTTGTTGACAATGAAATTTACTAACGCACTGTGACCCTCATTTAGGTTATACTCTCCAGGCTTGAAAAACTCTCCCTTGAATGGAGGTCTTTTTAGACGAGAGTGAAAAATGCTGAGGGCTTGGAGCGTAATGCACTGATCAGGATCTAACTTTGTGTCCCTTGAGTAGAGTTGTCCCGAAGTAGAGATACAACAATGTTGGTATCGGATTTTCAAGCAAATTTTTGTACCTTTATTTTACTGTTTTATCCATTACGTTGTTTCTTGTTTACCGGTGCACGAGAACTTATTTTATTACTCACCTGTAATTTACCATTTTCTTTTCACATTCAGTATATATTCCAACACACAGTTAATCTTTAAAAATTAATATTCTCTTTGGTAGAAGTTGCCATGAACCAATGGGGACCTTTTAGGTTTGGCGGAATCTCAGCAAAATTTCTGAAAGTTTTGCAAAAAGGGGCATTTAACAGCACAACCCTCCATAGTCTCTAGGATTAACAGACACTTTTTTTCTTACAGCTCATTGGAAGACAGAATTTGGGATGATGAGCCTGACTGCTATTTATCACAGGTTACAAATGCCATCAAAAATTAGTATCTTGACCTATAAAAAAGATAATGTTGTAATATTAAGTGATAACTGCGCCTGTAGTTAAAGGTGCAAAGATTTAATGCGAAAATGAGTTCAACCTTGAGAAAATAATGAAACGTCATTTTCTCTTCGTCCAACAGAATATCTGGCATCTGTTTTCTCTTCGTTGCATGCACATGAAAAATTGATACTATCTAAACTTATTCAGGCAAGCTCAAAATTTGCGATATTTCCTACCCATTCGGCTGCTTCTAGCAGTATGTCAGAGGGACGCTTTGTCCCAATCCCGAGGCGAAGTTTTGACAACTTCTCTCTGTACTCTTTAGGATTCAAATTCTAAAATCGACTCATACCTTGATGATGACGGCGAATCAGAACACGGTGCAGCCGGAAGTGATATCAGCCAGGAAAGCTCCGTCCACTCATCGAAACTAACAGCTGACGGCATGGTGGTTACTAAAGTCTAGCAGGATACATCTCTTTCTTTGAAATACGAATCATTACAGTACTGAGTTCAAATTTTTTCGGCGAGAATGGACTAAAACGGTCTCTTCTGACTTATCTTATTGTCAAAATTACTTGATGCAACTTTTTAGCGCTTCTAGAATCATTAAATAATGAGCAGGTGCTATAGGCAAAATGTATTTAAAAAACGCGAGTTGTATATCCTTTTACTTGGCCACTTGGGTGTTAGAATGCATGAGTGAGGCGTTTTTCGTCTTGAATTGTGAGAACATTTTGATTAAACTGTTCCCTTTAGTTGTCAGCATGAGGAGGAAGGAACTCATTGTTATAAATTAATAACACTGAGGGCGTTTTCAGTTTCCAACGAGCCTTTCAAAACGTGTCTTCGAATGTGCACAGTCGAATTTTCATCTCATTTTCTTTACTATTTTGATGTTTGGAAAAAAGCTATATTGTATTTGCATCACACTTCTTCTCTGATGATTTAAGTCTACGGCTAATCATTTTCAGGAAATGGGCATGTTCGAGCAACTCGAGCAACTAGTTAAAGGAAAGTTTATTTTCGCGTTCACTGAGCTTGACATTCAGAGTGAAAATCTCGCCGGGAATCGGCGCAGAGCTCCTCGCTGATCGTTTGGTTTTCATTTGATATTACCTATTGTCACATTATGGACTTTCCAGGGGGACTTCAGAGTGGTTTATTAGGACCTGCCTTCTCGCGATCAGCCTTATCAGGACCTGTTAGCGGTAGGTCCCGCAAGCAATTAGAAAGACCAAATGACATTCTTCTCGATAATATCAATTTAAGGGTAATAATGCACTATTAAACCAATAAGATTGAATTTTTGGTCATTATCCTTGACTTAAGTTTATTATGATGTATATCCAGTTGTTATTCTTACAATTACTTTGTCTATTCCTAACCTCTTTAAGCAGCTCTCTGTAAATACCTTTCTTCTATATATGTACATATGAATTGAAGAATTTTTTTGTGATGATGTCATGTTTCGATGTTGAAAACTGTTGTTGTTATTGTAGAGGAAATTCAGTCTTTGCACTAGACTGGTTTAGTTCGAATATGCAGTGGCACTCCTTTGATCGACCGGTGTAAGTCGGGCCTCGTAAATCAAATTGCAGAATTTGGTTAATTAAGGTTTGTTGGATTTGCCTCAGTTAAATGTAAAGTTAAACTTGTCCACCAGAAAGGTTGTCATTTAGCAGAGAGGTCTACCCCCCCCCCCTACATATACTATTCAGTAAAGCTTCCATTACGTATTAAATGACCCAAATTTCCTAAGACTTTGGGGAGCCTTGTAGACTCTTTTTACACAGAGTCACACGAACAAACCACTGATCACCTTAATTGCAGGGATTCAAATAGCGCAGTCTTTTTCCGTTGCAGCGATCCAAGAAGAGTTCTAGTGAATTTTGGTATTCTTATGGAGTATACGATTGGATTGGCAAAGCTGTTACTATAATGCAACAGCTTTGTGAAAGCGAAGACTTCATACGGAATGTGAGATGACTCCCAAGTATCACTTAAGAAAACAACGATGTTAAGAATGTAGAAAGGTATCCAGGTTAAAACGAAAACAAGTGTTATAATTAAAAGGGTTGTGACGAGTTGTTTCTCTTGAGCACTTCGCTTCAGTTGGTCAAGTTCTTCCTTATATCTGCTCTCCCGCTTTGGTTTCTCTCTCTTGTGATAGGAAACATTAGCCCATACAAGCACATATGCCACACAAATGACCAAAAGTGATGAGAATATGAAGAAAATAATAAAATAGAAGAAAATTTTGAACTTGAACACTTCGAATCCGTTCATAAAATACAACACAGCTACAAACAAAGACAACATCCATACGACTGCTATGAGCTGGTGGTAGGTTTTTTTGGAGGTAAGACGATGTCTTAGAGGACACATCACTGCATACAGTCGCTCCAGAGCGATTACTGTCAGAGCAAAGATTGAAGCAAACGCTGTGAAAATGTCAATGGCCTTATACGCAATATATGTCCCTTTCACATAAGTGTTTGTTTTCCAGTAGGATGTTAACTGATGAATATAAAGTGGAACTGCAAATGTGCCAACCATGAGGTCTGCAATAGCTAACGTTACAAGAAAGTAGTTGGCACGCATGCGTAGAAGTTTCCTTTTAGTGAAGACTGCGATGGTCAGGCAATTGCCAACGATGATAGCTATTGCCACTAATGCGAGTGCTACACACCACGTGACCTGTTCAGACACGGGCATGGCGCCATTCATAGTTGGTGTTCCCTGGGTTGAATTGAAGTCGTAGCTGTCAGAGCTTTTATTCATGGTCCTGTTCATACTGAGTGATCACACCTGCAAAGAAAACAAACAAAACAAAACAACTAAACAGGCCACGTGGCGAGACTGTTAGCAGAAGGTAAATCAGGATTAATTCAAAGTTGTTACATTATGGGTTTTACCTCCCTAAATTTCAGCTTTCGTGTCTCAAACTAATTAATTGGGTAAATTAGTGTTATCAAATGAGTTAAAAGGTAAATTGGCCACCGTAAAGAGTTTAAAGGCTGACGTTTCGAGCGTTAGCCCTTCGTCAATCGCTCTGACGAAGGGCTAACGCTCGAAACGTCAGCCCTTCGTCAATCGCTCTGACGAAGGGCTAACGCTCGAAACGTCAGCCTTTAAACTCTTTACGGTGGCCAATTTACCTTTTCAACTCAGTTGATAACACTAAATTACCCTGTTATACTCTCCCACCGACGCAGCACCACAGTTTCTCTAAAAACTTACCCCTTTATTCAAACTAGTTAATTGCAAAGCATGGTATTATCCACCATCTTCAACCTTCACCTTTTTTTGTTTCATGAAATGCTAATTTTTTTTTGTTTACAACATTGGATTTTGTTTACTTTTTTTCTAAGGTTTTATCTAATTTAAATTTTACTTGTAGTGCATCATTGAAAGACGTTGACTTTGGTAAAACGATACCATTACGTTTGTTATCATGGTAGCACAATGCTACAATGGTAACTATTAAAGAGAAATATCAGGTAACGATTGTCGGGATGATTTCAGGGCAACACTACATTTACGAAAACGGAACGATTACTCTTCGATGATCAGACTAAAAATTTCTCCAAAAACAAGTTATGTCCTGCACGCGGCTGCTTGGAAAGTCCTTCAAGTAACTGCTCATTTCCCTGGTTCTGTTCAGCTTTGAAAACTCGGCAGTCTTAAATGTGATGCATAATGGATCGTATGCCCTTGTGATATATATTTGGCTGGGACCACAAAACTCGTTATTTTCATTTCTCCGAATTGATATATTATTTTGATGTCGGTGTTTTTACCACTTGCCTCTATTTCGAAATTAGTAAGCTTGGTAAGGACAATCATTATTTTGTGGCCTTGATGACGGTTTTGCCGCTTGAAAATATTTAGAAATGTAGAAAGAGAGATTTTTATCATTCACCTGACTCCTAAGTCGACTTTAAAGATGAAAACTCATTTTCTCCAATTGAAAAATAAACGCGTCGTTGTAGGGATAACTTCATTAGATAACATCAAGAGATGAAGACCTCCCCTCTGAAGTAAGAAGAGCTAGGTTGCTTTTTAAATTACACCGACTAAAACTTTTGCTTCAGGCCTTATCTGATATTCAACGAATCACAACCTCCTTTATCTTTTCTAATAACATCCAATGACCTTCCACTGTCAACAAAGGAGTGAAAATTCACAGTTGCATTTTATTTAATAAAAAAAACACAATGAACAAAGCTTGAACATGCCCTTTGTGGACCGCTAAAAATATGTGCTGATAACAGTATGCCTGATTATTAAGTGGATTTAGAACCAACAAATAATATTCCATGTTTACTGCTAAAACTTGCACTGTTGATGATGTTTCCTCTTCATTTGCGAAAAAATCGTTCAATATTTATTCAAATTGGAACATGCTATTCGACAAGTCTATTAGATACAAGACAATACTTTATGAAAATTTATTCCGCCACCTCAGTTGGTTGTCTGATATGTTTTCTCAACTTAATGAGATTTCTTGAAAATGGTCCCGCTGATTCACGAATCGAGGTAGTTTAACATCATCTTATGGCAAAAGTGTTTCTGAATGCCACGAGCTTTCTGGCGACGAAGTGATGTATATGCGGTTTGTGTCCGATGATCGATTATATGTGTATTAGGAGAAAAAGACATGTAAAAAAACACCACTAAGGCTCCTACTGAAGAATATCGCTCCTAAAAAAATAGTGATGAAAAATAAACATCTATGATGACTGACATAGTAAACGAAATTATATACAACAGTTGAAAAATATTTACCCAAATGATTCTTCAAGCGTGTTGTGATTCACTTTCGTTGAAAACTTTTAGCCTCCGGCTTCCGGCATTTTCAGTAATTAATATTCTTCAGAAATGCAATGTTCGTGTAGCTATGTTTTCCACTGCAATGCAGCCGTGCTGTAGTAACTGTACCCCAAATTATTTTGTTATCATGATGTTGCCATTAGATTTTAAACCTAATCCTATTTAAGGCTACTTTCCCCAAGCACCTGGATACTATCCCGATCTCCAGTTATGTCATTTACCTCAAAGAATTCACGAGAAAACTTCCAGGATCGTCCCTAGAAGTCCATCGAATTTAACTATAAAAAAATGATCGTCAGCGCCGAACCTCCAAAGTTCTGAGTCAAGAAAAGACAGTTAAGCGGGCGCAATAATGCACTGAGGCCAAACTCTCTCCTCTAGTTTGACTCTCGCTCTCTTTTGTAACAAACATGTTTTCAATGCTTTTCATCGCCAATTCATTTATGCTAAGGAATCTTGCGTCGCAAAGTACCTCAAAAGATATCTCAGGAGATTATCTTAATTTTCACTTGGAATAACAAAGAACGCAAAGCTATTGAATCACATTGTAGAATAAAGTGTATTAAAAAGAAAACGTCGGTTATGCCGGAGAAAAGTAAAATTTTAGCCAAAACATGTTTTCAATAACCTTTCATTTCTCGGAGTTTTCCTCAAGTTCAAACAAAGTTTTCTAAAGCGATCTGTAAGCTGCAATCTTTGCCGTCGGCGTGTGTGTTTTGTCAAAATACGAGATTTGACATGAAAGGCTTGTGAATTTTCAGTCTATTAGGTTTCTCAGGAACTGACTTATCTTGATCTCCTTCTGTCATTTGTACTTTAATTGATCTCAGAAGACCCTGCTTATTTTTCACTCAATTTGAGTTTGATGAATTTCATTTGTATAATTAGACAAGTTCACTTTTTTGCAACTATGACCTTGAGCATTTTTTACATTTTGCTTCCAGCCATATCATAGGGAAACAGGTATCTTTATTTTAATTATAATGTTCATTATCCACTAAAATACGTCAATGAAAATTTCCATTGCAAAAAAAAAATAACCTCTATGAAATATAGAATATATGCGTCCATTCAGAGACCCATTTTGGTCTGTTTTACTTGTATTAGCGGGCTGTTTTCTGAGGTGCTTGGTTATAATCTAAATTTAATTGTTTCTTATTACTTTTCCTTGGACCAAATCAGCGTTAATGACCCGTGCTTTACCAGCTTTTCTGTTTCTTGGGGTAAATGGTTATTGCAACATCAATTTTTTTAGTGGTCCTCAAGTTGCAATGAGCCGGTTACAAGCAACCGACCTTCTCTCACCTTGTGTTAGATTCACGCGAATCAGCTTAGTCCAAATTATTTTCAAAAAAAGTAGATTATCCCTTCGAACTTCTTTGAGTTGAACAGTACTGATTATC